TAATCTATAAATCTATTGAGAATAGATACTCGTAAGGATTTTTAATTTGTCGCCAAAGCATTTACAGTGAGGCACAACTCTCGTTGGGCAGCGTGAAGATTACAATTGATTTAGACATGCTTTATTCCTAGACTCTGGTAATTAATTATAAAATAGAAAATTGAGCTCAGTAGACCAATTTCAGTTCGGTTTTGAAATTCCGAAGCTTTGCACCTTGACGCTACCTAGAGCATTGTGTTCGTTATTGCTTTTGATAGCAGAAACCGCCATGACAACCACCAAAGCTGTAGCGGTAGCGTCGCCACCGCTATCATTGCTGCCATCATCATGGCCATTACTACCGCAAGGCTCCGTCAGCAACGCAACCACTTTACGTCAATTGTTTTGAATGTGAACGCTGCTATTTATAAAACTTGTTTGCTTATTTTCTTCCGTCTTTCTGCTTATTTGTCCCTGCCAGCGTCGGCTTTGCCTATACATATTTTCTTTACTTTCACTTGTTATTCATGTAATTGTTTTTGTTGTTTTTATATTTGTACGCAGTTGTACTTTTTCCAGAGCCATCGGGGAACTCTTGTGCGACTCGCGCATTATACATACACACACATCAATTCCGACTTCTCGTTTGTGCGTGTATTCCCTTGCCTGTTGCCTTTAAAGCGCGTGAGCGTGCTTTTGAGCCGCGTAGCTCAACAGGCGGGATCAATTTATTACAGCTGAAAATGTTTCGTTTTTATTTAATATAGCTTTGCGGAGATTTACACGAGTTTGCATGCAGAATTTCACAAAAATAAAATTTTAATTAACCAAATTTCGCAAAAAGCGTGTCAGTGAAGCTTTCGACTGTTGATAATTTGTTGGGGCCGTGCTTCTGACACCTTCGCATTAATGATAGCAATGCAAGGGATTTTCTGTAGCAAAAAAAGATACTATCTTCTCAAGCGAAGGCATCTTTGATACGATGATATGTATTTAAGAATTGATAGCACCATGTCAATGCGGTGTATGCCTCGGCGTATGAGTAATATTTAGTAGACGCCGGACGGGAAAGACTTATAGAATTTGGTTACCATCAGATGTGAGGATTCGAAATGTATTGCATTTTTTTGGAACTTGTTTCGCAAGCCATCGGCGTGGGTTAAAACTCACACCTGAATACGTTCATACCTTCGGGGAACGTATAAAATGTCAGAGAGTTTTTCGGGCACAAAACATGAAAGACTCACCATTTGCCAGATAAGATAAAGTCTCTCTAGGAAAATCAAATATACATAGGTACATATATTTAGTAGCTGGTTGCTTATTTTTCCAGAACTGGCAATTCATGACGAGCCCAAACAAAATAATAAGATTTAGCACATTAATGTGGTATCCTAGGCTAAGCCTCTGAATATTGCCTATATAAAGCAAGGGAATTGAAGATTTTGTATAGTTATGTAATTAACAAATTTTTATTTTAAAGAAGATTGGTGAAACACTCTTTTATGTGGGTTTCAGCGTTAAGGATGAAATAACGCTATTGAGTGGCAGTACGTGTACGGCATAGAAAATTATTAATCAAAGCTCCGAAACCCCTTTTAATTTATTTCAGCACCTGTAATCGCACACGGTTACTTATCTTGAATTGGCTTAGATAGGCGCTCCAGCTATTGAATGATAGTTTGTTTCTGATCATAAACACTTAAATTTACTTTTCAACACACTTGGCTCAGTGCTCAACTATTTCTGTATGCATACAACTGTAGAATCTATAATGAGCTTGGGAAGTGTTAGTCAACAAAGCGGATATCTAACGGATATCGCCTTAGCAACTTTTTGCATCTTTCCCCGCTTCTCTACTTTTCAATGCGTGAATGTGTTGGCTGCAAGACTAGCTTGTTGCTATACGTTGCTGTTGCTCACTTAAATTTGATGGCGATGCTTCGATAAATGGGCATACAATTTTATGCTGCAATACCAGCAAGCGCATAATATTAAACGCTGGTCATTCGATTGGCATTCATGACCACTGCGTTGCGTCTGGGGCCATGAACACTTTGAAATCCCGTTTGTGCAATTTACAATTCTATATTGCTGCCACTTTACCCTTTTTCAATGCGATAGAGCAGAATAGTCGACGCACACAAACAAACATTTATGCCTGCATGAGGGTGTTTGGGGGAGCAAATATAAAATGGAGCCGAGGAAATAATTTCCGGCTTTTGAACGATTCAAAGGGTGATAGACCGGAAATCAAATTACTGCAATGGCTTAGACGTTAAACCGCTATTTTGAGGTACAAAGTACCGCAACTACCCGCGAAGACTTTGAAAGTATTGACTCCGCGTTGAGTGTGCACACTTTTCTTCACATATATAGGGTGATCAAAATCGAGGTTTCCTACTTACAAAAAAAAAAAAAATCACACACAGAAAATTAAAATTTTATAAGGACTGTTTATTACATTTCGAAACAACGTTCTTTGGCATTTATTTTTTGAAGATTATCTCTTTCAAACATTGGCCGCAGCTACGTCTAAGACTCGTTCGAGCATTTCGACTGTTTTGCTCGAAGGCCTGAATAGAAGTGGAATTGTCCGCTTAGACTTTAAGCTTTACATATATCTACAGGAAAAATTCCAACGGTGTGAATTACATGATCTTGGTGGCCAATCGCCCGGCCCGAAACCTGAAATAATCGGTTCACCAAAATGTTCTCTATAAATCCATTGACTTATGCGATGTGTGGAAAGTCGCGCCGTCTTGTTGAAACCAAATGTCGCCGAGGTCACGAGCCTCAGTTTCAGGCATCAAATAATCGGTTATCATCGAGCGATAACGGTCGCTGTTGACGGTTACGTTCTCATCGGCATCATTTTTGAAGAAATATGGACTGATTATTCCACCGGCCCATAAACCACACCAAACCATTGTTTTTTCTTCGTTGCTCTTCGTCCCAAATGCGGCAATTTCGTTTGTTTATATACCCATTGAGCCAGAAATGAGCATCATCGCAATCGGATCTTCTTGGAACTTTTCAAGAGCCCAAGAGCGAAGCGATTTCGCTTGAGAAGGTCGAGCGGATTTAGTTCTTGCGCTAGCTGTATTTTGTACGCTTTTAATTTACGTCAATGACGTCAGTCCGAGTTGCTGCAACGACGCCGAATCGACTCTACACGGTCTTCGTGTACAGGCTCAGCTACGGCCGCTATATTTTTTTCACCGCGTGCTAGACGTGGTCTATTCGGTCGAATATTATCCAATAATGAATGTTTGGTCTCAAGATGGGTGATGGTGTTGTAAATAGTACGCTCAGTAGCCCGATTATGTTAACCACAAGTTGAGTAAAGCGCGCGAAACACATTCTTTACAGAACGTGAATTTTCGTAGTAAAGTTAAACGATTTGTAAACGTTGTTCAGGAGTAGGTCTTTCCATGATGAAATGCCAAATAATACTGAACAAAAACAACTCGACAGCTTGACAAGACCCACGCGTGATCTGTCAAAAAAGGCTATTAAGAAAAGTACCTGAAGTTAGATCACCGCGTGGGGCGTGTGAGTGTATGTGTGGAGTATAGTTCCCTACAAGAAACTGCTGATGGTTTCACCAATACACTCACATTTTTTATGTCAGTCATGACGTACAGTTTACTTGTCAACTGCCCGTCACTTTTTTGCTCAAAAGGGACACCTACGACTTATATTGCATGCATCTGCAAAAGCCATTATACTATGAAATGAATCAATGAAATATTCAATAATACAGTCGCGAAATAAAAGAAGTGAATTTTCAGTAATTAACTAAACGGAATATTTAATACGAAACAGTGTTTTAGTTATTCTGTTTCCTTAAATATTGATTTGCTTATTTGACAGCTATTTCACTGTCACGCGAATCTACCGTTATACAACAACTTATTTTGCAGTAATTAATTTTTCATTGGTATTGCAATCTGGTCTTTCAAAGTTAGTGTGTTACTAAAAGTACACTCTTTGTATGGTATGTGTGTATGTGTGTGTTTAAGCTCTTTTTGTTTGGGTTTTTTGACTCCACTGCCTTCGTCGTCTCTTTTATTTAGTGTTTGATTTTACTGCTTTTGTTTGCATCATCAAATTGCCGCTACGTGTTCGCTTTGTAGTCGGGCCAATATCGTTCGATGGCTAACCCACATCCACACATCCCCTCACTTACAGAGGTGTGCGCATGGATGTGTTCATACCTTTGTCGGAAAATTAATGTCTGCCTGTCGAATATCATATAGCGATTGAGATTTTATTAGTACTAAAATTAATGCCTTCTTTTGCTGTTGTACTCACATGTAAACACATGTATGCTAATAGGAATAGGTCGTAGCATGCAGTAATGTGAATCATCTATTTCTGCATAACTCAATTTAGTCGACATTTTATTTATTTACAGTACCTGGTATTTGAAAATGATTGGAGAGAACACAATATCAATGACTTTACTTTTGGTGGTTCGGTAGGCAAAAATATATATCCAATCAAAATAATTGATTTAGACATTGTTTCAACTGAAGGTTCAGTAAATTCTTCCACTGCATGCTTCTGAGACATATTGAATATATTTATTCTCGTTTACCACTCAATGAAACATTAGTTCAAATCGCAGTTGAGGTGAATTTATCCTTTTATTTTAGATGTTATTTACCGCTCAGCAGGCCAAACTTATTTATGGCATGAAAAAGTTCTACAGAAATCCTGCAGTCATTTAAAGCTGACTGAAAACCATAAGGGTCAGACCACAATTAGAAATAGTAGTTTGACCATATACCTAACAGTGGTTCAAGCCCCATAGGTAAGGCATACAGTGTTTTCATTCGCTCTAAACTCATAACTGTGTAAGTACCTGGTGTAGTCAACGTTCCTCCAAAATGCCAAACTTCTGGATTTCTTCCCTACCATAGCGTTTTGCTGTCAAAATCTCTAACATTTGCATAACACAAACAGCTTTAGCTGCCTTTTAAATTTTCTTCTTCATGCTTTGTCTCTCTCTTTAGATTTGTCAATGACATTGTCCTTAAGAGCTTTTATTGGCGAATGGAAACCAGAGCATTGAGTTACAAAACGCCTGACAACAAGCAAAGCGACAACTGTCGCAAATCAATTTATATCAATCATAATTAGGTGTGAAATAACAACTTAAACGAAGCCACACGCAAACGAGCCGAGCGCACGACTGGTATGAGGTAGAAGGACGGAAAATTAACAAAGTCTTCCAACGCTCTTGTCAGCCACTGAATTTGATTAATTGTAACAATAAAGTCGAAACAAATGCTGCGCAGTCAGTAAAGAGTGAGGAGTGAAAAAAGCGGTCGAGTGACAGCGTGACAAGCAACGCCGGACTGCATACCGCTAGGAGACAGAGTGGCATTGCGCGGGCATTTAGAAATTCCATCGTTGCAATTGCTAAATTTGACACGCTCGCAATTGTCCGGCAAATTGTCGGCGAACTGAGATACGTTTCACTGTCGCATATTCTAGAGGCCACAGGCAGGACAATTAAACAACAAGAACAACAGTAGTAGGGGGTACATCGAGCCGTAGAAAGAACTGTACAATTAAATTGCATGAATTAGCAGTTTAGAGCAGCGAAAGAGTAATCAACAACCATACATCAGTACTGACGACCACAACTGAAGCAACAACAGTCATAATTACTGCAACCGACGCATCAGCACATAATCACACAGCTACACATCAACTGGTTCCCTACACCCGCAAGCGGCGAATTATCAGACGGTCGAGCTGCCGTCACAATAGTGGTATTCCCAAAGCAGCTCTAACAGGCCACAGGCATAGAAATCTACGCACATTTTGGCGCTGACACACATACAAAGCTAGCATTTCCCGCAACTGACAAGCCTGCCGGAATACAAATTCAATATTGTTGCCGTTGTTTGGAGTTTATTAAATTGATTGGCCGTAACTAATTGGACAGTCGAGCGTGGGCGAGCGTACGAAAGCCGACGGCAACCACAACTATATCAAATCCCAGCAAGCGGGCCTGCGAATACAGTCTGAACAACAAGCAACAATTACAACAACACCATCCATATGTAGTTGTGAACATTTTCAATTTTATAGGCACACAACAACACTTTCACAACTCGACATACAGGTAATACTAATACAGATCTATTTGCACGCACACACATTACACGAAAAGCTACTACAACCTAGGGACATTCACTAGAGAATTACATAGGCACACAGTCAAACACACAAACATTAGCACACAGCAACGCACATAGTTTAATGAACACGGCATTTCATACAGTGTTGGGGTATAATTTAATTAGTCAAAATAGCGCAACGTTGGAAGCAACTCAAGCAGCATATACTGAACCAGCCGCAACATAGGCCGGTACAACACGAAGCGCAGCAGCAGCAGCAGTCGCTGCCGCCACAACCACAATCACCCAAGCACCCGCCTCAACAGCATACGCAGCCGCTCCAGCAGGCTCTACCAAAGCTCCAGGCGCAGCAGGGGCAACAGGCGCTAGAGCTAGCAATCGCGCCGCAGCAGCAGCAGAGGCAACAGCAGCCAACGCAGGCGCCTCAATCTTCCTGCGTGGCGTCTGCAGCAAACGACCCAGCAACATTTGTTCCCATTAATCCAGCAACCACAAAAAAAACAACGGCAACAACGGCGGCCAGAGTTTTCTCGCGTTACGATAGTCTTGAAGAGCTGCAGCAGCGTACGAGCAGAAGTGGAAGCGCAATCGGAATATTGCCAGTGGTCGCGGCACAGGGTCCACAAGGATCGCGTGGCAGTATAGCAGTTGGAGCTGGTGTTGGCGCGGCAGGTTTGTATGCATCTGCGGGTGGTCGTTTACCAGTAGCAGGTGGCGTTATCAGCAATAGTGGAAGCGGCAGCGGTGTTGGTGTGCGCGGTTCGGGAGGTTCCCGCAGTGGTAGCATAGCAGTTGGAGTGGATGGTCATCGTGCAGTGCTGAGTAGCAGTGGAGCAGGCGTGGTATTACCAGCTGGTCAGAAGTTAAGTAGGAGCAGTGTGAATGGCTATTCAACGGCAGCTGCAGCGGTTGGTATTGGTGGTGGTGTTGGCATCGGAGTTGGCGGTGGAGCGAGCGGCTGCGGAGTCAGTTCTTCACAATTAGTAGGTAGCACTACATCGACGGCACGAGGGCGTCTTTCAATCAGTTCACCATCTGGCGCTAGCGCGGGTGCATCTGCAGCGATACAAGGCGGTGTAGCCACTGCGAATGAATTCTTGTTAATAGGTGGCGCTGGTGGTGCAGGTGTTGGTCAAGGAAGTAGTGCTGTTGGTTCTGGTGCGGGTAGCGGAGCTCCCGGGGCTGGCGGTGTTGCTGGGGCAGGTATTCCTAAGCGCCAGGGAAGCTTTTCAAATGTTTTCTCGAAATTAATCGACGGAATGCCCGCCGGTACAATGTTCTCTAAATTCAAGAGTGCCAATACGGCATCCACATCACTACAAAATATCACCGATGCAAATCCTATCAGTCAGTACTTCGAGATCGGCAAACAAGTGGCCTGTGCAGGCCCGGAATTGGTGTGGCGGATACACGATGGCTACCGCAAAAGTGACGGCAGGGTAAGTTCAAAATTATAATTTTACCCATAATATGCGTTAAAACTGCTACACCATGAAGTATATATTATACATGTAGACAGCCTTGCATGCTTAGCGGCGACTTTATTCACTTCAATATACAATAAGTACACTAGGATGTAAAATTGTACAATTATTAAAAAAAAAAATCGTGAGAAAACCCTTTTGAAATTTCAAAGGTCAAAAGTAACGCTTTCTTTATTTCTTCATTCTTTAGGAATGTTCTATATTTGTTTTCGAGAAGAAAATTGCAGAAAAACTTCATAAGCCCCGACGTAAAGAAACAGTAACAGAACTACTGAGAAACTCTGTAAAAACAATGGAGCGTTTTCGTCATCCTAAAGTAAGCAGATAACATAAATATCTTTTAATTATTCTATTTATGGTAAGACTGCCTTGGGTTATTATGTTAATTAGCGTGGCTCTTTAAATTTTATTATATTAAACTAATTTTTCTAATTTTTCATAGATTCTACAAGTTATCCACACAGTGGAAGAATCGACAGATACTTTGGCCTTCGCTGCTGAACCTATCTTCGCTAGTCTCTCAAATATTTTGGCGTTTCATGTAAGTAACTAACCAAATTAAGAATAATTTAATGTAAGGCTTCTTTTAATTATGCAAATATATTAGTGAAGTTTCTTTATACTAGGAATTTTATATGTGATCGCCGATTAGCATTCCCTCGCCGATTAGCATTCCTTTTGATAATGGCCCCGCCGCATGCCCAGAACACATTTAACACCTATTATTGCCTGTCTACTGCTGAAGCTATTTTCTAACCATTGTGCTGCGTTGACTAATTTATATATATTACATATTTTACCAGTGGAAAGATAATGATACATCGAAGTGACGTATCTTCTTTTAAAAGACTTTAGACTTAAGAATGTCTAAGGTTTTAAAATTATTACTTTTTGACTGAGATAGTTTATTTCATTCATTTGTAGTCTTATGAGGTACATATAAAGTCATAAAAACTGCGCATTTGAATTTGATCCGAATACTTAAATCTTTATACAAATGGTGAAATTCGCCAAGTTTAACCCGTTTTTTATTTATCAATGTTTTCCATATATTTTTCTTTTTAATATTTAGCATAGAGCTGGAAGCAAGTACTCTTTATTTGAGGAATCCATGTCTTCTCTTTTCACTTGCACAAGCATAAAAAAAATTACCAGATTACTAGAAAGCAAGAAATATACGAGTATACGAGGTGTGTTCAAAGAAAAAGGTGAATTTGGATTTTTCGCGGACGTGTACATTTGTTGAGCCAATTTCGATTAGTAGTTTGTTTTTGATAACAGAAAAGGTAAGTCCCGTTTTCGATTCTCTGCTCTTCGATTTTTGACTTTTGAAAGAAAAGGATCAAAGAATATGTATTAAATTTTGCGTTAAAAATGGAATAAAGTGCTCAAAGGCACTTGAAATGTTGACTGTGGTATTCAGTAAGTCCACTTTGTCTCAAAAAAGTGTTTATAAGTTGTTACAAGCGCGTTACAAAAGGCCGAGAAGATGTTGATGACAATGGGCATCCTGGAGGTGCGACCATGTCAACAAGCGAAGAAAACATCGAAACAGTGAAAAAAAATTGTTCTTGAAAATCATCGAATCACTATTAGGGAAGTTTCAGAGGATGTTGGCATATCAATGCCATTCAATTTTCTCGAATGTTTTGGGCATGAAACGTGTGGTAACTACCGTATTCACCGGATTTGCCTCCCTACGACATTTTCCTATTCCAAAAACTAAAGCCATAATTTTGCCACAATTAATGAGATCAAATCGGAATCGAAGAAAGAGCTGATGGATATAAGCGCGTTTCAGAAGTGCTTCGAGGATTGGTAAAAGCGTTAGCACAAGTGTATTATATCCTTTGATACCTAAAACGATCAACAGTGATCGAAATCAGCTTTACGCTCGGCTTGGCTTTCAGCGTGCACTCTGTAAGCACCCTTAAGCTTAGTTTTAAGAAGAAGTTGTCGTGCTTTAAAGTTATAGGTAGTTCTCTGTCCGAGATTTTCCCAATGTTTTATATATGTATTACGTTTGTCTCCTCTTTCGCCAGTGAAATTCAGTACAGAAATCAATGAATATTTTATGTACCACAGTGGTTTTCAAAAGTCACCTTCACAAAGCTAAAGTTGCATAAACACTCGTATATAGATCATTAAGTACACTTATGCATTTAGGCAGCCGAGCGTGTTTGGCATTCGGTCACGTGCGGCACATTGCGAGAGATAAACTTTTCACATTTCGGCTTATATCGACCACGAATGCTGGGGTGTAGTGTCCCTGCTTGTTCGCCCATTATAAAACATATCACATCTTCTCTGCTGCTCTTCTGGCCTCCAGCGTATACTCAACTTGCAACGCCTCGAATATGGTTTCACCTATCAACGGCTGTGTTTGGCGTGAGTGTACATACATATATGTATGCACCACAGGTTGCCAAAGCTGGTACTGACACTGTGTCACTTGGCAGCGGGAACGACAAGGGGCTGGCGAGTATGAGACTCTAAACATATACTCTCATCTGAGGGAAGAGCGCTTGTTGTCTCCCTGCTGGTGGGTGGTTTGTGAGCAGGTTTGCGGAAATTGATACACCACAGACTGTTTACGCGTCAAGCACTACGCCCCCGCTAACCGACCTTTGAATTTGATTACGTGCACCTGAGTCGCATTCGTGTAAATTTAAGTATGTTATATTTAAGGGAGAACTAGTCGGAAAATTTGTTATAACTAAGCAACACCGGTGAATAATAAGTTTTGTTGCCTTAGATATAAGATCGATTTTAAATATGTTTGTGCCCACAGTTTATAAAATTATCAATGGTTATGTAAGATTTGCTCCCGTTTATTTTTATACTCTATATACTATATATTTTATACTAAGATACAAGACTGTTATTTGGTACACAGGATCACATTAGGGAGGGGCATCTGCAGTTAAATTTTTTTTTTAAGTGGGCGTGGTCCCGCCTCCAATAGGTTTAATGTGCATATTTCCTAAACCGCTAATGCTATAATAACAAAATTTACTGGAAGCAAATGTGTTTAGCACTTCTATTGACGGTGTAAAAATAGTTGAAATCGGGTGGCAACTCCGCCCACTCCCCATATAACGGTACTGTTAAAAACTACTAAAAGCTCGATAAATCAAGCACTAAACATGCCAGAGACAGTAAATTTTATCTCTAGGATGGTATGAGATGACTTTATAGGAACCGCGTTCAAAATTAGACAGTAGGCGTGGCACAGCCCACTTTTAGGTGAAAACCCATATCTTGAGATCTGCTTAACCGATTTCAACAAAATTTAGTGCATAATGTTCTTTTCATATTTCTATGTCATAGTGCAAAAATGGCGAAATCGGACTACAACCACGCCTACTTTCCATATAACACCATTTTAAATTCCATCTGATTCTTTCACTTTCCACTATGCAAATCAGGCAACAATGACTGTATCGCGATAAAACTTTGCGTGAATAATGCGATTAAAGTATGCCGAAATTTGCCTAAATCGAACCAAAACTGTTTAAGCCCCTAAGTACTAAATATGTGGACCCCAGTGCCTATAGTTGACCTTCTACCGAAAATATCAGTCAATCCACAAAGAAATCTCAAACGAGTATACTATTTGACTTTGAGTATATATAAGAGAGTATAAAATGTTCGGTTACATCCGAACTTAGCCCTTCCTTACTTGTTAAATCTTTATTTTGATTTTACTCATATATATAATGTCAGTTTTGTTTGGAAAAATAAGGATGAATCAAAGTGCATAGAGAGACAAAAGTCGAAAACATATGTTATATTTCGATGAGCTTTTCTTTAATAATTTTCCAGTGGGCAATCCTTTTTTAAAACTAGCAGAAAACTGATATAATGCGACGATCCCATTAACCTTGCTTGATCATTCTTAACTTGAACTTTCGTATTATTTTTCACATATTTCTGGTAAAGAGCTTGAGAAAAGGGATTACGTGAGGCTTGTATGAGCGAAAAAGAGGCGCAGAACCCTTATCATGCCTGGAAACATAAAAATTTAGCCCCAAAAATCTGATCATTACCACTGATATCACATCACTATAGCATATAGCTGCCATACAAACTGATAGAATAGATTCTTCCTCTAAATCACCCAAATTTAAGTCTCCTCACAGCCATCCGGTTTACATATATAGCGACTATGTTTGAATTAAGAGGCTCATAATAATGCAGAAGTTCATATTTTCTACACCATATTTAAGTATTTGCATATCTGTTTATTGTAAGAGCAAAGCTATACTATTACATAAGTGCATAGTACGGTATGTAATTGCAACAAAATATGTTATTGCATCGCTGTAGACCGCAAATCAGGTGCAAATGCGTTGTGCGATTAAGTTCTTTACCCGAAAAAACCATATCACATGACTCTTTTGAATAAGAGCAATCACATTTCGCTGCATACATTTTCCGTCTATTGTTTGCAGGAATCGAAAACTTATGAAAATGTGGCCATGCCTTCGAACAGTGGAGCGACGGGCACGCAGAGCAGTCAACAGCAGAACACAGCAGGACCCCAACGGCCGGCTCATGCCAAAGAGTATAATTTTTTGGATATCGAATTGAAATACGGTTTTCTGCAAGTGAGTTTTAAGCACAAAAACCTTATATGCCTAGGTGTGTATGTGTATAAGCAAATCAATGCAAAAATAATTCGAATAGGCGTTTTGAGAAATAGGAAACCAATTACAGCCTTTACAGTTATATTAAAAAAATTTGCTACTTTCGGTTGAGTGCACAATTTTAACCAATAAGAAAACAATTGAACTTCACAAATTTTAACATGAATTCAATAGAAATCATCGACAGATCTTTCGATTAGTAAATGCCATTGTAAAATCCATAGAGCATTATGTTCGCAAGAATACTTGCTCACTAGAAAATATTATATTATTTTGAAATAAATATTTTATTGTATTCTACGATATTTCTTCTTGATGAGTGAGGACCGTTAATCTGAATTTTAAACTGTTGCTTTTATGTTGATCGATTGATTTATTACTTTGTAAACTTAAGCTTATGTGAAAAAATTATTATAAAATTGTGTTTGAAAACACTGGTGCCCTAGAAATAAAATTATTATTATATCGAACACAAGTAAATTGGCAGCTACATCCAGATTTTTCCAAATGATAAAAAAAAAATACAAGATACAAGTTTTCCAATTTTACAATTTCCCATAGTATTCCCCACAAGCTCAGTTAATAACTACAGTGTGTACGTAATTGTACAAATTTCGTGAAGCACAATGCACTTTCGCAGTGCAGAAAGGGAATCGCGCAGAAAATTCTACTTAAGAGGAAAACTTTTAAGTTAGGCAATTTTGGCAACATTGAGATTATCTATTATCAAAATAAATCTTTTGAACTTTCCACTTGATTTAATTGTAAACTTTAAGTATTTGTTAGTTTCAAAGCATTGCCAAGTTTTGAACATTTAACACGAGTTCAAGTATACTTATTTCGAGTATTTAGAAGAAAGCATTGTGAATTAATTGAGTAAAGTAGATAGAATATCACTTCAATTACAATTTACAGTTATACGTATATTTGTATGAATTTATGCACTTGTTTTCTCTTGCAGCTGGTGGAAGCATTATCCTTTTTACACTACTCGGGCCACGTCATTCATCGAAATGTGTGTCCTTCATCTATTTTAGTTACCAAGCGAGGTACTTGGAAATTGGCTGGCCTAGAATTTATTGGTGAGTATTTTTCTATGCAAAATTGTTACTAGTTTACCAACCTTTTGGAAGGAAAACTTTTCTACTGCTATGAATATGGACCATTTACACTTATTGTATGATATTTTACTTGATAGCTTACCAGTTTTTATGAGTTTTGTGGTCAATTTAGGAAATTCGAAAATGTTTTAAGGGGCACAACTAGTGTTACTGAATATTATCCAAAGTTTGGGTCGCTTTTGGCCTGCCAAAATTCTATTTTTGATCAGATCAAAAATCTGGTAGGTCATTGCATGGAAAATTTCTTATACATATATACAGAACATGCAAAAAAATCGGATCATTTGTCTGCGTGTATTGACTTAAGTAAATAGAAAAATGTAGTTTTGAGAAAAACATGTTTAAAAATAAACAACGGATTCAGTATTTCAGCAAGGCGTAATTAGTGTTAACCATTTATCCTCATGTTTTTGTTTTATTAACTCCTACTATATTACAGGTGTTTACCATATTTCACTACTATACTTTAGCCACAAATAACTATATTCATCATATTAGTAGTGGGGGAAAGTACGAACCAATATCATCATGGAGATGTTAATATTCAGTACCTATACATGGGATCAGAGAACATATGTGTTGATTTCGAACATTTTAGATTAGAATTATATAAAAAATATATAATAGTACGAAAGTACTTTCCCCTTTCCCCTAAAAGCGGGCGTGGCACCCCACTGACTAATTTTGAACGCGGTTCCTATAAAGCCATCTCATACCATCCCAGAGATAAAATTTAATGTCTCTGGTGTGTTTAGTGCTTGGTTTATCGCGCTTTTAGTATTTTTTAACAGTACCGTTATATGAGGAGTGGGCGGGCTTGTCACCCGATTTCACCCATTTTCACACCGTCAATAGTGGTGTTGAAAACATTTGCTCCCAGTGAATTTGGTATTAGTATAATTAGTTTTAGGTGATAAAAACAACCGTTAGGTGAACAAAACTATTATACTCTGTAGCAACAAGTTGCGAGAGTATAAAAAAAGACATATATTAATAGAACTAACTTTATGTGAGCATGTGTACGCATTTTTTTATTTCTAACAGAAAGAATGAATGAGACTGATGTAAATGAGTTAGTTCCTTGCCCGCCTTGGAGTAACAAGGTTTCTAAAATGGCTCAACCTAACCTGGATTTTATGGGTAAGTAGAAAAACCAGGTCATCTTTACAACTATAATATTTTCTGGAGATGTACTACTCTTTGTGAACAACCACGTCGATCCAAATTACAATATTCGTGTTTTGTGTCTCTTTTCGCAGCTCCCGAGACTCAATTAACTTCGAAGGGCAGCCTACTTAGTGACATGTTCTCGTTGGGTTTGGTAATATGTGCAGTATTTAACAGCGGACGACCGCTCATCCAAGCCGGTAATATAGTTTCGAGTTATATGAAGCAATTGGAGATGGTAAGCAATATATAGAAAGCCTTACAGTCAAAAAGCTGCAAATTTATTTATTTATTTTAATTCATATTTTAAAATCGAAAAACTCACATATGTACACAATCTCACTTATTCATAAACGCTACTTACTCCTGCACCGAACCGACAGCTTCGCGCAAAGCACAATTCGCTCTTCGTGATCTAATTGCAAATTCAATAAAAAAATATTTGCTAACTTCATTACAAATAGAAAACCTAAATGTTTACCGGAACTAGAAATAAATCCAGTACTAAAAAAAAATTCAATTTCCAACAAACTAACGTCTAATTGACTGACGGAAAACTGCCCCATAACGACCACTAGAACATTGAAGTATACAAATATAATATTATATATCATATACGTAGTACGTACTACGTTCTCGTTATTTGAATGTGCAGTTATAGTATACTCCAAACTTAGAGGGGAAACGCAATTCAATAACGCTTAATATACAGCTGATCAGGATTCCTTTTTTTTCAAAAATATCCCCTAAACTATTTCCGTTTTGAGATATAAACAATACTTCCCTCAGAAGTTTTGAGGATTTTGGGATTTAAGGGACCCTCGAAATGAAGTAACTGCTATTGCTGAGCATGAAAGCAATCCAATGATGAAATACACACGCTTACCACAAAAGTTCTTCTCCATGAAACTATTTCATGCAATTTTTACAACTATTTCTTCCGCCCTTTTAGAAGCATTCCATGTGAAATGTATGTAGGAGTGTTTGCCTAAATGCAAATACTCACCATTCAACTGCCACAACAGCTGCATTTACTGAAATGGCGTGAGGCTTTGGAAATGCAGAGAAAACAATGGTAAATTGACTCCTTGATGGTAGACTTTTTAAATTTTTTGTTTTTGGTTATGGGCTAGTTTGAAGTGTTTGTTCACGAGAAGTGCTCGGATGAAATGGAATAGTAAAATTCTGTGCTGAAGAGTCTTAAAAGCAGACTATCAAGTTTAACTTTCAAGTGAACACAAGTATCGGAAGTTTATTCGCAAAGTGCTGTTGACATTGATAAAGAACGCTTGTGAGAGCAAAACCATAGAAAATTCTGGCTCATCACAAATGATTGATAAATTGAAATTTTGGGAAATTACCACTCGTGTGAAAATAATTTTTTATGATTTCAATCCTTGTTGAATTTAATCTAATTTTAAAGTGCAGAGAAACACGAAACATAGACTTTTAAAAATATTCCAAATTAGATAGATAGGGCGAGCTATTTTTGTCTACCGAAATTACTAAATACACTCCCAAAGTGCCGATTCCACGATTGTTTCTCTTTCTAATAAGGCACTAAGCCAGGAGTTTATTTGTTTTTCTTTTAATTAAGTCACCCATTGTTTGTAGTGCTTTTACTGAGAAATTTATTTAAAAGCCTTATTAATAGAGAGGTACAAAAAGTATAGAAAAGTTAAAACGCTATTGTGATGTAATATTTTCAGCTGGAGGAGTCTGTGCAGAAAATGTTGCCACGGGTGCCGGTACCACTACAGGAGGCTACCTCTCGTTTGGTTAGTCGAGATCCCACCGCTCGACCGACTTCACAACTATTGCAACTGATTAAATACTTTAGGTAAGTGCGACTTCAAAAACTTATATATTTATAAATATTCCCATAATTAACAACTAAGGAAAGGCTAAGTCCGGGTGTAATCGAACATTACGCTTGCAACTTGCATCAAAGCAGGGAAAATACCTTCAGGTGATAGGAAAACTTTTTATTATAACATGTTGCGAATCAATTCAACATTCATTGTTCGATGAAATTGTAAATCGATTACAATCAAATTTGGTATTTATTAACTTATATTATAGGTTATAGACTCACTTAGTTTTATTACTATATTTTACTTTCCGTCAGCTAAAATTATATTATATAATAATCATCTGTAGATGAGATATATGGAATATAAACTCAACTGAAGAAGCTAAATTTAATTTAATGAGTTGATGTGAAAACGTCAACCGGAGGGTCGCAATTTATTATTTTAGGGATATAAGGTTTGGACCAATGGCTAGACCATTTAGTTTTATTGTAGGACATAGAAAGCGATGGGCTAATTGTGGTTAATTTTGACATTGCTGAGATATACTTGAGATCATATTTTCAAGCTATTGAATAAATATATAACTCACACATTGAACGACATGTTTTCCATAAAGTTTGATAAAATAACGAAAATCAATATATGTAGTATTTGGGAGATGGAGTAATTCGTAGACCAAATTCACATATTTTTGGCATTAAACTATAGTATATCCAATATCCTGGGTTCAGTTAATTTTGCTGAGATATCTTAAATATTTACTGATATATTTTTGCCAATACAACATACTATTAACAGAATAAAATCAACCGGATGTTTGAAAATTCTGCTTTATTAGTTATATGGGGGCTAGAGCAAGTTTTCACCATATTTTACTTATTTTGAGCACAAAGATACACTGTTATTAGGAAAATACGATCCCTCATTTTTATTTAGATAACCCAAATATTGGCTGATATATGCGATATAAAGTCACCTGACGTTTGAATATCTTTATATTAGTTATATGGGGGCTAAGGGAAATATTGACCAAACTCAACCCTGATCCGATTTTTTTCTCACTGTAATATGGGAATATTTTAAGAATGTGCGCTGCCACGCCCACCTTCTAATTTTGGTACCAGCTCATACAAAGCTCTCTTGTGGCGTCCTAAACTTAAAATTTAATGTCTCTGAAGCATTTAGTTAAAGATTTATCGCACTTTAAGTAGTGTTTAAAAAAACCGTTATATGAGGAGTGGGCTGGGTTATCATCCGATTTCACCTATTTAAACACTATCGCAAGAAGGCTTGTTTGTTTGTTGTGTGCAAATTTGGGTGATATAGCTTTATTGGTTTGGGAGATATACACAATAAACATATTAGGGGGGGTGAGCTCCTTAATTAGATTCGTTGTGTAAAATTTGAGTGCTGTATCTTAATTTACGGCTTAGTTATAGCACTTTATACGTTTTCGATGAATGGCATTTTGTGGGCGTGGCAGTAGTCGGATTACCGTCTACAAACTCGTCTTTCCTTTTTTGCCAAGAAACATGCGTTCCACACAACTGTTAGTTGAACATAACTATTACACTCTGTAGCAACATGTTGCAAGACTGTAAATATAAATACAATTACAAATTATACTAATTTCCTGGCTAAATTTGTGAGGTTAGCCTTGTATTTAGTCATAAGCATATAAAGTTACACAATATCTAACAATTCGTTAATTCCCAATGGTAGATTTAAACATTTGCTTAAATATATAAATTTGAGAGATGTACATATCATATATACATACTTATATAGATCGTCTTAAGTCAGGCTCTAATTTCCAATGTTTGAAGAGTGAAAATATGAGATTCATGTGGCGAATTTGTTCAGAATTCTTGGAATGTAAGGGTCGCTGAAGAATGAAAGTGTTCTCAAGCATTTACCTCCCATCACTTTCCGCCAAGGGTGACGCCATTATTTATGCAATGTAACACGTTTTCTCAGCTTTCTCGAAAACAACCGACCCCTCGTGACGAAATAACGTAGGAGCTCCTCTCGTAAGAGATTTATTTGTATAAAATATCACAAAGCGAAGGAATACGGTATATATGTGCGTGTGCATAGCTTTTGTGTGAGACTACCACTCGCTCCAGTTAGGAGTTGCTCAGAAGTGCGTTTCGATACGTCGAGTAAGTAATGTAGGAGTATGTACCGTTGTGGTTTGTTTAACTTACCCTTATGCTGATTGACAAGTGTTGCGCCATTCTGAGAAGGCGATTTATTGAGACATAATTTCGCACACACACTCTCACACTAAATATTTATTTCTTGTGAAAAATACCCCAGCCGGGGTAATGGAGAAAGCGCGTAGAATAGCACAAAGTGGAAAATACAACAGAATACAAAGATGTAAATACAGTTTTCCTGTAGTTGATGGCCTTCATTGCAAAGCTTGAAAGCTTTGTTTTTGTACTTCTAGAAGCGTGATATCGCGCGGGGCTGTGTGTTCGCTCATAGCTCGAGGAACGATGCTGATGCCACTTTTTGCAATGAGTGTGGCAGAGACATTGACGCATCCGTCGCTGCTGGCTATGTCTAGACCAAAAAATGGTGATAGACATAAAAATAGTAGACGCACATTAAGACGATTTACAAGTAGATGAATCCTCGACATTTCCGATTTGCGGGGATGCAATTATCAATGAAAATAAGGATACTTCGTGGGTTATAGTGAGATAGTTCAATTAATTTTAAATTTTTTGGAGAAGAAAGTCTATATACCTTATACTAGGTTTTAAACAGAAGAGTATTTTTGTTCTTGTCCGTTCAAGCATATTTTCGGAGAGTGTAGCTCAAATATAATAACCGATAATCTTAAACATTTTTGTTTTTTACAAAAAGATAGTTCTATATGCTCTAACCCAATTTTATCAGTGACTACAGCATGTCTTTTAATATTTTTAGACAGGAATCAGATTACAAAAAAATTACTAAACATTTTAGGCAGGCGTTAAACTTGCCAAGTAGCTTAACTTTTCGAAAATCCAATTTCAAGCTATTATTTCCTCTTAAGAACCAATCCTTCAAACTTCTTAGTCGGCACTTAAGAATAATTATGGTTTCAGTGCAAAATAGGCAAACTTTTAGAAAGAAGATTTTACTAAATTTAAATCTCAGCAACATGTGATTGTGTGCATCTCTACTTTCTGTAAATGTTGACGACCAGTCACGTAAATTGGTATAACCACGAAAGAGGCAGAGGAATAGGTGGAATAATGCGTCCGAAGTGAGCGGTAAGGGCAAGTATAAATTGAAACTCGTAAGTAAGCAAATATTTGCGCTTTCCATTCTGCTGGAGATTAAACCACTTTAAAGATAATTTAAATGCTGTCAACAATTCTTTTATTCCTTATTTCTTGTTGAAATGAGATCCACACTGTTTACGCAGGTTAAGTACATTACCCGCAAGGCTTAAGTGTAGTTTGTTTGGTTGTCTGCTTGAATGCAGCATTGGAAGCGTCTCTCACACACCATCGCAATGGTGATACATAAATACCGGCATAGGCTTACATAGCCATGCACAGACAGACAGCTGTTTTGCTTTTGAAAGAAGTAAAGTGTGATTAGAGGACTTTTTTAAATTTGCGTCGATCCACATTTAAAGAAAAATTAGATGGGTGGCGGTTTCAATTGGAATTCTATCTGTTTAGCTGTTAATAAACTTTAATGCTAATGGCTGCATTGCGCAGAGTAGTTGTTTTTAGAAATTTTCATTCATAAATTAGTTGTGAAAATTCTATACATAATTATCATACATATACGAGTATCTACATACGTACGCTTTAACTTTCAGTGATCCCGCTGTAAACGCACTCAAGTTCTTAGATGTGGTCAACATGAAGGACACATCGCAGAAGTCTCATTTCTACAAAAACACGCTAATGGAAGCAATGCCGCTGATACCGCGAGTAAGTAGTCAGCACACACTTGCGCACTTTATGCTTATGTATTGTACTTAAGAAAAACTTACGTTAAACCCTTGAATGCCACACACTTGTGTACATGGAGAAGATTTCACAGCAGCAAGCAAATTGATGGAAATAAGTAATACTCAGGGTTTTCACGTTTATTTAAATGAAAAGAAAACAAAACATTCATGCAACAGGTGTATACGCAGTAAACATCAAAGAACCATCATGAAACTTGCCTTGCAAGTCTGTGCATTCTACGTAAAAGTGACTGTAGTTTAACAGCGACTGTGTGTGTTTAAGAAATTCACGGAGTCAGGTGCGCGCTTAATGGCTAAATGAAATTCCGACACATTTATGAGGCAGCAATTGCTTGGCACATAAAAGGACCTGTTGCCGCGGACCGCGGTGTTATAGTAGTACTTGCGAATCGCTTGTTCATACTCATAATGTTTTGGTCGTTGTTGCCTCCTTGTTTTATGACTTGCTAATTTCACCCAAAGCTAATAAAAATATGTAAAAAAATATATATTATTTTTATGTATGAGAAAGATTTTACGTTGACCGGCATTCACTGTTCATAACAATTAACGTTTTATTGCAGAAATTGTGGTGGCAAAATGTGTGGCCAATGTTGCAGGCCGAAATCAGTAATGGCGAAGTACTGGCAGCGGTTTTACAGCCCGTCATTAAACTTATTCAAGAGGCTTCACCGGGCGAATATGAGTCGATCATGGCGCCAACAATGAAGTAAGTGGTAGACATTTTCTTTCAAACAATTTTTAAAATTAAATTCGAAGCCTTTATTTTCGATTATAGCATATTTTAAACATAATTATAACTATACCATATTTACCAAGTGTCCTGTACATTAATAATTCAAAAATATTTACATATAAATATAATGATATAATTTGAGCTTTTAATACGTATGTATGTAATTATATTCGACCAATAAGTTATATAGTCCTACTTGTTCCACCGCTTTGAGTCATCAGCCACTTCCGTTTGTACTCCAGATATTTTTATTAGGTTACCAATAGGAGTACTCAGCGCATTTCATTGCGCCCGGTTCATGCCACCGCAAACAGAATCCAAATAGACACGGAACATTACCGCTGGCGCTATCCTTATTTTATTTGCCTTCTAATTCCATGTATGTTTTGTTTTTGTTTTTCATCTTCGCTCGTCACAATTCACTTGTGGTTGTTTTAGCCGTTTCGTCTTTTTGTTCTCGATTTGTTGACTCTCGTTCTTGTTCGCCATGTCCCTCATTGTCGTCGTTGCGATAAAAGTTGTTTGCACAATTTAAGTTTGTCAGTTTGTCGCTCGAAATTCACATTGTCCTTGTGTGTTCGCTGTAAAATTTAACCTCTTATTTGAGCTTTACATTTTTCTCGTTATTTGGTGCCACAATAAACCTATATTTCAGGTACTCGTTAAACAAAAGTCACCGGACATTTTTTTGTACTCTTGTAACATGTTGCTACACGAGTTGTAGATGGGCGCCATTAATCGAAAAAACCTATCAAATGCCATAACTAAGCACCAAATTGTAATTTAGCACAAGGGATCGCAGCAACAAGTGGCCGTGGATCTGCCCTCTAATAAGTTTAATGTCCATATCTCCTAAACCACTTAAGCCACAATATCCAAATCCGCTTAGAATCAATTGTTTCAGAACGCCTGTCGACAGTGTGAAAATGGATAAAATCTGATGGTAGCACCGCCCACTCTCATATGCCGGTACTGTTAAAAACTACTTAAAGCACGATAAATCAATAACAAAATACGCCAGAGACATTAAATGTTACTCCGGAGATGGTATAAGAGAACTTTATAGAAGCCGTGGTCAAAATTGTACGATGCGCGTGGCGCTGCCCAGTTTTATATAAAAACACATATCTCGGGGCCTACTGGACCGCTTTGAACCAAATTCGTAATGCTCCTAAAGTATGCTACCTTATGACCAATAATTGTTCAAATCGATTTAAAACTGTTCAGGAATATGTGAACCCCAGTATCTACAGTGGACTTTTTACCGAAAATACCGGTCAATGTGTGAGATATGGTATGTCAAAAATGGGTTGATCAGGTCAATACTTCCCTTAGCCCCCATACACCTCATATAAAGATTTTCGAACTTCCGTGTAACTTTATACCGCATATATCGGTCAATATGTGAGTTACTTCAATGCAAATTAGAGAGCGTATTTTTATAATAACAGTTTGTCTTTGTTGCTAAAATGGATAAAGTTGCCCCCATACTACAATAATATCTAATCATATCAGTTACCATAGTTATCATACAAGTTGTATAACTAATATCAGGATGACTGACTTTACTCCATATGATTAGTGATGGTTTGTGAGGTACCTTAATGAAACCCAGGGAACATTTTATCAGAATGTGGTATTCGCAAAAATAGATAAAATCGGGTCGATACTACCTCTGCTCCCATATACTACTTACAATGATTTTCGTACTATTTATATCTATTTAAAATTGCTGGAAAATATGTTCTCGAGTATACCTGAGCAATGTCAAAATTAATGCCCCCTTCGTTATCCCCAATATACCTCATAAAATGATTTCCGTCTTACCACCTGTCTTTCAATCGCTTAGGTTGGTCAAAATGTATGATATTTTAGTGAAACTAAGAGGACAATTTTTCTTGAAAAGTAAGTAGTTTAGCGCTGATTTAGGGTGGAGTTTGTCTATACATCGTTCTAAACCTCATATCCTTAATATAATGTATTTCGATCCTCTGGTTGACGTTTTCCACATCAACTCATTAGTGTTTTTAATATAATTTTAGCTTACGCGAACTAAAATAGAGCAACTAGTCTAAAGTTTATAGCCTTAAATATAAGTCAAGAAGGTACCACATTTGATTGTGATTTATTCACGATTTCATCGAATAATGGATGTTTAATTTATTCGCAACAGATTTTAACATAAAGTTATGCCAGCAACTGAAGAAATTTCGCGGGCTTTGATTCTTACAAGTTGCAGGAGTAAAAATATTTGGTCACACTCTAATTAGCCCTTCCTTACTGGTTTTCCTTTAATTTTGATTGCAGGATTTTGGCATTTTCTTTCAGCATTAAAGCACTTACTGGCCTGTTTTTACTTAGCATACGGATAAACTAACAGGAAAGAGTTTTCTCCATTTTGGGCAGCTCTCGAGTATGCAGTGTTTTTATTTATCTAGGTGCAAACAATGTGCCACTTATGCATTTTAAAATCACTTGTCCTTTCTGGTTTAACGGAATTTGTGAATTTCGCTAAGATCGTCACACTCGACCCTTTTTTGAATTAATGAAAATTTCAAATTTTTTTATTTACTGTCAAGCACACAGGTTTCATAGAACTCATTTTCAGGTAACAAATCATAAGCGAAGCGCTTCATGCAAATCCAAAATTGCAACTGATATGTTTAGCGCGTTACATGAAAACTCAAAAAACTCGTCATTTACTATAAATGAACTCCCAAGCCCAGAATTATTGAAGGTCCATGCATTGCAACCAAAAGACATGTAAAAGTCATGTACATTTATAGATGAATCGTTTTCCCAAACTTCTTTGCAGAGTAATTTTCGGGTCGCCCAAATCCATACAAGCCACTGTGACGTTGTTGGAAAATTTACACCTTATTATAGAGAAGACCGCTCCCGGAGATGTAACCACAGACATTATACCAATGCTGTTTTTTGCTTTTGAAAGCTCAACGATACAAGTACAGGTAAAGAATTCGGTTTCATTTATTATTTATTTGAAAATAGGTTTAAAAAACATTATTTTGGTTTCCGAAATTCTTACGAGTTCAAATTATACACTGTCATTTTTATGCTCCGCTCTCAGAGCGCTGCTGTTGTAGCTGTCACAAATGTTTTTGACAATATCGAAGATGTTTCCATCAGACGCATGGTGATTCCAAAGGTGAAATCTGTTTTCGAAAAGAATCTAGCGGATCCTAAAATTGTGCAAAACGTACTTATCTGCATAGATGGGCTCATGGATAAACTGGAGCGAACTCAGGTGAATAAATTAACAAAATTTGTTTATAAAACTAGTACTTCCGCTATGAAATGCTGCAGTTGGGTAAGTTCTAAGTATAGCAGAATTACTGAACGGACTACTTTCAACTTGCACAACCTGTGCTTTTCCGAAATCCCTACAATCAGTTTTATTCATCCTCTTCATATCAAAACATGCTTCTCAATGTTGCTGTAAAAGGTTATGGAAGAGGTGCTGCAGCTGCTTGGCGATGTCCGCATACCGGAACCGGATATTGTTATGCGTACAGTGCGTAAGTATTTTAGTGTTAATAACCGTTTTTAATGAGACATAAAGAAATTGTGGGACTTAGTTCTATTCTACTATGATACTAAAATTTAATATACTTGCTTTAAAGTACGCAAGTAAGGTAGTGAGTGAGTCTTTTGGTTGATGATAATAACGTTTAATTTAAAATATGATAATCGTAAGGAAGCTTCAGTGTCGAATCCTTTTCAACAGCACACTATTCGTGTCATGTCATTACAATCGTAGATTACCATTGCAAATTATTAGTTCTTTGTCTCTTAAACTCACATTTTTGCAAAAAAACTGCAAAAAAACTGTTTAACTGCTTGCAGATATATATCATAAATTGGTTGTCGATAAAACATATGGTCTGACCGTGGAGACAATGGCTACACATGTGCTTCCACTATTGATTCCACATACCGTTAATCCGGGTCTGAATCTCGAACAATACTGCATGCTGGTGGAGGTAAAATAAAACTAAACTTATACTCGTACACTTATATGTCCATACAAGTATATATAATAATGTAGACACTTAAATAATATATACATACACCATAAATATACATACGAAGATTGCAAATAGTAACGGGTTTGTTAAAAGTTTAAAAAAACACTAGCACATTCAAGCGATCCTATCCTCATTCAAAAGCACACATGCATGCCCACATACATCTACATTTTATTATATTATAGCTACCCTGCAGTAAATCAACTAGTTTAGCTGTTTTAGAACTGTGTGAAACAAAAGCTGAAGTCGGATTTCGTTCGCAAATATACGAGCCTTATACTATATCAAAGTTAACAAGTAATATCGTTTTGAAGCCAAATTATTTAATTTGAATTAATACTCGTTTTACTCCTGATTGAGACAAGTAAATAAATATTCTAAAATAAAATGAAATGCATTAATAAATCGTTCTGATGTTGTTCTGACTAGTTTGACTCCTTTAAGATACCAGAGATAATTTAGTGAATTTTTTGACTAGTTTGTTGCTTCACTGCAGGGTACATAGGCGCATAAATTATGGTAGTCGGTGTTAGTATGTCAGCTCATCTTTCAATGCAAACGCATGCAATACTCTTACTTCCAACAGGTGCTGCAAGAGATGCTCGAACAAATTGACCGTCAGCAACGAAATAAATTGAAACTGGACAATCTGTCAATACCATCACCGGAGCGCCATCGTCCATTGCGGCATCAATTCTCATCGGATAACATGAATGCCCCTCCATTCAACATACCCAATTTACGTATCGATCAACGGAAAACATCCAGTGCAGAGGATATGGCACGCAAGAATTCTGGAGGTACATACAGATATAACAATCGTTCATTATCACTCACATTAACACTATACATACACACATTATATGTTGCACTTGTTTGCCTGCATACCGACAGGTGTGCGGGAATTTGTCTGCGCTCTTGAAAGTATGCAATTATAGTTATTCACGCGACAATGGCGTCATGAATGATATCAACGAACATATCAACGTAAGTAGAATAAGTGTGTTCCCAGTTGACCACACTAAAAACCTAATGCCTATAAATATTATGTTTGTATGCAGATAATACTACGAAATGGTGTAATGGCAGAGCCAATGGCTATCACTTTTGCACGTAGGTTGCACGTAATCTGTACACAAATCACCACTTCCGAAAACACAAAGGAAGGAGTTGAGAAAGCGGATTTCGTCTTGATAGACACTCGCCATGTTGTAGCGTGGGAGTAAGCTTTCGGTTTCAGTCTCCGACCAGAATTTCGATAGTAGTTTAAAATTTCTGGTAGCTTCTGTTGGTTCGTAAAATTATCTGCCTCTTAATAAGGAATCATAGGAATCAACTGAATGCAAGAAAATTGTGAATAATCTTATTAACATTCAAGCACTTGTAAATTAAGGTTCATTGGATAATGGAAGCCGCAAATTTCGAATAACGACCATAAATGCTTTTCTAACTTAACTAATAATAAGATCCATCAGATATTACAGTTTTATTTCGGTGATGCGTTTACAAACAATTTAAAAGTTGGAATGGAATTTCGCTTGACTGCTTTCAGTGAGTACTTAGCTACTTTCATGCCTTCATGACTTCATATATGAATGCAAATATTTGGCCTAAGAAATTTGTACCAACTTACAAACAACAACAAATAATATGTATGCTGAGTGAAAAAGAATTGAAGCGCCTAAAGCCCCAAAAAGTTGTTAGGTACAAGCGGTAACACCAGTGCGATTTGTTCTAGCTTGTTAAGCCCTTTTAGGAAGCTTTCATTGTATGCACACACAAGTAAGCAAGGGCTAAGTACGGGTGTAACCGAAAATTTAAAACTTTGCGAATCACAAGTCTCAAAGGCACGAAAATACTTTCAGGATTTTGTAGAACCTTCTAAATCGCCAAATTATTTAGGTGTCTGATTTCTAAACTATGGTAAATCCATATCCTTATGACTCAAATATTTTACATATTAAAGCCTCCCCAATGCCATTCCCTGTACCAAATTACAGTTCGATATCTTTATTTAGTGCTTTGTTATGATATTTTATAGGTTTTGAATTAGTGGTGATTTGTGAGAGTGACAGTGGTTGGAATACGCCCATTTACAGCACCATATTTCTTATGATAACAAGGAACATGTATAACAAGTTTCATCGCGATATCTTAATTTTTACTCAAGTTACAGACAGCCACTAGGATTTCAACTCGTCTCGTCATTCTCATCATTTATATAACTATAACCTTTTATTTAACTGGATTAATTGAAGTTGATACAAACAACCGTTAGGTGAACAAAACTATTATACTCTGCAGCAACATGTAGCAAGTGTATAAAAACAGATTTACCGTCACTTAAAAATATAAAACAAGAAAAAAACGTTAACTTCGATTGCACCGAAGCTATAATACCCTTCACAGAACTTGATTTGGATCGTTCAATTTGTAAGGTAGCTATATGCTATAGTGATCCGATCTAAACAATTTCTTCAGGGATTACATTGTTGCCGCCTTAGAAAATCACTCATGCCTAATTCTAATATCGACATCTCAAAAGCTACTACTTCCCCAGTTTGCGTATATACAGACAGACAGACGGACATGGCTAAATCAACTCAGCTCATCATGCAGATCATTTATGTATATCTCTTATAGGGTGTCAGACGTTTCCTTCTAGGTGTTACAAACTTTGTGGCAATCTTAATATACCCTGTTCAGGGTATTAAAATAAAAATCAAAAGATTTTGACAAGAATTTTATTTTCACTAAAATTGGCTTGGGGTGGTTTAAACTAAACCCTATATTTTAGATGCACATCCCGATGGCCACCGAAATGTGAATCAGTACTTGGTCCGTTTAGAAACCAAAATTTTTGTGGCTATTTAAAGGCTAGAGAAGCTCAAATATTAATTATTTGTTTTCACGTTTTCCGCCGTCGTGGAATCATTTTGTTTAGCAATAAATAATAATAGACACTTTCACAAGAGATCAATACAAAACTCTCGCGATTTTACGGCGAAATGATATTTAGAATTATTTATCATAGTTTTACCTTAGACCTCATTTACCTATGTGATTGAATTTCTGCCCAAAAATGCACATATGAACATATTTACTCTTATATTAATAATGTGAGTACGCTGGTTGGTAGTTAAATAGCCAATAATAACATTTAACCCTCAACGGGCTGGTTACGCCAACTATGCGGTTTGACTTTGCAAATAAATCAATTTCGAATACCACGTAACTTAGCGAGGCCGAAGGCAGTGCACACACACAGGGTTGAGCCAGCTGCATCCCCAGTTGTCCAAAACCTTAATTGAATATCTCTCCATGCGTGCGGGTGGCATGGCAGCACTAATCCCAAAACAATATTTGTTAACCCTGGAATCGTTGAAGGTAATAACAGTATAAATTATAATGTTGTATCACTTTACCCCAAGTTTAGCAGATACTCTGTGATGTTAGTAAATGGCACTAAGAAGAACGCGTTTGTAAGTGATTTTGCATATTTTTGTTACTTTCGTCAGTTAATTAAAACAATTAGAGGAGTTATATAATAATTATATAGACGCTGTCAAATTTGAAACCGAATAGAGAAATTTGTGCATTATACACACAATAGCTGAGGAGGCTACCATTCGACCATAGATTAATAAGTAGCCTATGATTCAATTGATTTTTATGTGATCTCACACATTCAGGAATTCAAACCCATGTCATTGCACAACGTAGGACATACAAAAAATATCCACACGCTCATGTCTACACACGAACCTATGAATGTATGTATGTAGAAAATGACCGCAACCGACGTGGGCAATGTGTTGTTTTGAATATTTTTAATTTTTGCAGTTCGCTTATTTACAGGTTCAGGTATGCTGGGCGGCTGGTGGTTCGGCTGCTCGCCGTCATCGCCCGATAGTAATTTCCTGCGCGTGGCTAATGCATTCCCCAACCGACGGCTGTCGGACAACACCTTGATGACGCCGAAAATACGCATTGCACCATCGTGCGCCTCCTCGCCAGGTGGCACGCCGGGCAGCGGGCTGCCAACACGCCGACACTCGAGCATCGGACCACAGGAACGACGCGGCTCGACAATCAATCTGTCGCCGCCTACTGTAAGTGGCCGCCCTCCTTTCAACACATCCATCACTTATTCATACCACAGCGTGTGCGTCGACTTAGTTGTGCGCCCGCTGATTTACTTTGTGGTTATGTTGGTTGATTTCAGCTTTTAACTCCTTTTCCTTATTTCCTGTTTTTTTTTTGCATTTATTTTAAGAAAGCTTTCTGCCTTCATTATTCTGATTATTCTGTATAAATAAGTAGTTGTGGGTGGGGCGGGAGTGCGCTATGTTACTTTTGCTGTGATTAATCAAAAAAGTACAAATAAATTCTTGAATATGTTGTAGTGAAGTTATAGTCTCTCAAATAATTTGATAACTTTATACTTACAAATACAATAATACATCAATAGTTCCATTCATACTGCGAAGTAAAATCAATTTGTACAAAACATTATATGCCAATGCTTTACTATCGCATAGCTGAATTGTTTATTTAGTGAACCACATATTTTCGTTTGTAATTCTTTAGCTAGCTTTGGTGCAGCTACTTGTATATTTCTTTAAGTGAAGATATTTTCGTTTGTCTATTTATAAAAAAAAAAAAAAATTTAACCAAATTTGTCATTGAAATTGAAAATCGGATTTTTTTTTTCATTTCCTTACCACTGATTACATTTCATCACATAACAACAACTACTTAACATAATAATGACAATCGGTAATTGGTAAATGGTAAATACCCCTCTATACTTCCTCCTCAAATAGACGTATGGGTTTGGTGCACGCGGTAGCTCAGGATCGAGTTTGTCGGTACCCTCCTCGTCGGCCTATGTTGTAAGTCTAAAAAACGTCTCAACAATTATTGCCATTCAGAAGTCAACTCAGGTATCTTGTGCGAGTACGGTGCGATGTTCGATTCGCATATCTTAACGATTATAATAATGTTTAACCAGCATTGACGCTTTGTTTTGTGATGTGTGAACTGCTGAGCACATGTGTAATTGTTCGTTCGTTTCATGCCATTTTGCAAGCTCGTACTCGCCTCCGCACGCTCGTCAAATGATAACAAGCTGTATCGTATTCGTTGATAAATATTTTCTATTTCTTATTTCAATACTCGTAAGCTCAAGAAGTATTAACTGTCCATGAAAGCTATTTTAATTACTATTAGAAATGAAGTAACTAATATGGATGCGGTGAAGTTGCAAAATAGCAACCCTCTATGAAAGATGCCTTAAGTCCAAACGATTAAAAGTGCTTTGAAATTTGGAATATTTTCTAAAGATTATTCCGTTAGCGTATTAATTGCTTCATTGAAGCATACACACTAATATATTCTACTTAAGCAATTATTTCCGTTGTTTTCATAATTATTTTGTGACGAATATTTTGCATTTTGCTGTTGATAATGTGTTTCAAAATATTCAAAATATTCGACGATACTGTATTCGAGAAAACGACTGCCTACTTATGATTTCATATATTTATATTTTCACAATTAAAAGATGTTGTAATTACGAATGTGTTTATATGTTATCTTTGGTATATAATATTATGTTATTGATTTTTAGACAACTATTACTGTATACAAAAAAGTGATAAGAAAATTAAAGTATTATCTTATTTAGAAAATAATCCGTTTTACATGGGCTACGAACTCGACTTTAGGGAGATAATTGGAAAATATTAAATAGATAATTATGTTATTATTAAATTATGATATTTTGATTGGCAAGGATTTTAAGATTTTAATTTCTCTGTACAAATTATATGGCTACTCATGAATTATTTAATTCACGTCCACAAAACCCGATTTGGATCTAAATATTTGAAATTTTGTTAATGGTATTTAAATGTAAAAGAACAAAATGCGGAATATTTGGAAAAATATTTTGAAGTGGAAAGAGTATTTCAGATATACATACACATGCTTCGTTTTTATTAATACCAACTTTAAAAGTTTGTAAAGTGGAGATGTTGAAACGAAAATAGAGAGTACAGACTAACTGTGAGCTTTCACTACAAGTAAGAGAGATCACTTTGTTTTTATTGTCCTCTTGATAACATAACTGTTTTTTATTAAATCCTTTTAAGTCTCTGTGTGATCTGATGTTAACGTGTGTAAGTTTTTTGATTTCGGTGTTAAAAGTTTGTGTGAATTGACTATAATGATTTATTGTATCTTCAAGAAAAGAGAGAGCAGCAGCCTAAACGTTCAATTTATATTTGAGTGTTCTTTAAATTTTCATGTTCAGGTTAAATTCGCAGCAATAATCTCTGTGCGCGTGCAAATACTGTATTTTCCCATTTATATACTAATTCTGAGTGTTCACCAGCGAGAGCTTCACTAAAAGTCTCACCTACACGATTTCGTGCATATCTACAAACATATATACATACACACCTTCGCCGCTTGTGTCTAGCTCAATGGGCATAATTTCATGAATTCATTTGTATGATTTCGTATATTCTTTAACATTTCATTTCGTATTTGTGTTTTTGTTCTCGTTTTTGTGTAACATCCCATCTCTAAGCGAATTCTCTACAAATGTGTGCATTCCATTGTTTATCGAAATATATTTTTTATTTCGTTTACTTTCGGTTAATTGGAAATTATCGCAGCTTGCACGGAGCATGATCGTGAGTACACGTTTTCGCTATGACTTTGCGGCATATGTACATATGTACTCATATTACTTATACATATGTATTTAAGTATCTACACGCTACTACTACTATATACTCACACTAAAGCAATTGAATTCGAATGTCCCTTTTCTACTCTAAAATGCAAACACTACGCTAAGCTTACTGTAAACTTTCTAGTTACATGCATTCAAACACACACATCATTAACTTATGCAATAGGGGTTCGCTAAAACTCACTCCCGAGCAATGTCGATTGAACATAGGAAATAATTGGTTATTTCGCTCGCGAAAAGCTCAACCAAAACGATGGCGTAGTATTCGCCATGATATTCGGTCGAGTTATGGTTTTGGACGACGTTCACTCGACTTTGATCGCAAGCATTGAGCATTTGCGAACCCTGATCCACAGAACACGTATATAGTTACAGAAAGACTAATGTTACCAAGGTTTATTGAGTTGATGATTGTTTTGCGTTGGTTTGTCGTATTCTTGCAATATACTCGTATACTCGTACATACTACTTACTAGTACTACTGCCACTATTATAATATTACTCCTACTGTATAACCGAATATATTTTACATATTTACACCAAATGATTCTGCGTTTCTTGCTTTGCTTCTGTTTCACATTTTTATTTGTGTTATTGTAATTTCTGTATTAAAATTGTTAATTTGTGTAATTGGTTGTTTGGTTTGTGGCCTAAACGGTTCGTAATTTTATTTTTTATGATTGTTCAACAGCTTCAAATAAACGCATTACCCATCACATTATGTATATAAATTGCAATCTGTCTGCAACAAAAACTTGTCAAACATCTTTCCAACGAAGAAAAATGTGCGAGTATATGATTTAAAGAAAGAAAAAAAGTATTAAAGAAAATGGTTGAAAAGAGTCGCGCTGAATATAACCGACAATCTTCATTGACTCCCCAACTGGCACATTTTTCTTCGAGATTCGCACAAGAAACACCTATGTACATTTGTACGATATAAGTATTTATGACACTAGCATCTGTATGCTTTGAAGAGACTTCATAACCTTTCAAAGAAATCTCCTTTATTATCCTCCAACAAACAGGGTGGATCTATGCCGAACACCTCGAGCAGTGTGCCATTTTTACTATCGTCCAGTATGCAATCGATTCGATCCAGACGTACCTCAACTGTGCTCTCATCAGGACCCTTGGGATCTGGCTCTGGCCTACTACAGCAACTCGGCAGCGGAATGGTAAGACAAATAACTACTTCTGTATCAGGCAATGCAAGCCCGGTGCAACATTTAGTGGTTAATGGACAGCGTACCTACGTCCGAAAGTGTCCGTCACTCAATATCACATTCAGTCAGTAGTGAATAAGTGCAAAAAGTTACGATAAATATTCTAATGAAGTAATGACGAGGTGAAGCCTGATGGCGTTGGCAAGATATGAAAATTTGCAAACGCCTTAAACGCAAATATGCATTGAATCATTTGAGCTGTGCTTTGTAACAAAACATTTAACAAACCAAAAAAAAAAAGGATTTTTAATTTACACAATTACATACATATTTACTAGTACCTAATTATAATCTTATATTAAATAAAACAAACATTTAATATAGAATAAAACTTAGTGGAGCACATGAAGAGTACTCACAAACGTCACAAAAACATCAAACAATGAGGAATGATTGGCTTTGTGAATAGAATTTTTCGGAACTAAGCCAATTTAGAACAAAATTCGAAAAATCTTTTATACATGCTCTACTGTGCCCCTTTGGTGGGGAATAAATTGAATATTACTGTAAAACTTAAGCATATATTTGATTATCGCATAATCGCATTGTGCATTTGAGGCTTCAAGCTGGCTTTAAATTTAAATAAATCATCCCTGCTAAATACCTTTTGTAGGACTATATGACCTTCAGATTTCTGCGAAATTTAAAGTCACTTTCCACGTTTTGTATATAAAGCAATCATTTCCTGGTTAAGTCAGGGCAAATCATTGTCTTCTTTGAAGTCGCTGTTCACATTTATGCCCCTAGTAGTATATATCCTTCGACGACCTATGTATGAATACATTTTTAAATCAAACCCGGCTGTGACAGTAACTATAAGATATCCATAGGGCAGGATAAGTGATTTGGGTCAAAACTCGCGGTATTTCTAAATTTTATCAGCATGATGTGCTTGTTTCGCAGAAGCGTTAGAAAACACTTTTTTCTCAATTATAAAACAATTTTGTGGTTTCAATTCACGGTGAGCAGCGTTTTTTGAGTAGGATCTTTATTGATCACTCTTGAGAGAACATTTTGTATGGTATATGTCTGAGAAATTTTTAGTATGTCATTTAAGTGTTCGTGTCTTACGTGTCTTCTCCACTGAAACAAGTGTTGCTTAATGTGGAAATGATTGCAATTAAAAATGGAGGCACGCAAGTACATTATCGAAAAATCTTAAAATTCAAAATTGCAGTTTTTGTGTTTCGGAATGTAAATGAATACATGCAGGATTCTTTCTCTCTCTCAGAATTTTCAAAGAACCGTTGAAATTGCTTTGGCGAACGTTTTGATTTTTTATAATTTGAATTTATATAGCATTAACTCTAGAAATAATCGTTTTCCCATATAATATTTGATTTAGATACATAACTTGTTGTTGTGCTATTTATGCGAGCATTTTAGACGGGGCAGAGGGTAACAATGTCACGAATATTATGCATTCAATTACACATAGTATATATGTATGTACATGCGTATCGTATTTATCGCATATATATGTACACAAAAACTTATACAAAAAGCAAACATTAAATGTTATTTACTTCAAAGTTTAAACATATCGAAATCAAAATAATTACAATTAATAGCATAACTGTTTACACTCTTACCCTTGATTTGCTGAAGTTCTTTAAGTATATGCAAGTACATACCATATTTAATTACAATACAAAATGTATATAAATAAATAGCAAAAAGCGAAAAGACAACAAATTATATTCGTAATGCGTTCGATAAGTACCCTCCCAAGAACGAACATACTCCCTTAGTTTTTCACTCACACTTTGTACATAGTAATATTGATAGGTAATATTGTTATATTTTTAGCCTGCACTCAGTATTTGCAATCGGTACTTACGTCTGTATTTTGCTTAAAATTCAATTAAATTTTAATTTATTAAAAAACGAACAAATATACATTTATCACATAGAATATCAGTTATATAATTGAATTGAAATTATTTCGCCGGCTTAGTTTAATTTAGTGTTAGTGAATACATATATACCCATATGTATTTCCGTTTAGTGAGTAGCGCCTGCCCTACGTTTGACTTTTGCCCCACCAAGTACTGAATTTTGTATGATTTTCAGCTTTTTGCAGACACCCAAACGCAATCCTATGTCGACCTATATTTAAATGTTCAATTGTTGTTGCACACGAATTCACAGAAAACACACTTTTTCATTAATAAGTAAGTTATTTTTGCATGCTTTGCACACAATGGGGTAAAACTTTTACATACTCTCATACTTTTAAGAAATTCGGTGATGCATGTCACTCGAGGTATATCTCGATAATAAAATTTTAAAGAAGCAATTGTGAAAACTTTATACTGACTTTTCCCGTTTTTTATTGTTACGCAAAATTTCTATTACTGATAACTGTCATATACCATACGAAGAATAACGATTCTCAACAGTTTTTCAATGTTTTTTACCAATTTTTCATTAAAGAGGTTTTGCAAATAATAATTATTAAAATTGATTTGTGACAAAGTTGACAAAAAACGATTTTGTATAAGTGGTTTGTAAATGAGATGACGCTCGTTGAGAATAAACCGTTGTTCTATGTACTTTAAATTGGATATGTCTACCTCATAAAACACTGTGCTCTAATCGTTAGGCGTAAGCTGTAAGTTGAGGTCAAATCCTGACATACAGGTGTCTAACCCGATAACAGTTTTCAGATAAATATCAATTCTTAGTTCGGCAACTAACTAACGGTAGTCGACGAAGCTGACTATTAAACTATTATAGGAGGTGTTGGATGAGTAGATTTAAAGGAGAATTGTAGGTATCTGCGTATCTCTTCAAATGAAAGGAAAACATTTTTTGCACAACACTATAAATCGTAGTTACGCACATGTTTTTGCATTCGCTAATTACCCTTAACAACATTCGCACATACGTTTATTTATTTTTTTAATCATAAATATTATATTTGTATATGGTATACGCGTACATATATGTATATCGTTTTTTGCTGCATGTACCACTAATTTCTATGGAATCCAGTTATATACATATGTATGTATTATGTGCGCATTTTACTTTCTGCCCATCTGACATTGCACAATGAAGAAAACAAATTTTCGCGTTTTTTTATCTCCGTTCGTATGTGAAAGTCTATCGAATTGATGAGAACTGCATTGTACAAAGTATTTAATTAATGCTAAGTCAATTTTTATCAGACAAACATATGTATGTATGTATATATCATTAAATCGTTAAATGCAAATTTGCAAGTATTTCAAAGGAATGTTTAAGGATATGATTGACTGACACTCACGGCCCAAAACACAGCACACGAACACACATACGTATGTATTTCCGACCTAAATATACTAGATATTTAGGTATGTATGCATATACAGCGTAAAATATGATTTCATACCCATAGCCATATCTAGGTGAATACATTTGGATCGTTAGACTATTGAAAGCTTAAACTTAGTGTAGATTTACGAAAAACATTAAACCGTTAATTAAGATAGTTATTTGTATGATATATGCATGTATATTCCTGCATATTTAACATTTAAAGTACACTATGTTAGTCTACTTAGAGAGATTAGTACCTAAGTGATATAAGAGTTTCGGAAATTTTTCATAACATTTACCGTTGAGCATAAATGTAAAGAATCTTCGCCTATCCCCCTAAATCTTAGATAGTTGTAGAATTGTAACAATTCGTTCTTAGAGCGATTTTTGTTCTTTTTGTAGTTAAATAAATATTAATTTATAATATTATAGTTGCATAACTACTCGAACAAAGGCAAACATATCTATTTTGAAAATGCGATCGATATTTACTACTATTACCCGATTCGATATTTGTAATTGAGTGTCTTTTTAACCTTGACATGTTTTTCTACTCTCCCGTACATGTATTTAAGTATATTTGTACATATGTGTGCATATTGTTAAATATACTCATGTAAATATGTAGTTAATGCTATGCAAATTCGAAAATCTTTGAAGTTAACAAATTTTTATAATTATTACTAATATACTTATAATATATTTAGGTGTGTAAGTATTTTCTATATCTCGCTGTTGTTATTGATGTTTTGCGAATGTAACTGTATGATTCTTCCCTTTGAGTACCAAGAAAACTGTACCTGCATATTTTTTATACTCTCGCAACTTGTTGCTACAGAGTACAATAGATTTGTTCACTTAACGGTTGTTTGTACCACCTAAAACTAATCGAGTTAGATATAGAGTTATATCAATGAAACTTGGTAGACATGTTTCTTGGTACCGTGAGACGGTTGGTATTGCAGATGGGCGTAATCGGACCACTGTCACGCCCACAAAACGCCATTAAATATAAATTGCCATAACTAAGCTCCGCAACAAGATACAAGACTGTTATTTGGTACACAGGATCATATTAAGCAGGGGCATCTGTAGTTCAGGGGGGTCCCGCCCCTAATAGTTTTAATGTGCATATCTCCTAAACTGTCAAAGCTATAATAACAAAATTCACTGGAAGCAAATTTTTTTAGCATCTCTACCTACAGTGCGAAAATGGGGGAAGTCAGGTGAAACTCCCCCCACTCCCCATATAACGGTACTGTAAAAAAATACTAAAAGCCCGATAAACCAAGCACTAAACACGCCAGAGACATTAAATTTTATCTCTAGGATGGTATGAGATGACTTTATAGGAACCGCGTTCAAAATTAGTCAGTGGGCGTGGCACCGCCCACTTTTAGGTGAAAACTCATATCTTGGGATCCGCTTAACCGATTTCAACCAAATTCGGTGCATAACGTTCTTTTCACATTTCTATGATATTGTGCGAAAATGGGTGAAATCGGACTTCAACCACGCCTTTTTCCCATATAACACCATTTTCAATTCCATCTGATTCTTTCACTTTCCACTATGCATATCAAGCAACAATGATTGTATCGGGGTAAAACTTTGCGTGAATAATGCGTTTAAAGTATGCCACCATGTGACCAAAAATTTTCTAAATTGAATCAAAACTGTTCAAGCCCCTGGGTACTGAATATGTGGACCCCAGTGCCTATAGTTGACTTCTTACCGAAAATATCGGTCAACATAGAACAAGGCGGCCAGATACACAAAGAAATCTAAAACGAGTATACCATTTGAATTTGCGAGAGTATAAAATGTTCGGTTACATCCGAACTTAGCCCTTCCTTACTTGTTTAATTATACTTACTTCTTTTGTAAAACGCTTTCCTTAGTTACACAGTGTAGTTTTGGTAGTCGATACATGATAGCTCAGACTTATTGACTTATTAACCTTATATTTGGACAGATTTTGTACATCAGTAATATTTTTGACACCTTCAAAAATCGAAATAGCTTTTTGATTGTCTGAATCATTTTCCGAAATTTTTCGAAGCTATCGAAAGCCCATTACGTAAATTAATTAAAAATTATAAAAACAAACTTTAATCCATCATACCACAAAGAGCTCTATAATGTATGCTTTTCAGTATCGCAGAATATTAATTATTTGTTAAGTGTATATGTATGAGTAAATATAATATGGTACAACAGCTGCAGAACCCAAGTTTTTAGGTATCTCTTTACCGTTGGGAGGATCGTAGGCTTAACTATTGAAAAAGTCAAAAAGAGGTATTATTTAACTTCCGCGTATATTTCTGATATTGAAAATTAATTCACAAATTCAAAAGCACCAATCGTATATATGTAACATTTATATTTAAAGATAATTTTTTATGTTCAATTATATTAAACACTTTTACTAAGACCCACACCTACTACACCTACACTTGTGCACTCACACATGCAAACTACTCTCTTAAGTGCCTTAAATGTGTCAAAACTTATTCATGTTATATAAATTCATTTCGATGTTCTTGATAATTGTGCCCCAAATAATTCCAAAAACCAAGTAAAATGCCTGCACCGGTATATACATATAATATACTCACACACATGGCAAATATATATATATATATTTAAAACGATTTGCACTGTGAGTTTGGTCTCAAAAAGCTGAAAATTGTAAGTCCTGATTTGAAAGACATCTGACATACAGAAATGTAATATATATTTCGGGAAACACATTTGAGCAAGCAATGTCTCGAAATAATCGATTTTACAGGTGTTTTAGAGCAAAATATGCCTCTATTAATATATGTGTCTGTTGGGCGAAAGGGGACAGGCAGTATGTGCCATCTGGATTAACCTTAACTTGGTAGTATTGGTTGTTGGTGCGTACATAGGAGTACAATTTCCCTCATACAATAACACAAAAGTCGTATTCATCTTCATTATTTGCATATCTATTATTCATCTAAATTAAACGTCCATAAACCCAAACACATTCACACGCATTTCCAAACCGAGACTTCCAATCTGCATTCTCCGGTCTCCGGTCCCAGGTAATTTTTATTTAACCACCAATTAAAAAATTTCGTATGAATCACGGATATGTCGACATCATAATATGTAAATATCGACTCAATACTTTTCGCAGATGTAAGTACTATATTTATGAAATATAAGCTCTGGAGGTTTCAAAATATGTCTAATCATACTCTAGCAATATCACATTGAATCCATTATGGCTCACACCCTTTTATTAGTTGCAATTTATATAAACATATGAAGCGGAAACCTGGCTGGATCGCGATGTAACCTCAAGACAATATTTAGGAGTAATTCGTACAATCAGAAATCAACAATATAAATTTAATAAATTTTTTACTCTTATATTTAAGTGAGTTATAATTGTAGTTACCCCACCAACCCCAACCCCTTCGATTTTGCATGATACTGATACAACTTCTTTAAAACCCTCTCACGAACGTGTGGCGTACCTCCCATAAAATATTTATACATGTTATCTACTATAGTATATGTATCTTTGTATTTATTTTTTTATTATTATTTTTGTAGTAATATTATATATGTTAGAGTGAAAAAGAATTAACTTTAGATTGTACGTATGCATATCATGTATGTATTGATAGATCTACCTAAACATTTTTCTATATGTTTTGACCTAATTAATTTCAGAAACAATAACTGTGTTAGTACTCGTATTTGACCTTCTCAAATCCCAGAACTTTCGAAAACCCAGCTGGTGGGTTCTGCTCTACCTTTCGAGAACAAGTTTGGAACAAGAAATCATTTCAAAAAATGGTCTCTTGAATCTCTGAGAGCTTTTCTGTCGGGTGAAATTTGATCTAAGAAATCTCTAAATCGTTCAGCGGCAAACTAAAAGTCTACCAAGGAAGTGCTTAGACTATGTATTGGAAAAAAAATTTTCATAAAACGAATGATATTGTTTATTTGAATAGACCTAGTGGGCGGCTTGTTTTTCTAGCTCAAAAATCGATTCAAAAACATTTGTAACAGTCTACTAACTTTTGGTCAACGTGAAAACATTCGTTTTTTCCAATACATTACACAAATTCGCAACTTTAGATGAGGTAAATAAACAAAATTTAAATATCTAAATTATTTAATTTATTGCAATTGGCAGGAGGGCCGATTCCAGCTGGAGTGGCTTTGTAGACTTAATTCTTTACTCTCCTGCTCAAAGCGAATTTTTACTTTTTGACAGTTTTCCTTGTTCAACCTTGACAAGTGCGGGAAGAAAAGCGTTTCATAATATTAAAAAACATAGGAAGGAATTTATTGGTGATATGTTGTCAGTTGCAAGTTTGATTTTTTTCATTACTCTTTATATCGTATGTAGGTGTACGAGTTGGTATATAATATAAAATACTGTAGACTAATTAAATCGCTAGTTTCATTATAAAACTGACGAATTTATAGATACATATATAATTAAGTTAGTATTGAATAAACAACATGGCCTCGTTACGATCCTACACAGTTACACAATTCATGCTACTAAATGCAACGATCTTCTGGCTAGTCGCTCTTCGTAATACCATCCATACTTATTTCATTTTTTTCGTTTGCTAATCTAACTCTTTTTCAGTACCAGCTTTTCTCCGGTCGAACTTAAGCAAATTTTTTTACAAGTCACAGCTATCGAAATCATTTTTAACTCACCTAGCATTCGTTTAGCAAAACTCGACTTTCAACTGCACCAAGTTACAGCGCGGGCCTCAAACAAACTGCGAAGAGAATGATGAATCTCTGAGAATGAATTCATTATTAAACAAAGCATCAGGGCAATGGGAACTCGTTAAAGTATCCGTGCAACTTTACCAGGACTTTTGAATATTCTTCATACTCACATCAGTTTAACACTCTCACATTATATTTTACACAGATATTCAGATATTTATTTCAATCATTTTTCAATGCACATATGTACAATTGTAGGTTCATCCGAAATATGTTCGCATAGTGTCTAACACGAACGAACCACTTAAATAAAACAAACGCAATAATAAACATATGAAACAGCCTGAATGCTGTAAAACCCTCGTACCCCCGCCCCCCAAAGCAAAAGCAATCATTTTAGAAACAAACATTACTTATTAGTCGAATATACTCGCGGTAGTCCGCAAATCTGGAAATTCATACGATTGGATTTAAAAACTCCTGTTTATTCTTATACTATCCAACATTTCCAGCAATTTCAATATCTTAGCGTCTTTAGAAAACAAAAAAAACTAGCTATATGGTATTTATGTATTTAAGATGTTGATGTTCACATAAAGGAATCTCGATGTTTTAGTAGCGCCAAGTGTTGTAGGTGAATCGGAAAAAATTCCATTAATACTTTGCACACATATAAGTTATATGTGTGTGTGTATGTAGGTGTATTAGTAGCTATACGTAGTGTTTAACTCAGTCGAAAGTGTTTCGTGTCACTCAAATGTCTCAAATATAATAAAAAACACATTCTCAAATCTATCCTGTTTACTTTCACACTTTATCTAACAAGCTGTGCTAGCAACTGGTTATCTGCAATTTTGTTTCACTAACTTCCGAATTTATGTGGAAGAAACAGAGAATTTCGACAGGATTCTTTGGTGAGACTTCCGACAAATGTCTTTATGATTGTTTCGAGTGCTAGCTGCAACGCATTGACTTTAGAATAAACCTGTTAGAATTCATATTCAAGATTTTACAACTTAAAACAAGTACTGCAGTAATATAACTGTTTAGATGCTAACAGCTTATTATTTCTATGAGATAAAACAAATAATTAACAGAACAGGAGTACGAAGTAACATCATCAAAACCACCACAACTACTACTACTGAGCTGAAGGTTGTTAATCCTCTGAAAGGGGCAGGTCCCTACCCAAATATGGATGTAGTTAGTTATAAATGAAATCCCGATAAATATATGAATTGTTTTATGTGTGAATGTTTGTGTCAGGTGCCGTTTACGGTACTTAAAATCAGATGTAATAATAAAGAGAATATTTAATTATTGTATTCACTTCATAACTAGAATTAGAAAACAACAAAAATGCACACCATGCGTAAGAGACCTTCAAGAAGAATGGAACAAATACAAATGTTCAAAATGTTATGAAATATTCAAGTTGTTAGAAACAACAAACGAGAGAGGATTTATTGACATTGTTAAAATAGCGAAATTTTATTGCTGTTAGAGGATGCAAATAGAAGGAAAATAAATTATAAAGATTGTTGGAATTTTTTGCGGCCACCGTGAGGTGAACGTATCACAAAACTGTATTTAATATTAGATATATAAATCGTATTCATATACAGATACTCTGTCAATTTTACAGCACTAAAATGAAATGTCCAAAGAATAAAAATAAGAAAACATACTCTTAATATACATATATACATTTATCGAATGAGAACTGTATTTCCAAAGTTAAAAAAAAAATGAAAATTTCAGAATAACATTTATATTTTATGGATTGTAGACATATTAAAAAATAAATATATATAGTTACTTTTTATCAAAGTACCTAATTATTACGTTATTATATGTATATCTATTTGTACAATTCGTGTATCTAAAAGACAATCAATATATTTCCACGCATAAGGCGAAAAATCATGTAGCGTAACTTAAACAATCTTCATTAGTTCAATGTGAAAACGGGCAACAGCATTTTTAAATTGCGTTAAACAAGTGTTTCTCATTCTTCATTTAAATAAGAAATTTTCAAACTTTGGGCAATTGTGTAGTTGACTTCATACTCGAATGCTTGAACCGTTTCCACATTAAACTAAGAAGATACTCTATAAATTTTAGTATATACCTGCCTATTTGAATACACTTATACTTCGTATTAAAGAAAAGCTCTCAAAAGCGCCAGACGAGAAAATTCTTTTACAGGGATGGCCTAAATTTTGCGTATGCAATCAATTCTACTGGTTGAACTTGCACATTTTGAATGTTTGTAGGTTCACACCACCGATCGTAACAATATTATATGAGAATCTGATAATCAAAAAATATATACAAACATACTTACATACATTTTTAAATATGCTTATGTATGTTTTTTGAAAATGCAAAGTCGAATTAGTTTTTTTTACATAATATTTTTTCATTATGTTTGCTCAGTTTAGTAATCAATTTAAAATTTGAAGTAAAACTAAAAGAATTCATTAAATGTAAGTGTTTCTTAGACAGGACCCCCAAAATCACATGCTTCGTGTGTATACAATTTGTTAAGGCGAATATCGATTTTATTAATTAACTTGTATCTATGATTTCCATTAAATATGTATAAACATGGTGTATTTGTTTCAGTTCATTAATTGCACTTAAATTAAACATAAAAAGGGGAAAGCAAAAGCTCAAAAAACGACTGAATTCGAATTAATTAGTTAACTAATTTGCATATATAAACATATACATAATCAATTATATACTAATTTTAGTAACCAAAATAATTTGCCACAGTTAGGAAATTGCCAAATATATTGTGGAATAACATAAAAATGTATGTATATTTTATAAGCAGTTCGATTATTTTTACAAACTATAAACTTTAGTGTAATTACATATACACATATAATAGATATAAAATGGTAATGTAATTTATGTATGTATATTTTAAATAGTATTTTACGACAAACAAGAGTCGACATAGATGCAAGTATACTCCTCAAGCAGAAAAAATTAGTTGTTTAATACGTACAATTTTTAAAATTTCAATTAAGTTGTGAAATTGCGAACACAATTATTATTATTTTTTTTTTTTAAATAAGTGTATACCTATTAATTCACTAATTAATGTAATTAATCGCGTGTTTAGTCGGATATCACATAATTGTAACTAACTAAAATTTACACGAAAACTATACAATCTAAATTTCATAGAAGATCGTGAAGTATAAAATCCTTGAAACAGTATGGTACTTTCAAACTAGAAATAGACTTACATTAAAAACTCTAAGTGTTAATCAAAATTCAACTTTTTTTGTACGCATATGATAAAGGAAATATGTTTTTATAGCACTTGTTTAAAAACTGATAAACTCTTTTTGGAAGAAAGCTGCAAGACATAAACAACTAATCGGCTGCTATGATTATGTTATAAATATTGTTAATTGTTTTCGATAATTCTAAAGTATATTTTTAATGAGTGTGTTTGGAGAGGGAGTTGATTCTCGTAAGAAAGAATAAAGAAACTAATTATTACAAATATATTTATGTCAACTCTTTTAAAGTACTGAATAATATTTGAATGTGTAATAAATGTGACCAGAAAATGAATAAACTAAACTTTCATTATATTTTATTACTAGAAGGGAAAAACATAGTTTCAACTTAAATCATAAGTACTCACAAATACTATAAAATTTATTTTTTGCTTACAACTAGGTGTTTATTTTCGGTGAAAATTCAAATCATCGCCGAGGCATAAAGGATCTATGCTACTTTTTTCGTTTTGTGCGGAGAATGGAAGTTCCACATAAGTCTCTAGTTTCTGGTTTATGCGACCTGTTTCGCTATCACCGACTTCCGTATTGGCTTCACCGACTAAAATCTGTAAATATGACGCATTGGTTAAATTAAATCAACTAATTTGAAAAGCTATTATTATATTTGAAAATAATGACACTTGTTTTAAATGTAAATATACACATGAACATTAAATACATCAATTTAAGTATGTTTATAAAAAAGATCTTCGAAATTTACATATAAAAGCGTATTTATATTACTTCGAATTCGTTCGCTAAAAATTCTGCACTCTTCGCATCCAACTTTGGCTGAGGCAATCCCATTAATGCACATCCTAGAAATTTGTAAACAGATCTGCAAATTAGCAGATTTTAATGGTTTATTATTTGTTAATCAATAATATGAAAAACGAATTACCTTAGGTCCACCCCGTCTAACTCTTCGGGTGCAGGAAAGTCTTCATTATTTGAAATAGCATTGATTACTAAAGCAGGCTCATATAGACACAATCCTGGCAAATTCCAATTTTTAAATACTTTAAGCCACGATTCAATGTTGGAAAAGCTCAAAGAATCACATTCTTCGTGGACATTTTCTTGCGCCATTTGCATGCGCTGATTCATATATTCTGCAAATAAAGTCTTTATTTTAACTTTTCGCTTGTTTTAATATTACACACCTAGCACAGAAGATTTATTAAATTTTGATGCTGCTATCACATCGTCAACATTCTTTGAAGCGCAACCATTTTCCTCCAAATGGCTTAAAACTTTCTTTTTCATATAGCCATAAACATGAGTCTTCTCAGCGGACACTCTCTTCTTCCCGGCTTTCTCTAACCTCTGGTCAGAATTTTCTGGCTCGGTATATCTTTAAGAATAATAAGACAAACTCAGTCACTAGGAGGGAATAACTGTAGTAGTTGTGAACGTTACCCTTTCTTACTTTTTGCGCTTCCCACCAGTGCGTCTTCGGAACTATGAAAATGCCGCTCAAAACTTTTGTCGGGTGTTTGATTTCTGCAAAGGTAATTTTATATTGGTTTTGAACTATTTTAGTTTTAATAAAACTTACATATTAATTGCACTAGTTTCATGCATTTCTTGTACTTGTATTCCATCCATTTAATAAAATAAAATCAAGTTCAGATAAACTCGATGTGTTTACTATGAACGTTATTCGGCGAACAGCTGTTTGATGAGGAATGGATTGGAATGGACTGCGATGCTGCCATATTACAACATATTGCTATTTAAATAAATAACCTATAACGAAACGGAACGATAAATAGATTGAAGTAAAAATATTTTTAAATACAGTATTAGATAAGAATATAAAAACGTAATGTTTTATTAATTAGATAAATTATTAATTAATTAAATGCGGGTGTAACGAAACGGTTCCTTCAATTAAGTAATTTTATAAATATTGTATATAACTCATACACTGACAGACATATTGAGCATTGGATTTCTTAGAATAACGAAAATCATTATATGTGGTATATGGGGGTTTGGGTAATTCATAGACCAATTTACATGTTTTCGGCATTAAACTATAGTATGTCCAATATTATCCGTCCAGTTGATTTGTTAAGATATCTTACATATTGACCGAAATATACGGTTAAAGTCAATCAGAAGTTGAAAATCTTACATTTGGTATATGAGAGATAGGGATAGTATTGAACCGATTCTCACTATTTTCGCCATTTCCAGAAAAATATGATCTCTGAGTTTCAAATATTATATATGCGGTTTAAGGTCTACCGGATGTTTAAAAATCATGATATTATCAATTTTATGCACAAAGATACATTGTTATAAGAAAAACACGCTCTTTTAATTTTATTAAGATAACTCGTATATTGACCGATGATCATGATGATTACACATTGACCGATATTTTCGGTAAAGAGTCAGATATTGGCAATGGGGTCCACATCTTACGTTCCGGGGGCTTGAACAGTTATGGTCCGTTTTTTACAATTTTTAGACTTGAGATGGCATACCTTAAAGGCAATATTTATGTATATATGGGACGTAAGCGTGGTTGTAGTTCAATTTCGCTCACCATCGTACTCTAAAATAGGAATGTCAGGACTATGTTAGCTACCGAATTTCGTTGAAATTGGTTCAGTAGGTCCCAAGATATAGGGTTTCACCTAACATAAAGGTGGGCGGTGCCACAGCCCTCGCCAATTTTGCATCGGCTTCTATTAAGTCCTCCCGTTCCATCTTGAGTGAAATTTAATGTCTCTGACGTATTTGTTATTGATTTGTCGCATTTTCAGTAGTTTTTAACAAAGCCGTTATATAGGGAGCGGGTGGGGTTATCATCCGATTTCACCTTTTTTCACGCTGTCGTAAGAGATGTCAAAAGTATATGGCCTGTGCAAATTTGGGTGATATAGCTTGAATGTTTTGCGAGATATATACATTAAACCTATTGCGGGGCGGGGCCATGCCCACTGCTTAAAAAGTTTTATCCCAGAGGCGACTCTCATTAATGTGATGCGACGAAATTACAGTTTTATATCTTAATTTACGGCTGAGTTATGGCAATTTATAGGTTATCGATTAATGGCGAGGTAGCGGTCCGATTACACCTATCCACAATACCGAACGTTTTATGGTGCCAAAGAACATGTGTACCAATTCCATTAAAATATCATAATAATTTCAAACTTACAGCCTGCACGGACCAACGGACGAACGGATGGACGGAAAGACACTCACCCGAATTTCAACTTGTCTCGTCATCCTGATCATTTATACATATATAATCCTAGATCTATCTCGAGTAGTTTCAGGTGATACAAACAACCGTTGAATCAAATCTATTCTACTCTGTAGCAACATGTTGCAAGAGTATACATAAATATTAAAAAAGTCGATTCAAAGTAATATATACTAACATCAAATTGTGGCAAATTATTTCTTATTGAATCAAGTTTCGTTTATGATGTGATATACTCATAGTTTCTGTAGTAGAAATTCCTGGTTACATGTTGAATATGTACATCTGCAAATATTGAAGCGATTGATTATGAGAATTAAGTGCATTCTTTTACACCTATTTATATAAATATGGAACAAGAAAAAATATTGAATACGGTTGCACGAATATAATACCCTACACATATAAAGTAGTTTCCATAAACAAACTTGTTTTTGATCGCCCATTTTATATTACTGTTACATGCTATAGAGGTCCGATCTTAACAATTTATTCGGTGATTGTACCGTTGCCTTGGACAATAATCCATTCAAAAGATATCTCGTCTTAAAAATTGAGGGACTAGTTCGTGTATATACAGACAGACAGACGGACATTTCTACAACGACTATTATCGTCATGCTAATAATTTGTCTATATGTCTATTTTATATGGTCCACGACATTTCCTTCTGGGTATTACAAACTTCGTGACTAAATTAATATATCAATTCAGGGTTATAATTAAATTTATAAATGGATGAAAGTGTAGGGTTTCTCTTCGTTAGTATACGCACTTTTATTTCACTCACATATGTGCCGTTTCAGACAGGGACTCAAAAGAGTCGCATTTTTTTCAAATTTTCTTTTGGTGTCGCTCTGGGCATTCACACGGCCAAAAAGAGTCCAGCAACTCGAGTCTAGTTTTTCTGCATTCCTTTTCACAAAATGTTCGTAAATATTTGTGCGGTTCGACTGCGCAACACCGCGCAACACTGCGTGCTGCGTATTTCATTTGTATGTTGAGACATTTTGCTTGCAATGAATTACCATGAATATGGTAGAACAATATGCATAATACAAGTACCTACCCGCTAAATAGTTTCAAAAAAATACTAAAGACGGGAATTCCCTAATCCACAAGAATGTATTGAATATCCGCTACTAATATTTTCAAGGCCAAATTTATAATAGGAATTTCCTAATCTTTAAGTATTAAAAACTCATAATTTCTTTACTCCGTATTAAAAATTCATAATTTTTTTACTCCATAATCTATATCTTAATTTTCTCCTTATTTACAATTTGTCATAATATTTCTATTATTCTATGCATACGTATTTGCATATTACATACAAAAATAGATAACAGAACTCAAATTTGCGATCGAATTCATTTGAAACCGAGCGCTCTTGCAACCATTCAAAGGATTTGAAAGTGAAAAGGAATGCTGAAAAGGGTAGCAGCGAGCTGTTACGAACAAGAACACAAAGCGTGCCACCCGAACACGAGTGGCACGGTCCCTTCGTCTTTCCTCGTCGTCCCCTCGCCAACAATAAACTGGTTTGAGACTCTTTTGAGTCCCTGTCTGAAACGGCACTATGATGCACGGCACACACTCGTTCGTGTCTACATACTCGTACATATGCGCAAGAGTACAACAGTGTACCGGCATATCTACGTAAGCCTGTTATCTACTATAAGCTTGTATTGGATAAATTCTCCCCATGATCAACAGAGAAGTCCGCGTTCATCTGAGTGCAGACATAAAGTAAGCTCAGCATGATCCACAGTTAGAATTCTGAAAGCAACAAGGCCGGACATGACATCGGAACACAGCGCGGGTAGTTAAACAACCTGTTTGTAAGCTAGCGTGTATAGATCTTGTGACAATCCGTCTTGTTTACTCACTTGTTGATGATATGAATGAGTATGATAAAATGTAAACAGCAGTCGTAAATGTGAAGAAACCATACGTTGTACAAATTAAATTAATAGGGAGTGTACAAAGTGAAGTATTTAAAATAATATTTAAAAAACTAACAAACAAAAAATGGATGACGATCGAGCAAGTGTGCGCTCAGCGAACAATCTCAATCCACTCACCTCGGCAGCAAATAATGCTCTATGGAGTCTACAGGGAAACATTCCCGGCCATCCAGTGAATAGCTCCCCTGCAGCAATACCACAAAACATATTCGCGAACCCGGCGATTCAGCCTTCGAGTGTGATAAACCTATCTAATTCGTCCGATGTCGTTATAGGGCCTATGACCCAATATCAGGGTCCCGTAACGATATACCAATATATGGATGCGACAGTGGAAGCACGATCGACGCAAGCGGGTGGAGGTAATTATTATGCACCTAAAAGCTCATGATTTTTTCCACGCTTCTGAAGAGGTTTCGGAATTTCCAAGCTTTTTCGAGACTTTGTTTGCTTTGTTTGGTTGTTTACATCTACACATGTATTCACACATGTACATATTACATTTGTAATGAAAGTTGAAAGATTTGTAATGAAAGTGTGTAAGAAATATACAAACATTACGAAAAATTGTTTTAAGCCGAAGAACTGAACTTTAAAAAAAAGCAAAATTATATAAATATATGTTCTATATGTATGGTATATAAAACTATATATTATATAAGTATAGTGTTATTGTAGACATTAAATTTATAAACATTCACAGTTCATGACATTTTTACTTAAGACAAGCTATTTTTCAACAACTCCGTTGGCCCAAGAAACCCAACACTCATAGTCAAATAAATACAGAATCCGGTTGTGATTACAAACGCGCGTCTCTAACTACATGAGCAGGCTTTACAGGCTATTCTCACTATTCTGTCAGCTTAAGGTATCAATGTGTATGGTATATAGGTGTTAGAATAAAAAAATTTCCAAAATTCATTCCGCTGTATGTTGTCTACATTATATAATATCTTTTGTACAGAGGTGTCACGTAGTTTTCCTTCAATAGTCAACTGTTCAAGGGTCAGCTATCGGCCTATCGGTTTGATATTGCCTAAACCTCCAAATTTTGTTCCTATATTTAAAGGTTTTTGATAAAATCTATCCAGGAAAAACAGGAGTAGGAATATTACATATCCTTATTAGCGTCGATTTTTGGACATAATTGTCAATTCGAAAAAGTTCGAGCCTTCGAAATACAATCATGATTCGCGCCCAGTAAAGTACGACCGCCAGAAAATTAGCGTTCATTTATTAGCTTGAAATATTAAAATCATGGATATTTTATTTATTTTGTTACTTTTTTCTGCCGAAAATTTAAATATTATACGTATAGGTAATTAGTTTCACAATTACCCTTAACAACTATTGTAAACTAATTAAAATAAACCTTACGTGCGTATATGCATACAAACAAATATATACGAATATGTATATATACATATATACATACATGTACATAAATTTATGAATATAGGTATATGTAGGCAGAGGAACTATTTAAAAATGATTAAGATTAGTAAATTTCACCAGACAATCAATTTTCAATTCGTTACTATTTATAAAAAATGTATCACGATCTATTCAAATATACTTATATACACATATATTAATTTGTATATTTGTATATGCCATACATGGAATTACGACATCATGGTAATTAGAGTTTAGCATTTATTACTCGCGCAAATTCCCAGAAATAATCGCACTCGCTAATTTGTAAGTGGACTTGTAATGTACTAGTAATTGGCACTGCTTTATATGCCTGGCGGTTACGTTTTCAACAAACTAAAATTAAAATCATTCGAATGCGGTTAAATTTGCTTTCCAATTTGTACTAGCATGTTCATTAATAGAAAATGTGAATCTTAAGTGCTTATATTCATAACCGTTATTTTTTCAGCTGTGGTAAAAATGTCGCCAAATTTTCGTTACTTATTTGAGGTAAAGTTTGAATAATGTTCTCGCAAATATGGTATAGCGCCAGGTCGTCTTTTTCACTGTGTTTGCCAACTTGACGGCCAATCAATACTTAGATTAGACACAAAGGTGTAAGGCTTTGCTATTAACAATATTTTCTTTTTGTTTTAACTTTGTTTGCTAATGAAATAATCTCCGCTTCAATCTTTTAAAATGGTCAGCTTGGCGTATGAGTAACTTTTCTTAGTTTCAGCGTTAGGTAAACGAAAATTGGAATATACATATGTACATACAAATATGTATATATACATATCTGTAAACACAACATATTCATGAATTGGAAATACGAAGTTTACAATGTTCGAGAATTTAAATTGCTGGTCCAAACGTTCGTAGCCTTGGTAAATTTAAAATTTCTTACTCCTTTACAGCCATAATTGAAACATGCCTTCATTCAGAATCAGAATATGAATTTGAGAGAGAGCAGTGTTTTCAGCTCTCCGAATTTAATTCCGTCGAAAGTTTAAAAAAATTATGAACGAATTACACTCAGAAAACGTAAAATCTAGTGTTTATATACCATATGTTTTTTCACGTTAGTGGCCACATCAATTACATGTGTTTTGATAAACACATACATGTGTACAAATACATATATATGCCTGCGATTATTAGGGTGATTCATACAAATTGAACATTGTGAATTTTAGAGTTTTAGAAAATCATCAAGCAGTTACAACAAATAACTGTTTTATACTGCTACTATCTGGATTTGTCAAGAATTGCCCATGCTGAATAATAGTGATCACGTTATAATTAGTCGCAAACCTCAAAGACGTCATAAAGTTGTTGCAATTTCTAAAAGACTAATATGAATCACCCTAATACGACCGTACATCATAGATATACCATACAATTTACACATTCCGATAAATTTTAAATTGTATATACGAGTATGATCAACAACGGCACTTGAGCGTTTACAATACGTGTCGGACTTACTTGAATAGAGTGAACAGAGTCAACGTACCAGGAAACAAAGATTTCAATTCGCTCCCCGCTACTCATGTTATAGTTTTACGCTTTCTTATATACTTGTGCACTTGAACATGTCTATCAGCGATAAATGGATATTTTTGCGATTCCCCAGTGAAAATAAACCATCACACAACCCTCCAGTCACTTGTACCTCATTAGCACAAAGGTGATATCACAAATCGCACAGAGAGGCGAACTCGCCAATCGACTATTTGACCAGTTCGCCGAATAATCGGTTGGCTTGCTGCATGATTGCTTGTTTCGCTACTAATTTGCCCATCCGCCAGCGAGTGGTTCTCCGGCTCATTGTTCGATTTGTCAACTTTTGAGTAAAGTTTTTCGAAAATCCAACCATCGCATTTAGTAGTAAATTCGCTGAGCGCTGTTAATGCGGTTTTACGACGGCGCATTGTGACGAACACGAATGCCTCTGATAACGCACATATCGCGACAATGACGTTTCGATTGTGTTCAACTTTTTTCATCATAAATAATTGATTTCGCGGCGAACGCGGTAGAGTCTTCATTGTCGCAAATTCATAAAACTGTTGGAAACAAAGCAAACAACAATAAAGAGAAAAAGTGTGTCAATAAGATATAAGCAATTTGAGCAAAGAAAGCATTGCATATAAACACGAAGTGAAATCAGTGCGGAACGAGTGAGGAATATGAGCTAAAAATAGTTATTAGTGACGTCACATTCAATAATGTGCATTCGGCTGTTAATCATGACACATAAAAAACTGTGGAAATTCTAAAACGCCCCATTCTTCACTTTAATCAACATATTGTATAATTTGCAAAATAAAGTATACGGCAGCAAAAATCGAATAAGTTGCCCCTGTAGGAGAGGTTTAACTCACTGTACAAGCACAACCATAAGGTGACTTTAGAACTGCAACTGCAGCTGTAGACACCAGAAGTCAGTCCATGAGCATTATTAATTATTTTATTTAAATTTATATATTATTCTCCGAATTAACTCAAGAAATAAGAAAAGGGAATTGTAAAATGTTAAATATATAAAACGGTTGTTAATTCATTTTCTTTATAATTAATCACCGTACTTTTCAAGTCAAATTGACCGTTTATTGGATATACTTGTAGGTACATTTTTTGCTTGCTTTTTACAACAGTAGGAAATTATAACAAAAAGAAATATTAAAAAAATGATACGGCAGTTGTAACAATTGCCAAGGTTCTGTTTTTTCGTCATTTAATTTGACATAATGAGAACTGTGCTCCACAGGTTAAACCCATTACATTTCATTAAATTCATTAAGCATTTCCGGCGAGCGTTTCTTATTTGTATGCACTTACATATACATTTTTAGAAATGAATGTGAGTAATAAGTGTTGAACTGACTTCTTTTGCGAACCACACGTTCTTATTGAAACATGACGAATGTGGAAACACTAAAGTGCTTATCAAATAATGTGTGCAGTGCTAAATTTGCTGGCCGCCAACGCTGCATGTCATTGCAATAAATAGCAATTAAAAATTAACATTTTGAATAACTGCATGTGCAATTATCATAAAAAATAAAAATAAAATATTTGTAAACATATAAATGACATTTTTATGAACAGCTGAGAAAAGTTGAGCAAAAACACGTTTATATTCCCACTTGTTGCGCACCGGAGAAATATTCAACATACAGATTCTATGTGCAGAGCAAAATATATGTAAAAGGAATTGATCGGTTGATCTAAATAAATAACGCTAAATTTATAAATTTTCTGCCGGAAATGCCACAAGCGTAAACAAAATGAAACTGCTGTTGAAAGTGAACTCAGAAAAAGCTCGTAAACGCTACGGCGGCTCTGCTAATTTGCCCGCCACCCCCGCAGCGCCTGCGACGATCGCCACAACAAGACGTTAGTACCAGTTTAATTAATTTTCACTAATTGTTTGTCGATGTTTTAGAAATTGTAAACAAAATAACAACTGCGCAGCTGAAAGCTCATAGCAATTGTATTCGCCTCCCGAATTTTTTTCACAAATCACCATTCGCAACACTTGTCAAATTCACCTTTTAATAAAACATAGAAGTAATGTGGTACTAAATTGACTTAACTTAACTTCCTTTCGAATGACTCTGAAGCACTGAAAATTTTAGTTCTTATATGTATGTGCATCCATATGTGTATACATTAGGGTGGTGTGATTTTTACTTAATTTACTTTATTACAATTTATACATACCTGCAAAAAGCCTTTTTGCCGCAGAAATTAAATAATATGTGATGCACACCCATATCGTTTGTTGAGAGGTTCTCTGGAATGAAATAATTTCCTACTCTTCGTAGTTTTCCCAGGCAGACAATATTTGTGAAGCAGTGTTTATTGCAAAAAAAAAAGAAACACTTGCGGTGTGTGTTGCAGCACCAAACAAGCTTCGAAACAGTTATTTAGAAATGAAAACTTTTATCCGAAACTCAAATAATATTTCATTATTAACTTTTGAACAACAAACTAAAACTTGATCTCGAAATATTGTCAGATTGTACAAATCGAAAAAGTATTATTTTTTTTCTCCTTATGATCTCAACTAATATTTTAACTTCTCAATTAACAAACTCGCTTAAATTGTATTTTGTCCTGTTTTTTTCCCTCAGGAATCAACCAAAATAGGAGTAATGTAACTACCTCAATCTTCCAAAAGCTTTCCATATCCTCCAAGCTACTGTTGCTGCTCATTGTTGTCGTTATAATTGTGGCCGTAGTGATTATTTACATTCAGATACAGCAAAGTAACAAGCAGCAGCTCGGGCCCATAGTGTTTGGCAATACCTATGAGCATGGCACATGTAAGTATATCGATAAAGCCATACCCGACGCGAGATTACTTGCGTGGAAATTTATGATAAAAACATCTATGCATCATATAAAAACTAAATCATTGTTTATTTAAATTTACTATTATCATACTACTTTTATACTCTTGCAAGAAGTTGCTATATATATATTGGACGATACGAGTTGAAATCAGGATGTCTGTCCGTCCGTCCGTTTGTCTCTGCACGCTGTAATGTGAGTAAAAATGAAGATATATTGATGAAACTTCTACACATGTTTCTTTGCAAATAAGCAAGGACGAGTTCGTAGATGGGCGTAATCGGACCACTGCCAAGCCCACAAAAGCAAAAAACAAAAGTGGAAGTGACCCCGCCCCCTAATAAGTTTAATATCATCCAAATTAGTACCTACAAACAAACAACCCTTTCTGCGATAGTGTAAAAATAGGTGAAATTGGATGATAACCCCGTTAACTCTCGTTAGTAACTAAATTCTTCAGAGACATTAAATTTTATACCCAGGGTAACACAAGAGAGCTTTATAGGAGCCGGAATCAATATTAGACAGTGGGCGTGGCATCGCCCACTTTAAGGTGAAACCCCATATTTTGGGATCTGCTTGACCGATTTCAACCAAATTCTTGACATAACATTATTCTCATATTTCTATGTTATGGTGCGAAAATGGGCAAAACCGGATTGCAACCACGCCTATTTCTCATATAACACCATTTTAAATTCCATCTGATTCTTTCACTTTCCACTATGAAAATCAATCAACAATGATTGTATCGGGGTAAAACTTTGCGTGAATAATGCGTTTAAAGTGTGTTACCTTGTGACCAAAAATTGTCTAAACCGAACCGAAACTGTTCAAGCCCCTAGGTACTAAATATGTGGAGCCCAATGCCTATAGTTGACTTTTTACCGAAAATATCGGTCAATGTTTAAGATATATAATTGAGATTTATATAATAGTATGTTTTTGTGTCCAAAATGGGTTGAATCGGATGAATACTTCCTTTATTATAAAATTTTGCCAACACCTAAAGTAATTTCCCGGGCTTTGATCCTTGCAAATTGCGAAAGTATAAAATGTTCGGTTACATCCGAACTTAGTCTTTCTTACTTTTTTTAATTGGTTCCAAACTTTATGTTTACAGTAATTCATGACTTTCCGAATAAGTAACTCTTGCAAAAATTAAAACATGTATAGGCATATTTTTATTTTTACCTCAATACCTGATTATAATTTTGAAGAAATTTTTATTTTAAGTATCTTAGTTCCGAATTTAGGAAATGGACATCTGGTGATAGACCGCGAGCAATGGGGTGCCTCGGAGTTGTCGAAAACCCTAACAGCACCACTAAAACATCCGATACCATATGTTATAATAACGCACATTGGCGTCCAGTCGAAACCTTGCGAAACGGTGTACAAATGCTCAATTAAAATGCGTACCATACAAGATTCGGCGATTGCGGAAAAAAACTTACCCGACATACAGGCGAATTTTTATGTGAGTGACATAAAATAAGCCAATAAAATTTTCACGAATTTCAGTAAAGTGTTGTTGTGTCGTTGGCGTTTATTGTTTGTATCTTTGTTCACTAATTATATGCTTAATGAATAATTTAGATAATTACATAATTAATTACAATAAGAGTAATTTTAAAATCATAAAGCGAGTAATTTCGTATCAAACTTAATTTTATTTCGACAGTGAATTTCAAAGAAAAAGATAATTTTAGATCAATAAATTATCACAATTCCCAACTTGGGCAATATAATACTACAAAAAAAGATATAATCGATTAACCAAGCAACCTAATGAGAATATTCGTTCTATCCATGTCTAAATTCTAATAAAAACTATAACACTAATATTTCAAAGGTTGGAGACGATGGCAATATTTATGTGGGACGTGGTTGGGACTATGCAAACACTTACGCGAACGACACTTTGGCGGTTACCTTTATGGGTGATTACGGACGCTACGAACCAAGCCAAAAGCAATTGGAGGCGGCCCAATATCTACTATCCTATGCTATCGCCAATAAGTACATTGAGCTGGGCTATAAGTTAGTGGCGCAAAACCAGGTAAGCCAAGCTGTCAATTTACTATAGTAACCCCGACATCATTAGCGAAAATATAAGCTATTTACATCATGTTAAATCATTAAATTGTTTCAACTGCATTTCCAGTTTAATAGAAAACATTTAATGCTGAAACCATGTAAAATCTTTTTAGACAAAGGTCACAAAGAGTCCGGGTGCCAATGTTTATCGTCACATCAAAAAGTGGCCCCACTTTTATCCTTGTGGTATTGGTGACAATCTGAGGTGCGGCGTTGAGCTGAACATGCCAGATGTTTGGGATGGAAAAATGTGAATACTATCAACAGCACTATGACAACTCTACGAATAAATAGCATAAGTAACAGTAATTATAAAATAAGTAAGAGATACCAGTTCTATAGCATATAATGTGTATAAAATGAGATTGGTTTTTACGAAAGATTTCTACGCAAGGATATTATTTTCTGTTATATTTATCACATATCGTACAAAATAATCTTTTGTCTATTACCTAATACTTCCACAAATGTTTAGCTTTTAGTTGAACATGATATTTGTACACAAGTTAGAATAAAAATATTTAAACAATCTATTTCACAAGTTTTATTTTACACAATTTAAAGTGGGGTTTAGGCTTCATGCTTCGATGTGTCAATGTCAAAGTGATCCAGGCCATTAAACATTCCGTTTAATTTCCTAATTCCAAGAAAAAACGTTAATTTCAAATGAACCGAAGCTATAATAACTTTCACAGGTGCATTTGTTATAGCAATTATATGAATAACTAAATCTGAATACATAACCATCCAACGGAAAACATTTTGCTAGTTCATTCTAGCAAAACAGACCTTTTATGAAGATCTTTATCATGATCGGTCAGTTTGTATAGTAGCTTATGTTATACTGATCCGATCTGCACAATATATTTGGAGATTTCAGTGTTGCTACAAGTTTCGTAATAAACTTAGAATGCCCTTTTCAGAGCAACAATTTGCAATTACTAAAATATCTAAATTTGGATTTTGTTAACCAAACTAAATCTCGAAAATGGGAGCACTGCTGTAGACGTCATAAGTACAATCTGGTGGAGAGTGGTATAACGGTTCATATAAACACATATATTTAATTTTAAAAATACCGTTACTACAATATAATAATAAATGAAATAAGTGTGGATTAGCAATAACTTTGTGTCCTAGGGCCTTTGTCGTCCAACTTCGACGTATCACGTGTACAAGGAGTGCAACAGGTTGATCTGGCCAACAAGCGCAGTTGAAATTCGTCTTAAAATCTATTTTTGAACATTTAATTACCATACAGCCGTACATATGTATATGCACATAAATAAATAAACATATCAATATGTGTACTTCTGTAACCACAATATACCCGCAGCAGTAAATACATATATCGTTTAATAATTTGTTTGCTTAACACATTTAAGCCCACATTCTGACGATTACTTGGAAATCGCTCGCTCTTGCCGAAGGCTGAGCGCGACCAAATGAACGAACAGGTGCTCCCAGCAGCTCAGTTGTACTCTTTTAGTTGGAACACTACCATAACACCAATCAAGCCGGTTCAACGCACATCCGCACAAACCAAACTCACAGCCGATGCCAAGACGAGTATTTAGAAGCTGGGTTTTCCGAGCTTTGAATTTATGAATATCACGTTCTGCTCTCTAGTGGACTTTTTGCTCGGAGTCGGGTTTTAAACGCGTCACAGCGACAGTGAGCACAGTTACGCTTGTCAGCCAATACACCACTTAAAAGTTTCGCTAAATACATTATCAACAATCGGTGTGCGTCTGCCCAGCTAAGAGCGATTGAAGCAATGTGGTTGTTATTGTAGTTTTATGATAATTCAATTAATACAATTTTTATGTAAAATGAGCTGAACATCGTCGGTTTCATGGTTCACGTTTAGGTATATAATAATATATCGAAGTGTTTTAGTGTCTTAGCATGTGTTAGGATGTGTATGTTAAAAAATTATTGAGGTTCACAAATAAATATTTTCAAAATCTCCAAAAAATTTTCATTATCAAAAACTTTTGGACAAATGCGTACGTGTAATGTATGAAAATATTAAATAAGTTATTTAATTGGTGAATCTTAGTAGTGAACAGAAAATATGATACCCAAGTATGTCATCTCCTTTACCCATTTAGGCTGTTTCCATAACTTAGTGTCTTCAAACTTTGTATATTTTATAAATAAATTGCAATTATCGAAGGATCTTCTAAAGTCCCTTATCTTAGTTCAACAACCTCGAATGCATTTTCCACTAATAAATCAGGCTAACCGCAACCACAAATGTGCACTCATAATTACATACGCAGAAATGGCCAGACGAACCGAGTGCAAGTTAGTTTGAATTTCGTAAACTATATTTTAAAGTAACTGCATAAATCGGTTATGATTTTACATATAAAGTTTTCTAAGAACTCCTCAGTCTTCTCGGTTCACTGGTACATATATCTTTGTAAGTTCGTTTGCAAAGGTACTCAAAGTTTATGATATCTTTGCTAATTGAGCTTGAAAATTTCTGAACTCACCCCTATAAATTTTCGTTCTCGACCAAAACTAGATCATTATCTTTGCCAGAGGTCGAATTTCACCTGATTAAGGCGAAATAGTTTTTCACTATTGATTATTGATTTCATTTATTTTAGCAATTCACCGGATTTAATTTTTTGTATACTTCGAACATGCTGCGTAGTTTCTTTCACCACATAGTAAATGTCTTTTCCAATATATACTGTATGTATTTGAAATGTTCACATAAACACCAGCACACGTTCTCCAAGGAAATATTATATACATAGATAGAAGAAATTTCCATATCGGAAGATGCATGTCCATTAGTTCATATAACATATGTCCGATTGATAAGCGAAAAGCTCGGTTCAATCATTTTCTTGCAATTATTTTAGGAAGCATTAATTAAGCTCCGTATTATACATACATTATTAAACGTACATTCTTGCATTTAGGAATTTAAAGTTTTGCTGCAGTATCCAGAACAGTGGATCTAGGCTTCAAATGCCGACTGCAAAAAATTCCATACATAAATATGTATGTATTATAATATTAATATATATTATAATTGCTTAAATTTAATTCAAATCCAATTAACTTATAACGTACTTCCACATTCAGTTATTTAGTGTGAGCTCAAGCTGACCGCGATAAAGGTAAAGAAACTGCCTTAAGCTTCCGAAACTTGTTTTGAATTTTTACGCGAAATGTGTGTTAATAGTTAAACAATTTATTTAAATTTCATTAAACACGTTCCAATGTTTTTTCCTCTTTACTGAAAGAAGTAAATATTGAGAAGGAAACAGAGTAGATAAAACATAGAGGAACTTTATATTTACTTGAAAAAGCTTACAGTGACGTCTATAAAAATTAGTTTATGTACCTATTGGTTAGTTTGGTTAAATGTTAAGAGCAACTTGAAACTATGAAAATAGAAAAAATTTGGAAAATAAATAAAGAAAGAAAGAACAGGCATTTAACTATTGTAAAGGGTTCATTTTCTGCTTTATATAATAGTGGGATTCTTAGCCTTATTACAGGCAGAAACTAAGCTATACTTAGTGAAATATTACTGAATGGTAAAAATTTGTATCTCTAATAAGCAGTCGACATTTGGGAGAAGAACACCATTTAATCAGTCTTCGCTGGCCCGAGATAACAAGTTTTACGGTGCAAAACCTCCTATCTACCGAAAACTGGTTGCCATCCTTTTAGCCAATCCAGATGCTGATTTACACTTTTAATCAAAATTAAACATATCAAAAATAACTGTCAACCATTTTGTATTATAAAACAAAAAATTGTTTTTTCTGTCTTATTTGGTCAAACTTCGTGTTTTTTAAATGTTTCCCTATTTCTCTCAAATTTTCTACAGCTTCCTCGGCAGTACTAACTTTTAAAAATATTAACGAATCCTCAGGAGATTGCATACATAAAATATTTTCTTCAGAACTAGAGGTAAGACGTAGAAAAGATATGAAAAATAGAATAGATATACTATTACAAAAGAGTTTAAAAGCTCATTCATACGTTAGTATTCTATTACTTATTCTATACTACTAAATGGCGAAAATTCAGGCTCATTAGTTTTTCCTTACCCCGCTATCTTTGCAAACAAATATTCAAGTTCCTAGAAACCAAAATTTAAAAACAGTAATAGTAAAACTATCATCTTTACGAGCGCTAAATTTGTTGTGTCCCGTTCATTACATATTTACTTGAGGCTGTAAATACGAATGTACGAACATAAATAATATTTAATAAACAAAAAAAATAATTTTATAAAAGGTAAAGTGAAGTGCTCTGACGCTCTACGATGCTAGACAATATTAAAATTGTATTTAAAAAAGTTTTATTTTGTTTTCTTTGTTTACTATTGATTTCTCAGTGTGGGGCGAATTTATAGAGAGAACATCTCCATTTTATTCGGTTCATCGCAATGTTAACAGTTGTAAAAGCACACATATATACAAGTGGAGCAGCGTGATGGAGAATTCACAGCTTCAGGTACGAATACTCGGGTTCGATATCGCTTGATCGAGTGAGCTTCACTCAGTTGATCACAAACGCTTCACCGCACCGCCAATACCACATATACCGGTACGGAGAAACGCAGGCCTGTGGTGACTTGCTTGCTAAGTACATAGAGTTTTTGTGTAGAGATTTTGAGAAAATACCGAGCAAAAAACCCTATAATTTGTTGTTGTTGCTTCCAGTGGAAACGAGTTGTGCGTGCCCCATCAATAAATATACAAATGAATTAATAAAAAGGCATTTAATTGCCATGCAAATGAATGTGTAATTAAGTAAATAAATATTTATGAGTGAAACGAAAAATGGATATTTTACATTAAGCTTTTGTTGGCATTTAACGAGTACGAAAAAGAGCTTTAAGTGAGCAACGGAGTTTCGACGTGGTCATGAGAAGAGGGTGGGAATCACTGCATTACACACCCACACAAGTAAATCAAAATGAAAACAAAAAAATGAAAAAACTATTTGAAGATAATGTTCATGTGTGCATGCATTTAAGAATAAAAAGTGTGAATTAAGACGCTCCAAAGAGTGTTGTGCTATTTAGTGTAAAACAATAACAAACTTAATTTAAAAGGATAAATCTTTAAAATTCTCCTACAAAGGACTATTGTTTTGCCAACACAAAAAACTCAATTCTATGTAAGTTCGTACAAATGGAGTGTTCCAGTAGATCTATATATGTATCTTTTGAATAAATACGCTTGTTTCTAACAAACTCACAAGAATGCTAGGAAAATTGATTTAACTGTACTTTACAATTACAATTAACGGTGCAGGGTTAGGGGTATTCCAAAACAGTCGTTTCATAAATCAATGATAATTGTCTCGATTTAACAACGTGTACAAATAATTACCAAACGAGTGGCTTTTTAAAACCTGAACAGGGTATATTAAGTTTGATACGAAGTTTGTAACACCCAGAAGGAAACGTCGGAGTATAGGTATAAGTATGTATGTATATTATGATCAGCGCGATGTGCTGAGTCGATTTAGCCAAGTCCCCCAGTTTTTCAGATATCGATTTACAATTTTTACACGTTCTTTTCTCCCCAAAAAGCAGCCATTTGTCAGACCCGCCGATATCGGAACACTATAGAATATAGCTGTCATACAAACTGAACAATCAAAATCAAAACTTTTTTATTTTACGAAATATTTTCACTAAATTTGGCATGGATTATTGTCCAAGGCAACGGTACAAAGGACTTACGAAAGTCATATTTAATTTTAGATTTCCATTTAGAACAATGTAACTAAGTAATTTAAATAACTTTCAATGAATGCCCAAGAGATTGAGTCAAGCAACAGGATCGGCACCAGTGTTTTTGGTGATTTTATCCAAAAATTTTACAATTATCTAACCATTCCACTTGCAACGATCTTCGTACGTCTTTCAGGATGTTTGCAACTTCAATTTTATCTCTCGACCTATGCGGAGAGTTTAGCATGCCTTGCGAAATTTAGGTTTATGTAAACTCGCTCACAGCTGAGAAGCAGAATATAACAGTTTTGCATTTATGTACTTTATTTGTGTGTGTGTGACACACACACTCATAAGCACACCACATAAGGCAGGTTCCAGAGATACTAATTTAACCCCCTTTCATGCCGAAAGTAAATTGTCTTCGTTTGCATGACTTTTTCGCGTTATCATTTCGCAGAAATGTATTTGTGGAAACGTTTTTGCGAATGATCACTGAGCAAATACGCGCAAACACATGTGTATGTGTGTGTGGACTTGTGCGCGCGTGTGGGCATGTGTACGCCGAACGAAATCGGCAAGACTGCCCGTCTGAAACGGTCGTCAACTGTGCACCTTAATGACGGAAATAAGCTGGGTTGTGAAAACAACAACAACAACAACAAAAGTGAATTATCAATTTGTGTTTGTCTCTGTTTTGTTGTTTACTGCCGGTCGCGGATACTTATTTATTTTCTGTCATTTAAGTTGTGTAAACACATTAGGGTAGTTCAAGTAATTCTTATTAATTATGTGCGCGAATACTAAGTTCTTGAACTAAAAGAAATTTCAGCTTACTCTTATGAGAACTGTGAGTTTGTAGATGGGGATTTGGAATTGTTCCTTAAAAACAGAGCAAATATTGGACTGGAAGAATTCTCAACTACGGAAAACTACGGATGGCGGCCTGATTTGATACTACTACGTACTAGTATGTAGGTATGTTAACTAATTGACGTCATGACAGCTCAGTTTCAATTCGAATTGTAGGCTTACTGACGTGGCCCCACATTTTTGGAAGTATGGATAAGCGTTTATGTTTGTATGTGTTTGTAAGAATTAAAACGTTTCTAGTAGTTAGGTTCTATTTTCCTGCCATTCAATAAAGTCTGGCTGGCTATATTTATTACCACAGTCTAATCTTATGAACACAGACATTACCTTGATTTTGACACGGATTTGCCGATCAAAACTGTATGCGTTTCTGAAACCTTGTCTTCGATATTTGTCCACTATATTTATTTAATGTACACAGATAAGAGAAAAAATATGAGAAAAGTTAATTCCAAGTCCAGATGTAATTAAAGCGGCACTGCAATCAGTTCAAAGTGAGTCAGCAGCAATCTTGGGTGTAAAATCTCGAAATATGAATCGAATTAAGGACTCTAAACTCTGATCCCTCAAAAGTACTTACCCCTAGAACTACAAAGATTTACCATATACCTATTTCAAATAGGTCTCTCTCTATGAAAACTAGAAGCGTAGTTGATCTAAGTGTAACATAAATTCTTGGATGGACCATGAGGAATCGTAAGGCTTTCACAATATCGTTGCTTGAAGATTTCGGACCAATCTCCTTAGTTTAAAATAAGTGTAAACAGAAACATTAACCTTACAGTTAGCGTCTAATAGCTAATCAAACCGAAGACAAAGTCATAATAAAATTATTTGTTTGACTCGCAATATTATTTGCAATCTTGTATTGATTATTCCTTCTTTCATTACAGAGCCCCTAAGCGAAGAGATAGTTGTGACATGTCACCGGATATACAAACATTGTGATAATACGTATCAAAAGCATATCGGCAAAGATAACTGAGGGCTGTTGAAAATATGTAATGCAATAAAAACGAAAGTACATGTCTTAGTAATAGCAGTATTCGTAACACAAGTATTGATTACGACATTTAATACAATGATTAACAAAAAATGTATTTAAAGAATGATAATGAAATGAACTCAAATCCGAAAACAAGTGCCCATCTGAATGTTGAAACAGTAGCAGTGAAGCCAAATGCATTTAGTGCCACATCAGCAGGAGAGGAGGCACCAATAACACCCTCAACATCGTCAGCTGGCAGTTACGTCTCTTCAACAGACTCTGGCGTTATCATTACCGACTACAAAACTCTACAAATCAACAATGTAGATATCAATCGCGACAACTTCAATTGCAATGGTACAAGTGGCAACATCGCAAAAGATAAGAGCCACAGCAATATCGCCGACTGCTATGACGACAAGCGGAGGCGTAGTGTGGGAAGTTTGAAAACAAACAACAATATTACAATAAATACACAAATTGATAATAATAGCATAAGTATTGAAAATGTAATCAATGTGCGGAGGCAACGTAACTCATCCGGCAGCAGGGCGTCTTCGAAGAATGGCTCGCCGGCTGTGTCGATACGCAGTAACACCATATCGATCATATCGATTGATGAAAATGCCATCGACTCCAGTGTCGTCGACTCGGACTCGGACTTTGAAGGACATCACAGCGGGTGCGTCGTGAAAAAGCTCGGTCAGCAAACAACCTACGAACCAAACCACCCTAATTTGCCGAATATTAATAAAGGCATGCAAGTGCTAAGTCAGACTATAAGTCCAGGTGCAATAGCCCCAACAGCCGGTCCGCTATCCGAGACGATAATCAATGGAGGTGCGCTTGCACCGCCCATACTCGGCCCTCCCATGCCGCCGAATTCCGCACAAATCGGTAGCATCGCACTCTCGAATTCCACAGATGTTACCTTCGGCGATAAGCATTTTTATGAGGGCCCCGTAACGATACAACAGTTTCTCATTGATAGTCGTGATAAATGGAAAAACGGTGAAGATGGAAGTGATAATCCTGCTTTCACTGGCGATCCAGGTGAGTAATACTCCAAACCAATCCACCAATTTCGTGCACTCAAACGCCTGGAATTTGTTGTTTATGCATGAAGGCACTTACGAGCATTAGAGAGCATTCTCGTGCAATTACTTAAGGCTTCAGCATCGTTTCTGCGACTCACACCTATAAACTTGATGTTTGGTTGTTATTTGAGTAGTTAGATATCTTTTCACAGTTGATATGCACTTACATACTTACGTATATGTTTATGTTGTGTATGTATGTATGTATATATATACTATATATAATCACCTTAGCAATTGCGTTCTTCTGAGGCAAATATTCAATTGTGTGTTGCGCAATCATTTGCGAATTCGTATTCATTTATATAATTATATATGTACATAGGTGGATTTTATAATAACATGAACCAGCATAACAAACCCTACAAGAACAGTAACAGTCATATGACCGGTAATATGACAGTCACAGCTGAAAAAATTTTGTCAGCGCGAAGAACAAAGACTCTACCATTTTCTTAAGAGCCTTGTGCAAAACCTGATGTAAACAAACGTATGTGTGTGCGTTTGCATCTCTCTTTAATACATCGGTGTTCGGAATTGATTTACTATATGTCTATGCTGCTCACTCTCATGCCTTTTTCTGAGTCATTGCTGACCATAAATCAAGCAAAGCTGCCATTTGTCAGTTATGACTGTAAATCTGTCAGAACTGAAAAATTCTTTTGCGCAGCAGATAATGTAAGTTTTATTTCTTTAATAAATATACATAAATATAAAAAGAAATGCAACAAAAATTATAATTAAATAATAAATTATGAAAAGAAATTTTCACTTGATTCCATCTTCTCCTATAAATAGCTCTGCGTACGTCTTTCCCCAATCAATGGATATTTCTGAATATAATATATATATAAAATTTAAATGGAAATTAACTAAATATATAGTTTTATTTGAAACTTATTTAACTTACGTATGTAAGTATATTATATTTGAAAACTCCTCTCTTTCATGAAAATGTATAGTTTTACCACCACAAAAATTGTGTTGCGCAGTTGTTGAGAAACTTATATGGAATTTCATGCACCCTTTTTTGAGAAGGTTCCTTTTACGCAGAGAGATAAGTGTTCAAAAATTATGCTTAGTGTTGACAAACGTTCTTTTTTTGACAATCATCAACATTGACAGTCATTTTACTGTTCATTTGACCTACAGTGGTGATAGTACTAAAGGATTCAGCTATTTCATTCTTACACATAAAAGCAATATAATTCGAAGATGTCTCTTTTAACAATAAAAGTGACGGTCAACCCATCAGCAGTTTCTTGTAGGGATATATGTATACCAACATATATATATATGGTATTCATACATTCATTGTTTGTTTACACGAATATATTTCGGCATGTTTACAGCAGGGAATGATTTAATCTGTTGAGGCCATAAATTTTTGCCGAAATTATCTGTTGATGGAAATCAAATATGCTAACCAGCGAGATGCTGCACTCATAACTGCAATGAGCACGACGTACTCTATGTACATAGTCATAAGAACCATACGCAAATTCAAATGATTTTCACTTATTCCACTGGCCACAGCGTAGGCGGGTTCGCCATACATACCATACATATAGCTTGTGTAAAGATTTTGCGCGGCTGTGTACGAATCGCCGTCGTTCAAGGTTTTGGGGCAAGAACATTTCTAAAGTGTACCCGACTTTCTTTTGCTGCTGCACTTTAGCATTCTCCTAATCTCGTAAATTCAAAAAAGATACACAGCTTTGTAATATTTGGATTTTTGGAAAAATTAAATGTAAGTCCCATGTGAGTTGAACACGCGTTATAATTAACCAAAACCGCAAACACCACAAATTTTTCCTGGTTGTTATGATATCTATGCTGTAACCGAATCGATACGCTCTTTTGCATCTAGGAAACATATTTAATTTGTTATATTTCGTCTGTCAAGTATTAAGTGAATTCAAATTTGTACAATAATTAATCAAAGTCGGTTGTTGATTAAACTTTATTAGCTAAGATGCAAAGGATTTTCCAACGCGTAGTTTGTTCTTCCTTTCTTATTCTCTCATGAATTAACGCAATATATACGAGTATAAATAAATTAACGCGGTATATATGTAGATATGTATGTAGAAATGCAAAAGAAGGCGGTGCAAATCTGCCTTAAGCAGTTTTTTTTTAATCCCAAGTATATTTATTCTCATACGAAACGGACCCAACGCAATCCACATATGTTCGGAATTAGCCGAGTCAGAAAAGGAAAGAAAGTTTTTTAAGTGTTGAGATCCAAAACTGATCGGCTATAGAAACAAAAATTTCACCCATTAAGTCTTTTTAATTTTGAAAACTGAGTCAGATAACTCAAATGTGCTGGAATGAGAATTAAAATCATGACATATACGGCGGAATGGTTCGTTTCGTTCAAAATGTGATCTACAAAATTTAAACAGTAAGGTTCCAAACTACCTCGAAAAGCGAATCGGGATAATAAATTTAATTTCAGACAAAAGAAAAGAACTGCAAACAGTTTCATTCAGGATTTTTACTAAGAATATTATGCCAAGCATTTCCCTACAACTAGAAAGTGTAGGTAGATTTATAAGTTTTAAACGACTAGTGTATGAAGGTAGAATTACCCTAGATATATACATAGTTATATACATATACCAATATGAAACATATTTATTAATACGCATGTGAAGTCCGTTTCCTCCTTAATTTATTGCTCATGGGGGAGGTTTAGATGAAGTGTCTATTAGACAGGTATTTTATAAAAATACAAAATTTCCATACTCTACATTCTTACATACAAAAGTATGCATATATGTATGTATGTAAATACCCGAAACTTAAACCCGTACTGATCATGCGGAGTACGTCAAACATCAGAGCAATATTTTACTCGTTTACTCTTAACGTATTGTACAAAAGGCATTTCGAGATCAGTTCGTTCTAGTAAATCGAAAAAGCTGCATCGTGCTGCAAACGCATCATATTAATACTTCAAAACATTATTCGGGCTGAGAGAAAAATGTATTTTTATTGTTCCCGTAATGAGTCCATTGGCTGGTAACTATTCGTACGACAGTGCTATTAAATGCAACGGTGAATTTGCCAATGTGTATTCTCTTGACAATCTTAGGTGATGAACCTTGTAATTTTGGGGTATTTACCTTTGGAAGTTTTTGGGTCTACGTCTGTCAACAACTTCTTATGAGAAGCTAAGTGGCAGGCATTGCCGGGCGTGTGGTAAATATTGTAGCAAATGGTTGGTTTTGGACTACACTATACATAAATAAAAAATTACTTGATATATTTATAGTTAAACTTACACATAATATTTCTCTTATTTCCAGAAAACGCCGAAAAATCAAATAATTCGTCTACACCGCCCGAAACTTCATATATATTCAATTTTCATCGGCGAGCTGTCATCATTACAGGCGCTGTAATACTACTTACAATATTAGCTGGAATAGCTATAGTCACCGTGAATGCTTTCACAAAACAGACGATTCGAAAAAGTAAGCTTTTAGGCGATGGCGACGATTCCAGAAAGCATATTCCAATCAATTCAACAATAGGTATTTTTAAACAAAGATTTTGGTGCTCATGGTGGTTAAAACACAGACACAAAGACATACTCATAAACGCACATTAATTACTACCCACACGTTCCATTTAAAAGTTCAGCTGAATATTCTGAAATTGCGCGAGTTACCCAACAATTAAAAGTTTAATATATCATATCATAGTGTGTTTATCATCGTTCCCGGTATCATTAAGGCTCTAAGGCCTCGCTTGTTCATCTCTTCAATTTATAATAAAGAACCTACTATTTCTGAGTTGTTGAAAATGTTATATTTAAATCGGTAATCCTCTAATGTGTATATTTTCAGTAGGTTTTCTCTCTAGCAAGATGGCCTAACAAAATAATGTATGTTTACAGTCTTTCCGGTGTGTCTCGCTAGAGATTCATTCATTTTTTATTTCAACGCTTTATAAAAACTCAGATTTTTGATATATTGTTATTTTCGTAATCAATTTTCAACAGTCATTTCTCTCCCGTTTTCGGTATACTATAATTTGGGGCTGTGCAGATTAATGTCGCATTTTAACTTTAAGAACAGATACCTATTTCTCGAATTGGTACAGTTCTCTATTTTGTACTGTTTTATTACGACGAATTCAGTGACAGTTGTACTCCCTTAAAAACAGCAGTTTATTGCAGTTATTTCAACTTACCTATTGGCATCATAGTGAAAAGAGGTAATTTTTTAATGTCGATTTAGCGCCCTTGAAATTAAGATAGTGAAGTAAATACTTACTAATTGTCCAAGCAAACATTTTTACAAATCCATCCACCTCTTTAAGAAAATATCAAATATATGAAATATGTTTATAAGTAATTATATTTATCTTGTCCCATCTATTTTTAAAATTGAGTAACATAATAAACTAAGAATCGTTTTCTCGGTTTGATAAGCGATATTTTATAAATGTCAACCATCGTCACTCAAATGTCAATGATCGAAACTCTCTAAGTTCATGCTAAAAATTCTGATAACACGGAAAATAATTATTTTCAGAATCCCCTCTGGATCAGACATCATACTTTGCATTCTAATGGCCACTTACCTCCAGCTTTTCAGTCCGAGATTATAACTTTGTCGACAGTTGTAAAAAAAAATATCGGCAAAGCAATGAGAGCTAATTGCAGAGCCATATTTAATATGGAAGTCCTTTGATTTCAATTATCCATTTCCTCCAATAGGTCTTTTAATTTCAAGCCTCTATTCCCTTCAATTACCTGTAGTCCTTTAATTTCAAATTTCTGGTCAAACCCCAGCTCTTACCTAAGCTAATAGTGTAAAATTTTTCATTACATTCTTTTTTTTATACTCTCGCAACCTGTTGCTACAGAGTATAATAGTTTTGTTCACCTAACGGTTGTTTGTATCACCTAAAACTAATCGAGTTAGACATAGCGTTATATATATATAAATGATCAGGATGAAGAGACGAGTTGAAATCCGGGTGACTGTCCGTCCGTGCAAGCTCTAACTTGAGTAAAAATTTAGATATTTTTATGAAACTTGGTAGACATGTTTCTTGATACCGTGAGACGGTTGGTATTGCAGATGGGCGTAATGGGACCACTGCCACGCCCACAAAACGCCATTATTCAAAAACAAATAAATTGCCATAACTAAGCTCCACAACAAGATACAAGACTCTTATTTGATATACAGGATCACAATAGGGAGGGGCATCTGCAGTTAAAATTTTTTTTAAAAGTGGGCGTTGTCCCGCCCCTAATAGGTTTAATGTGCATATCTCCTAAACCGCTAATGCAATAATAACAAAATTCACTGGAAGCAAATTTTAGAACCTCTACCTACAGTGTGAAAATGGGTGAAATCGGGTGGCAACTCCGCCACTCCCCATTTAACGGTACTGTTAAAAACTACTAAAAGCGCGATAAATCAAGCACTAAACACGCCAGAGACATTAAATTTTATCTCTGGGATGGTATGAGATGACTTTATAGGAACCGCGTTCAAAATTAGACAGTGGGCGTGGCACAGCCCACTTTTAGGTGAAAACCCATATCTTGAGATCTGCTTAACCGATTTCAAGCAAATTCAGTGCATAACGTTCTTTTCATATTTCTATGTCATAGTGCGAAAATGGGCGAAATCGGACTACAACCACGCCTACTTCCCATATAACACCATTTTAAATTCCATCTGATTCTTTCACTTTCCACTATGCAAATCAGGCAACAATGACTGTATCGAGATAAAACTTTTCGATTAAAGTATGCCACCTTGTGGCCAAAAATTGTTTAAATCGAACTAAAACTGTTCAAGCCCCTAAGTACTAAATATGTGACCCCAGTGCCTATAGTTGACCTTCTACCGAAAATATCAGTCAACATAAAACAAGGCGGCCAGATCCACAAAGAAATCTAAAACGAGTATACTATTTGACTTTGCGAGAGTATAAAATGTTCGGTTACATCCGAACTTAGCCCTTCCTTACTTGTTTTTAAATATATTTTTGGGTAGAGTAAAGTCGATTCTTTGGAAATCGCCTGCCAAAAAGCTTTCTAGTATTTTGACGACCGTGTTCGTTGTCCCATTTATCACACTGATAACAAACAATCGTTTAAGTCGCTACATCAATCACCTGATCTGATATCAGAGCACAAGAAATATTCGTTCTAAATTATAATAATTATTTCTCACAGTATTTTAAGTATTTTTAATTCGCACATTTATCCGTTTCATGCAACATACCTACATAGTGCAGATTATGTGTGTACTTCAAATTCATATGTTAAATAATTGTGAAAGTGGTTTAAAAACAAACTTATTGGAGCACCAATCTAAAGCCAAAAAGTTAAGTTGAATGGAATTAATGTATTTAAGCCATTTCACCATAATTATACATACAGAATTTAAAAAAAAATCGATCATTTCATTTTAGCACCTTTGCCGGATGGGGACTACAAATTTAATGGCACGTTACTGATAGTCAGCAAGGATGAATGGTTTGCCGAGGCAGAACACAAAGGCGTTAAAAAGTTAAAACTGCCAGTGCAACGCGTCATTATCGCACACACTGCATCAACATCGTGTGAGAATAAGGTAGGAACCCCCTTCCCCAAAAAATTAGGATTAAAAATTAAATTGCACCATTTCCATCTTGTCATTTTGTAGCTTCAATGCGATGCTCGGGTACAAAGTGTGCAAGCCTTTCATATACACTCAAATGGTTGGGGCGATATCGGATATAATTTTCTAGTTGGAGGCGATGGTTTGGTATATGAAGGACGTGGCTGGCATAACGAAGGAGCCCACACCTTGGGCTATAACAAAGATAGCATCTGTATTGCATTCATCGGTACATTTAATGTGGAAGTGCCCACAGAAAACGACTTGAACGCAGCCCAATTACTCATCGACGAAGGAGTGAGATTAGGAGTGCTTCCAGAGAACTACCGACTTTACGGAGCCCGTCAACTAAGTGCCACTGAAAGTCCCGGAAAAAAACTTTATAGCATAATAATGACGTGGTCTCACTGGAGCAAACTCGTTTAAACGGAGTACAGATATTTTAAATTAAATTTCAATACGGCAATAATTACTAGTGTCATTGGATTGTATAATTTTATGCTTTGTATAGTAGTTTATTCTTGCTTGTATTTATATAATTAGTATACCTGAATTTAAAGCAAATATACAGTTACATATTTATACTATATTACATCGTATTTTATATACACCGCTGAAACAATGCATAATATTATCATTTCATTCCATCTTAGTGTATTGGCATCCTAATTACTTTTTCTTTGAACTCTTAAATGTGTAATCATCGTTCATAAAATAAAAATTATCAAATTTGTACCAGTCTAGGTACACACTAAAACAAAAGAAAACTTTTTGAATTTCCTAACACGATTTGTGCCTATATTTTGCAGCAGATGATAACGTGGGAGGGGGCAAGATATTGCGAATAGTACCACGTGATGCCTGGTTAGCTCAGCCGCCTTCAAGTGATCCGTTACCTTTGACGACGCCCGTCAAAAAAGTTATTGTCCTACCTACTCGCACTGATGATTGCGAAACGCAAGTGAGTACAAGCATCACATGTACCGTCAGTAATACACGGAAAGGCCTATTAATTTAATAAATATACATATATGAGACAAATATTTTTAAATACAAAGACTCCTTCCAATGAAAAGCTTATATTCGAGTTTTACTAAATTTGAATTTCTTTGGTACCTGTGACAATTTCAAACTCTTTTTTACAGGCCATGTGCGTGTACCGAGTGCGCATGACACAAACTCTAAACATCGAATCCCAAAATCACGATGATATTATCTACAACTTCCTAATTGGCGGCGATGGCAATGTGTATGAAGGTCGTGGATGGGATGTGATCGGTGCCCATTTGCGCGGCTTCAATTCGGACAGTATTAGTTTCGCCTACATTGGTACTTTTAAAAAGCAGAAACCTTCGGAAAAGCAAATGGACGTCACCAAATTGCTGCTTGCCGAGGGTGTAAGACTTGGTAAACTCTCAAAGGATTACAAGATATATGGAGCGTTTATGTTGGATCCAACTTCGACGGATGTTCAGTCAGATGAGTTGTACAACAGCTTTAAGGGTTGGCCTCATTGGTCTGAATACATAGCTAACTAAGGCACAATATATAAAAAGTGTTTTTTCTAAACTAATAAGTTTTATATTTGTACATTAGTAAATACATACATATATAATAATAATAATAAAAAATAATAATTGTGAACGTTAGCTTTTAAGTCAGATTTAACAATTCAAAGAAAAACTCAACCGAACTTGCAAGCTCATTTTGATTTGATTTGGTAGTAGTTGTACCGGCATCGCTGGTTTTTATAGATCACTGGAATCCATACAAATCTTATTATTAATATTTTTATGAAATTTCTGAATTTCTGTCATAATAATTACAATCATTTTTTCTAGTCAAAAATAAAAGCATTTAAACAAAAGATTTTTTACAAAACTTATATTTATATTGTAAAGTATTAGTAAATTATTATTTTATGCAAATTCATAAATGTAAAAATTAAACATGTTTTTTTTATAAATGCTCTGGATTGCCTTGTTTGCTTTCAACATTTCATTTTGAAAATACTAGTTATTGAGTTGTGTGGACTGCAAGAATAGCTCATCCATGTTGCCAAATTGAAATCATTACTAGGCAGAGGGGACATATCATTTGTAATTCGCATAAAATTATATAATTTGTTATATTTGAAGTAGCTCTTAATGGCAATTTTGTAATGTTAAAATTATATATCATTATATATTAATAAAAACAACCTAAACTCTATTTCAAATGGAATTTAAAATTTTTATAGCTCAATGTTAAAGAAAACCATAATCTAAATACCTTAAAGGTAAAAGGGAAATCTATTGGAAAGGCAAATATTGCACAGTTTTTCAGAAAATCAGAGAAATAAAACCAAAAATCGGTATATTCACAAAATTGAAGAACACCAAGTAAGGAATGGCTAAGTTCGGGTGTAACCGAACATTTCATACTGTTGCAACTTACAAGGATCAAAGTCAGCAAAATACCCTCATTGTTTATTGTTCAATGGATTCCAATCAAATTTGGTATCATATTAACTTATTTGGAAGGTCATAGACTCCCTTCGTTTTATTACTATATTTTACTGCCCGTCAGCGAAAATTATACTAAAATCATTGGATGCATAGAAATGGTAGGGGCTAAGGCAAGTCTTCGCCCGATTTAATCCATTTTAGGCAGAAATATACACTGTTACTAGAAAAACACGCTTTCTCAATTTCATTAAAATAACTAGCACATTGACCAATATGTGTGGTACATAAATAGTAAACTGAAAGTTAGAAAATCTTATTATCTTGAATATGGAGGTCAAGGGAAGTATTGATCGGATTCAACCCATATTTACCTCAAGGCTATATTAATATTTCAAAGAAACATTATATATTATGATCAAAGAAACATTTTCCCTGAAGTTCAATAATATATATCACAGATAGACCGATATTTTCGGCAAAAAGTCAGTCATACGCACTGGAGTCCGAAAACTTGGCGTCTGGGTTCTTGAAAAGTTATGATTCGATTTCGACAATTTTTGAGGGTAAGTTGAAACACCTTGAGGGCACTATTTGTGCAAAGTTATATGTGGATGCATTGATTTGTTCTTGATTTGTATACTGAAAAGTAAAAGAATCAGATGGAATTTAAAAGTATGTTAAATGGGAAGTCGCCTCTTTTCTCACTGTATTTTAGGAATGCCAGGATAATATTAAATAACGAATTTGGTTGAAATCGATGGAGTAGATTCCGAGACATGGATTTTCTCATAAACGTGGGCGATGCCACGCCAATCATCCAAATTTGACTCGAGCTCCTATAAAGCCTGCTTGTACTATCTCGGGTGTAAAACTCTATGTCTCAGAAGCATTTAGTTATTGATTTATCGCGCTTTTTGTAGTTTTTAACAAAGCCGTTATATGGTGTGCTGGCGGGGTTATAATCCGATTTCATCCATTTCCATACTGTCGGTAGTGCTTCTTATAGGATTTATCTCTAAAATTTTTATTTGAAAAGATATTTTCAAAGTATAATATTAGTGCAGTTTGTTCATCTCGGAATGTCGCCACCGCATATTTCGCTGTAATAACCCCACAAGATTTTAAAAGATGATCTTTTCAGTCCTTTATTTGGTTCAACTAATAATTGTCTATCAATAAATCTACACATTTCTACAAAAGTACTGTTGCAATTCAACAATATTTTCCGTTCTTTTTTATTTTTTATTTTATTTAAATTAATTAATTTCAAATTCAATATTGCATGCAATTCCGCTGAGTTAAATTTTTCTTCGCGGAAATAAATATCATATTCGTATATATACATATGTATATAATATGTATAAAATATATGAGAATCTGAATAAATGTCTCCTAAAGTTAGACGAAAGCACCGCATAAAAACATATACCTACATTTAGATATACGCATAGTATATATTATATAATATATCTATTTGATCATACAAGCCATGTACAAATACATACTGTTTATACCATATACATGTTACTGTTCACACATCTTATGCACGGAATACTCAGTGAATTCAAGCTTAAATATGTACAGTCCAGAATAAAATAATACACTCGATCGTTTTTTTTAGAATCTCGGATAGACTGGGAAGCCTTTCCATGTAAATCGTATATATTAATTAGAAATTGCTGGCAGTCACGACAAATTCAGCCGACTTGTGATCAAATATCAAGGTTAATGACTTTTGTTATAAGCTTTATAAACTCTATATAAAAATGTTGAAATAAGAGAAATTGTGGAGTTATCTTTACTTTACACATCAACTGCTTTAATTAGCCTATAGAAAACCACCAAAGGTGTAAAGCTATTTAACATAACTTTATAAGCCAGGCAAGGTTCGCATAGTTCACAACCTCAAATCTGCAACTATAAACAATTGGAAAGTTAACGCTATATAAAACACACGACTGTAGCAGTAAGATGATATGTATGCAATTCTTTTCTATTTGCCAATCATCAGATTCCACCTATAATTTTTTATTAATTATTCAATCTGCCCCATTACAGAATGTGTACATAGCAAACAGTCTTTTACTGTTCTCCAGACGTTGCACATCTCCAAAGGCAGCATCGCTTTAGTTAACTGTTCTCACTCACTATGATTTTCAAGGATCACAAACTTCTTGTGATTACCATCAATATATTGGTGATCGGATTCATAATATACACAATGATCGCTATCAGTTAAATGTAAACGTAAAAACAAATATCGTATAAATAAATTACCCTTATTGTTCATTAAAAAAACATAGTGGATATGCAGTATTTATTTATTTTACAACAATGGGAACTGGTATAGAAAACTACACAACAAGATAACACAGTCAACTATTACTAACTAAAGTGCTATAATATAAGCTTCTTACTCTTATTGTACGAGGAAGAGAAGAGCGAAGGAGTCGCTACAATGGACCTATTTTTAGAAGAGTATATTAGTGTATCTGCGTATTTCTTAAATACAAAATGTTGCGTCTTTGCTAATTATTCTAACCCTCCAACTTGTCTGAAATAGTAGTTTTTGTGCAATTATATGATTGACTTAATAAATACCATGTAATCATACCATCAATTATGAACCGCCCTATCACAACATGTAAGTATATACAGCATAGTATATACGAACTGATAATAAGATACACCAATTTGCTTGACTTAGAGTAGCGTATAGAGACTGCAGAGGCATCGCAAAGCAGTCCGATTTTGGTAAAAAGAGGTGAGTTGCAACAAAAAATCCACACTTATTAAAGGTAAAAACCTAACTTTAATCTGCTCTTACGTTGGATATAGTAAAAGCACAAGCTCAACTCAATATTTACTTGCAAAAGCAGAATAAAAAAATTTAATTTCAAAATTTTCACGAAAGACTGATCTGTCATCGAAGTAAAACATCGATTTTCAATACAAATAAATATTTGGTCGTATCTAGTGCTCGGTTCCATTGTACATACCATATTAAAATGGCATAAGTCTGTCAATTTTCGAGATTATAACTATAATTATATGTTCGATTTTCGCATCTTTCCAGCCACTGCCGTAGAAATCAATGATTCTGCAATCCAATACAAAGCAGTGCTTACTCGGCAAGTGGTCATCCCTATTCCAGCTATAGCATTGTCAATCATACTTGTATTAATCGGAATGATATGGTCACTGAAGGAAGGAGTGAGTTTTTCAACGAAAACAAGGGGTCATACATATTTACAAAATCATTGCGTACGATTGTTAACATTTAGAATAATTGCCCGTTAATGTGCGAAAAATTCTTAAAATTGAAAATAATTTAAAGAAAATTCGTATATTTCATATATAAGCATATACCTACATATCTATATCTATACTTCTATACTAATATTATAAATGCGAAATCCGTTTGTTTGTTACGCTTTCACGCAAAAACTACTTAACCGATCATCATGAAACTTTGTACACATACTCTTGGAGGTGTCGGAATGAACATTGGATACTTTTTATTAAAAAATCTATAAATTTTTACGGATTATTAAAAAAATTATTTTGGAGGACTATATATGTTTGTAAAATACATTTGAAAATTTTGAATTTTGAAAAAAAAAGTTTGGCAGATATGATTGTATGTCAAAAAATTTAAAAATGAAAGAAAACAAAAATGTATAAAAAACTTAAATCATAGAAATAACACCAATGTTATTAGTTACTCTTATATACTTTAAAAATGCCTCGAAAGCGGAAATCTGCGCTATCAAGAAATTCTTCGTCGGTCCGTAAAGATAAAGTTGCACAAAATCAAGAATCTGAAGTTCACGCAGAGCTGAGAAGACAACAGCAAACAGAGCGACAACGTGTTTTGAGAGCAGCTGAAACTTTTCATCAGACACGAGTACGTTCAGAAAGACAAGCTAAGCAGCAGGAAGCTAGAAAAAACGACGGAAAGAATTCATGACGCAGAACTAAGGACCACGCCTCGTCGAAATTTCATGACTAAGGATTGGTCTGTATTTAATGGTACTGGTTTTCAATATGATCCTTTAGTTGAATATTCTAATCATCCCTTAATTGTTCTTGGCTCAATGGATAAAAAATGTCAGCATTGTAATGCTTTTAAATGGAAAGACGAAACTGCTGGAATGTGCTGCAGCACTGGTAAAGTTTCACTTCTATTACTTGGTGAATCAGAAGAACCTTAAAAAACTTTATTATTTAGTGTCACAGCTGAGTCAAAACGATTTCTAAGTAAAATAAGGAAGTATAACTCTTGCTTTAAAATGACATCCTTCGGAGTTGATAAAGTGATAAGAATGCCTGGATTTTCACCAACCTTTACTGTATAAGGACAAATATATCATCAAATTGAGACATAGTATTACGAGCACATAATAATGCGTTTAAGCGCGTAGCCGATACTGATAAATTTTATGGCGCTTCGCAGTATCCATTAATTTTCAGTAAAGGTGAAACAGGATATCATTTCAATATTTCAGTCATCAATCCGACAACGAACGAGCCACTTTCAAATAAAAAAAGTTTCCTGTATGGACTTTTATGCGTATTATATGATGCTTCGAGAACATGACTCCAATCTTCTTCTGCGTACAAGGCATCTCTTCACTCAATTTTTAGTAGATATGTATATTAAAGCAGAGAGTCTTCGTCTTCGTTACATTTCTCTAAATCAGAAAAAATTACGAGCTGAAAATTACATACATCTACACGATGCGATTAACGCAAATGACAATATTAGACCTAATGACATTGGCAAAATGGTTATTCTGCCGTCCAATATTGTGAACAGTCCCAGTTATCTGCATGAGTACACTCAAGACGCATTTACTTATGTACGAACTTAAGGAAGGCCTGACCTCTTCGTAACTTTTACCTGTAATCCTTCGTGGCAGAATGTAACTCAAGAACTTATAGCTGGTCAAAAGCAACTGATCGTCACGATATAGTTGCTCGCGTATTTCGTTTAAAGGTTCAGAAGTTAATGACCGTTGTGACTAAAGGAAAAATATTTGGAGACGTCGAGTGCCATATGTACTCACTCCATTGAATGGCATAAACGAGGTCTACCACATGTGCACATATTGATTTGGTTAAAACAGAAGCTACTTCCTAATCAAATAGACAAAATAATAAGCGCTGAAATTCCAGATACAGAAGAAGATAAAAATCTGTACGACACGGTTATTAAAAACATGTTTCCCGTCAAGCTTAGCTTTGCCGTAAATATAAACAAAGCACAAGGACAAACATTACAGGTGGCAGGAGTGCATTTAGAAAAGTCAAGCTTTTCACATGGTCAACTATATGTAGCCTGTCCGGAATTTACACATATTTGCACCCAACGGGAAAACGTATAATATAGTTAATAAAAATATCCTTGAATAATCATCTATATTGCTTATTTTTAATTGTTACATTTCAAAATTATTTATTTTCGTTATAGTGAAATATATTTTAATCTTTCTTGTATTGCTTCAATAAAGTATATTTTAAAATTTTTAAATTCATTGCATTTAGTAAGTTTTTCAAGTAATCCAAGCCAAGCAATAAAATATATTCTTTCTATTGATCCGTTTCTACTATAATGATATCTGATACTTATTTGATGGATTCGATGCGAGCGAAGCCGCGGGTAAAAGCTGGTATTTATGTAAACATATGTATGTATAATAGAAAAAAATAAGTCTTCTCGATATTTGAATGGTAAGCAATACAAAATTCAGTAACACAAATTCCTAAACCACTTGCTTCCAATACTACGACCAAACTAGCTTTTGGTAATTAGTAGAGATAATTGATCACACACTGACACAGACTGAGCGAGACAGAATGCAGAAACTACAACTCCCAATACAATGGGTCATCACAAGTGATTACGTGTGTAGCACATGTATATAGAAAATATCTAGAAAATATCTATATACTTACGGGTCCAGTGTGATGCACGAATGCAAGATTCGCAATATTTTCATATACACTAATATGGTTGGGGTGATATCGGTTATAATTTTTTGGTTGGAGGTGATGGTTTGGTATATTAACACTAGATTTACGGAACCCGTCAATTTGATGGAATTTAAACTTTGCAATGAAATATCTCGAAAATCGCTCAATCGATTTCAACCGTTTTGTATTGCAAATTATTCATTTCTTCTAAAGAATTTATACACAAAGTTTGCTCCTTCTAAACCTTCTACTTTTTGAGATTCATATGAGGTATATCTATCTCTACGGGACCCGTCAAATTGACGGGTTAGCTGATTATGTAAACAATCCTTATATATTTGCTTCGCTTGTAAAATTTTATCTCCAATAGCAAATATAAGACTGAAAGAAATGTCTAAGACCCCCCACTCATTATCTCAATAGCGTAATAGACGTTAGGCTGCGATAATCTCTGAAAATATCTCTATATATCTATGTATACTTGTAGTTGCTGCAGTGTCAGTGGTAAGAACCTTTTTCGAAGACAGTGTGCAAAAGTTTTGGCTATTGTGGTGAGCCGCTTATTGTAAGTATTTACTATAGGGTAATTGGATTTGGGCAAGTTATTTTTTACTTTCACTGATTACTCTTTTCTAACAATCATGAGTAAAAACACGAGATATAATAACAAATTGACCAAAATTACCAACATCAATGAGGATTATTTTGAGGTGTGGTCCGAAGAAGAAGAAGGACGTGGCTGGAATTATAAAGGCGCCCACACTATAGGCTAAATACTAAATTGCATCTGCATTGCATTCATCGGTATATTTAATGTATTGTAGAAGTATCCACAGAAAATATATATAAAATAATAGTGGAGTGACCACACTGGAGCAGAGGTAGTTGAATAAATATCAGCGATTTCATAATCATATTATATTTATGACTTCTGCTAGTATTAGAGACAAAATAAATAAATATAATATTATGGTATACTGCTCGCTTATATGATTCCCCAAGATTAGGATGTAAATTCACCATACATTTATTTATATTTAGTTAAAGCGACCTAGAACTCTGTCCCAATTACTGTTATCTGTTTCTAACCTCTGCTTATGTGTGTATGTATTGGTTTACATCAAAATTCTTTGAATGTGTTGGATTTTCAATAGTCGTGACATTCTGGGAAATGTCATTGGTTTTAAAGAATACAATATCGGAAAATTTTTTAATTTTTTTGACATCTTACATTTGCACTCATATTCATAACAAAGCAAAAATGTTTTCAAATTCCTTTAGTATTCATTTGAATTAGATTATAAAAATATCATTTTGTAAGGGATTTTAGACAATTTCAATATTTACGAATTTGCAGGTGTTTTGAGGATTAAAACTTCGCAAGCATACATACTTATGTATAACGAATGTGAATTACGAACGGTACAAAAAAAAAAACAAAATCTTAGCATATAAATTTTAACATTCAAACAAACCAAATCGTATGCAAAATAATGGACGTAACGGAAGCTCAAATGGAAGAAGGACAACAGAAAGGCAAAGAAAACTTCAAAAAGAATTTAATTTTTCTAGCAATTTTAAATGCTTTTGTGCCAATATTTATAATAATTGTATCAATTTTTAAATAAATAGAATGTTTATTCCCTTGGTATGTATGTATGTCAAAAACTAAAAACGGCAGTACGAAACTGCAAAGCCGACTGTGGCCTGTGTGAGGATCTTTAGCTTTTTGGTTGCTCACTCCTTGTTTCTGCCATACCAGAATAAGTTAAGTAACATGTTAATCACCTTTTTGAAATTATTCTCAACAATTTCCCGACTTGAAATTTTTTTTATTTTCTACCTCACTTTAACGCGTATATACATATGTACACAATGTAACTATTTTTTATGACAAGCTATAGATCGTTATGATATCACATATACTGTTTTTCGCATAACAAGCAGATCTATAGCCTGAAAGTCCTTTTGAGTACATTTATCCGTACTCTACATGTGTGTCAGTACTTTTAAAGAACTTATATTATATAATGCATCCCAAAAGCATGCCGATTTTACTTCTATACATAGGAATGGAATAATTGCAACGCATATGGATTTCTTGTCGCAAAATGTTTAATTATATTCTGTTATTAATATTGATATTTGTTTTGCAAAACCCCCTTACATCATACTCTGGCGCTCCCACGCTCGCACAATGCGACCGATTGTGCGAGTACTTAATAAAAACGATGTGTTATCGTAACTGAGTTCAGCTTGCGCATACTCGTATTTCCTGCTAAAGAGACGAAGAGCGGCTTGGATTTGCATTTTTTAATAGAAAATAATGACGATATCGCGAAACAGAAAAAGTACCGTGGGTTATCGCCTGCTCGAGTAGTGTAGAAATTCAAATTACTCACAAAAAAATTTTAATTCTTACGTACAGTTGTGTTCATAGTAATAGCAGCGCGAGTTGGGATATGCTTCATTAAACGGCACTGATCTATTTCCAAAAGTAATTTATACGCTTTCATATTAAAATAACGGATTATTAATTTGATATTGTCCTTTTGATTTGGTCTTAATAAAAACAGCGCTTTCTTTAACTATTCTTAGTGTAATATAATATTATAAATCAGGATTAAAGTGATTTTTTTCTAAAAAATTGCATGAAAAAATCTTGTTTTTCCGAATTTACTGAATTGGGCTTTTCTGTAGTTCCACATCTAATGTTCGCCAGGTGTGCTTCGCATATGCAAAAGCTTTTGCCAAAACAAAGCCAATGCAATATTTTGGTGCGATCATTATGGAGTTAACACTGTTGAATAAGGTCTCAAGATTTAAAAGTATTTTAAATTGTTTAGCACAATTAATCTGTCTAGAAATTGGCAATACTCAGATACAAGTATATTTTATAATTATGTAGCAGCGATTATCGACTTATTATATGTGCATGTACATATGTATGTATACACAAATACGTTTACTCATTGTATTGAGACAGTGACTGTCGAGTACTTTTTCCACCATTGGTCCATATAATAGCTGTTCTGTAGCCGACATTTTCAGTATATTCATAGCTCTGTCTTCCATCGAACCAATCGTGCTGAGTAAAATGTATCAAATCACTAAGCACTTGGTAAGCAATCTTCTGTTATTCACAATATTCTCCGCCTTTGGGACCAAAACAACAGCTACCGATCCAAATATTATTCGCAAATCGCAATGGAACGGCGTTGAGTCGATTAATGAGCTCGGTAATCAGACATTGCCTATTGGGCGCGTTATTATTATACACACAGCTGGTGCAAGTTGTCAAGATGTGGTAAGTTAATAATTTGCGACTTTAGTATTTCCAAATAAATTGGTGCATGACTTGTTAATTATAAATTTTTCATTTACCCATTTAGGTCAGCTGCTCGCAGCAAGTGCGTAATATTCAAAAATATCATCTAGACTTACATTACGATGACATTGGATACAACTTTTTGGTCGGCAACGATGGGAATGTATATGAGGGGCGCGGTTGGGATCTCATGGGAGCTGCCGTTAAAAACTACAATAATGGTAGCTTAAGCGTGGCATTCATTGGCACATTTGAGAATTATCCACCCACAGACCAGGCATTAGAGGTTGCTCAGTCTCTGTTGGCAATGGGTGTGCGCACGGTCAAATTGGTAGAAGATTACAAGGTGTTGGGACACCGTCAGCTGTCAGCAACCCTAAGTCCGGGCACCGTGTTATATAAGATAGTCAAACAGTGGCCCCATTGGTCTCATAGAATATGATAACATCTAAGAGTGTGTTTACGAACATATATCGTTCATTACAAAATCAAAGCGTTTGCAACACAGGCGATTTGAACTGGACACTGCTAAAGGGAGTAAGCACTTCATCAATTATAATAAAAATAAGCGTATGTAGTCAGTTTCATGCCAGTTATTGCCAACGTTTTATTTTAATTTTACTTTCACAGTTCTATTGGAAAATTCAGTAAATGTAATTGCGTACATCGTGGCATTAATTAAATATAACAAAAAAAAAAAAAAACTGCCGTTTCTATTTAACGGTTTTCTTAAATAAAATTATATGTACTTCAACAAATGTAAGTATGTATTTTCTAAAAGTGCTGAAAGTAAAATTGCCTGCTTATTAAATAAATTAAAATATAGTTACATTCAAATGGCAAACTATGTACAATGCAGTTGATTTTCACACATATTTTACTCGTATTTTACACATTAGATTCGAGCCACTAGTATCGGTATATGTGTAACTCATAGACTAAACCTCCATTATAATGCTGCATATCAAATCAAGACAAAAACTATAGAAGTAATACTCTACCGTCTTTTACTTTTATTTTAGTGGAATCACATTTTTGCGTAGCTTTCGTTGTCTCATACGCATTACTACTACTATGTATATTTTGGTTTTAATGTGTCTTCTTACTGTATCTTTCCACATATTTCATCTAAACGTTTTATTACATGATCTCTTTTGGTTGCACCCAATAGTGAGTCCCCTTTCTGGTTATGTAAATTTTTAAAACAATTGGTCATTGTAACTTTTGGAGTGTAGTCTTCATTAAAACCATGCTCCTCTTCACTTGCTATCAGTATGCAATCATCGTCCACCCAATCATTTCGTAATGCAATATTTTTCGTTTGCGTAAAGAATCCACGATCTGTTTTTCGGAGGAAGTTATACAACGCCACACAGCCGAGTATAATTTTACGACCGTTTTCCTCGTCAATCCGCAAAGGATGTGATAATATGGGAAATATATTAGCCAGCATACGCAATGCATTTTCGGTATGCTTATTTACCATATTCATGATATTGTTGTAATTAACTCGTGAGTTATTTGGCACATCGGTTGGTCCGCTCAGGAGATAAGGCTTCAAAGGCAAACCAGATTTGCTTGCAAAATAGTATGAGTGACTAATGTCATCTTGTGCTTCGTAACTCACTGGCAGTTTAACCTCATCATTTTCAATTAACTGTCTAAATATGGACTTCTCATATATTTCATCGAAAGCTTCCGCCTGAGTCTTCTCGACATCGATATACAGGAAATTATCATTAATATCTACTATTGATGTGAATATGAGTGGTTGTTTGTTGATAAAGTCTTTTTGCTCCTCGGCCCGCGATGAAGAATGGAATCTGATTTGTTGCATGGACAAATTTCCAGCACAATTCAGCACACGGTGTTTGCGTTGAAACTCGTTCGCCACGTTTTGCCATTGCTCATCAGTCTTTGGTAGTGATACAAATGGGTCCTTGAGTAATTCGTATATATTGAGGCATATGTTGGCTATCATTTTTAGTATCACAGGTTTCGAGGCACGGAAGCAATAGTTACGACACGAATGTACTTCCCCTGAAAATATCAATAAAAATGTGTAATTAAAAAGGTATTCATACATTTTTTAAATGCAAATATTTGAAACCTTTTTCTATATTATGGAAGCTGAACCGGCGAACTATGTATCGTCAAATTAAGGAATTATTGAGGCAATTGATTTGATAATGGTTGTAACTTTTCCTTTTTATTTTTTTTACACTTAAATTCTAGAATTTTTTGAGTTATAGTTGGATACCCCTATTTTTATTTTTGCTACTTATTTATAGTATGTTATCAATAACTTCTGTAAATATTTATGAAGAAAAAACTGTTTGAAAAAGCATTCAGCAAAACTTACCAGTTGCCAAATACTTAAGTGTAATAGCAATTCGCTCTTCTGCACTGAATGATTTCTTCTTTCGATGTGGTTCATAGGAACTTATAACTGGAGATAGTTTAGTCACTAAATAACGAAACTGTCTTTCTGTTATGTTGAAGAAGCAATTGAAGTGATATATTTCGTTACTTCGAAATAGTATTTCTTTTCGTAGGTTTTCTTTGCTCAGCAGCTCAGCTTGATTTTTCTTTAGCCATTCCTTTGTCCACTCCAATCGTCGTTTACAATTCAATATTCCGGCCAAATCCAAAGCAGACATTTTAGGTAACTGTCGAGCAAGCGCTGACGCAGTAGTGTTTCGGTTAGTTGATGCATAATTTCCACCCCCTCCACCACCATCGTCTTTCACATCCTCTCCTTGGCTAACAATAGCAACATTACCACCGACACTGTCCGTAATTGCAGCTGTAAGAGTCATCACACGACATACGCCATTTCCATTATCATTTGCAATACCTTCGCGTTCACGTAGTACGCCTATAGTTTTTATTTTCAATTTCTCCATGTTTTGGATTTATTTAAGTTTTTCTCCCAGTTTTTTCCTGAATGGGCTGACGTGCTGGCGAACTTTTCACAGAACACGAGCCCGAAAACGAAATCGATTTTCTTTTTCAAGTATCGTAGAAACACGCCTTTCGATTAAATACAACGGGAAGAGATCCCAAAAAACAATTCATTCGTTCAATTCGTTTGTGGAATTTTGTTTATTATTACTATAGGGCTGATTATGTGTGGTCAATCCGATTGAGGATAGATATTTTTATCTGATTTTTGCCAACCTTTTTCTTGGAATGTCGAACCAACGAACTTCGAGCAACACACAGGCGACCAACAACAAATATACGCACAGAAAAATGGCAGCACCCAGCACAAACGTACACACCCGTCGGCTGATCGGCAATACTACTAGAGTTGTTGCTATTATGTTTGCTTCCGTACCCGATTATGCACCAACTTCAAATATTCATAAATAAATATGAAATACCCTTTCAGATAATGTTACTTAATTTTAGGAATTTGCAAACTACTTCCATATTAAATGGAAAAATAATAATAAATCGTATTAAAACAGCAAACTATTTACTGTTTTTTACGTTTCTTTCACACGTTCAATCAGAATTCGTGTAGAAAACGAATTCGATTTCATATTTCTTGTTTTCGTGATAACAGCTGTTTGATACTCAGCTGACGCTGAGAGCAGGGTTGAAATTGTTTATAAAAAGCTACAGAAACCATTTATTAATGACCGGCCTGAAATTGGGCAAAATTGATTGAAATACGAATGACCCTGTTTTGCTGATAATATTATTTGTTTCAAACCTGGGGTATGTTCAAACTGAAACAAAGTTGAAATTGCAAAAACGCTCCGGAATCAATAAATACACTAGTGTTGGGAACTATCGAATGATTCCAACTTTCAATAGATAACTGAATGATTTTGACTATCGAATTAATTTTTGCGTTCATTTATTCATTTATTTATTCAATTTTAATAACTAAGGCCAAGTCATGCTCTTCAAACAACAATTCAAAGTACTGGTATTTTATTCATTTTTAATTAAATCAATACAAAGGTTTTTATGTTCTTATTTCTAATTTAATTAAATATTTTATTAAAACTTAAAAATAGTATAACGCAGTAAAGAAATTCAATATAAAATAAAATAAATATAAATATAAAAAGTCTGTAAGAAAAAATATTAATTATACATCCAAATGTAATTTACAAATATTTGATCAAGCTTTTAACCTTTAAGTCTATTTCTTCTGTCATTTATTATTTGACCAGCTTTAGAGAAAACCCTTTCAGAAGGAATTGAAGTAGCCTTTTTGACAGGTCGTAGAGTTCTAGAAAGGCTAATTTTTTAAAGAGTTTTGATGAATTTCAAGAAAACCTTGCATAAAATATTGCTCTAAGGCACCAGAGAAGTTGTGGCAAATAGATTTTGCTTTCGCTACTTTTTGGTCAAGTAGAGTCCAAAGCGATAATTTACTTTTATTCACGGGTAGTTTTCATTTGCTAGAATCTTATTGCATATTGGAGTCCTCTGACTATAGGCACATCCAGTGACATCGTTGGATAGTTTTGCTTTAAAAATTCTGTTATCAATATATTTATAGAATCGTGTAATCTTTCCCATTCTGATGCATTCAGACAGTTCGGTTCATTTGGTAGGAATTTATTACAGCATAGACCGATTCTTTTATCAAGCTTATACGTTCCAGAAGGCCAGCATTCCATCTAGTAGCAACATCTTGCTTCATCTTAAATTCAGCCACACCCACTTGCTTTTGCATGCTTTAGCTATGTTTGTTACACTTACTATCGTAACTATTTTATTAAAAATTGACGACTCGTCAAAAATGTTTTTTAATTCTTTACTTTACACTTCTTGAGTTGACCGTGTTGGAAAGAAGTTTCCTGTATGGGATGGAATACAAAGGCTGAAACTTTTTTGTATATTCACAGAATCCTTCATTTTCGACAGTTGTAGACAGTGTAGTTGTAGATCTTTTGTAACCATTTTAATAAGGAATTCATCAATACTTCTCTTTCCTTTTATGTAAGTAGGTAATGATTCGGCTTTGTGGCAATAGCTAACAGCTTAAAACTTTGGAGACCCACAATGGTGATAATTAATTGCCATATATCATAAATTTAATTGGATGTACATATGTATGTCTTAGCAAGTCACAACTAGAAACTCCAATACATTGAATGAATCGACGTGGATTGTGACCAGAAAGTTTCCGGAAATTGTCATTTAAACTACCCCGCTGTCGACCTCAGTAGTGTTTTACGATTTTTACATTGGAAAAAAATATTGAACAAAGAATTTGCATAAAATTTTGTGTTTCGAACCAAATTTCGTGTGCGGAATCGTTTCGAATGTTAGAAATGGTGAATCTATTCTATCGAAAACCTAGTCTACGACTGGTACTAAGCCTTTACGGATGGTCGAGAAACCGTCGAAGACATGCCTTGTGCCGGTCGTCCTACGACGTCTACCACTGACGGTGACATCAAAAAGGTGAAGAAAATCGTGCTCGAAAATCGTCATGCGAGTGTTAGGGAGATAGCACGTAAGCTAAACATCGGCCGTGAAGCAGCTCGTTTGATTTTGGAATTTTTGGCAAAAAACCATCATCCGTCGTAAACGGCAGAAATCGTGGGCCAACAATTTCATGGATTTTTCATGACGATAATGTGTAATCGCACCAAGCTGTAGTTGTGAACGATTTTAAGACCGAAAACTCGTTCAATACCATCGATCAACCACCGTATTCACCGGGTTTGGCCCCATGCGACTTTTTTTTTGTTTCCAAAACTCAAGTTACAGTTCGGCTCGATTAAGGCCGTAAATGAAAATTCGCGGAGGGAACTAAAGGCGATCCCGCACAGCGCCTTCAAGGCATGTTTCGATGATTGGAAAAAGAGATGTATCGCTTCAGAAGGAGCAAATTTTGATGTCGGCAAAATAAATATTGTAGAAGATTAAAAATGTTTCGTTTTATTTACAATTTTCGGAAACTTTTTGATCACAAGCTATATGTGTACGAAATGCGTGAACGAACACATGTACTCCAAAGTTTTTTTTGGTTAGTTACTTGTATGTCACTTTGGCCTTAAGACATTCGTAGAAACTTTAACAAAATCTCTGGTAGCTCTCTTGGACAATTTAGGGAATTGCAACCGATAATTGACCTGAAAGGGTATTTCCTATTACTGTGTGAAGCTGACTTACTTTCATTTAAACAATGAATAAAGAAGAGTAATATAGTTTGTATTAGATTAAGCATTTATTTGGTTAATCGTAGGCATGTGTCTTGCATTACAAATATGCGGTGTCCTCTCATGCATCGATAGGAAATGGATTTTACGTTAATATTTAATTTGCAATAAGTTTGACTAATATTATAATAATTGGTAATACATGCATTTTGGTATGTTTGTATGAATGTATGTGTGTGCATTGTTACATTTATATGTACCATCAATATTGTACTTAATTTACTTTAATGTATATATTAAATTTAAATTAGTAAGATGCTTAGGCTTTATTTGCCTCTTTGGATTAAAAAATTAGAAAGACAAAGTCACTTTAAAAGCTTTTTTTTTATTATTAATTTTTCTTCTTATTAAGGCATCATACATGTGCAAACTTTTACGCATGTATTCCATTGAAGCAGCTTAAACTAAATTACATATGAAATACTTATATATTCAAATAAGTTTAAAAAAAAATTACATACTCTACATCGTTTGTAATTATTCCTTCTTGCTGAAGTCCCATATTAATATATGAATCCAAAAATTACACACCGTTAAAATAGCAACAAGTATACATGTTTGTATTGTATAATAAAGGGCTTTTTCATTAAATTTTATTTCACATTTAGTTTTGACAATTAAAAGCCAAGTAACGAAAATAGTTGTATACATTTAACAGATAATACGTACACTTAAAGAGTCCCTTTGTTGTTTTTTATTAGTTAACTAAATATAATAAGTACATTTTATGAATCGCTTAAACCCAATTTTTTTAAACTGTCAAATATGTGTTAGTATGCGTGGAATAATAGGCATTAGTAACGTTTGTGGTTTTCGCTTAAACTTGTGTTCTAAGTAGACTGGAATTAGTTAATAGATCAGTGTATATTACTTAAATTTCGATGCGCCGATAATACTAAAATGCAAAGCTTGTTTTCCAGTAGGGAATGTAACAATCATGTATCTGTCGAGATCCCAAAGCCATTACTTTCGCCTGCTCACCAATAATAAAGCAAGCATTTGCGTTTATTTAATTAAATCTGCAATAGAGAAATATATATATTTTAGAATAATTCATACACGGAGCAGACAATAAATGGCTTGACGTTATTTGATTTTTCCTTTCACATTGGTGAAAAGAATTCAAATGGAGATAAGCCACTTTACCGGTAAACAATATACATCTGTGTACCTACTGAGTTACAGGATATTCTAGTAAATATTTATTTTAAATTGCTCCTCTAAATACTGTGCAGTTAAGGATGTTGGAAATTCGAGAGGTGGCCATTAATTTATTTAAAAAATACTGTCGGAATTCATATAAACGTACATACAATTTCTTCATAATAATGTTACTAAATAAACTGCAAAAGCTGATATGAAAACGATTTCATGTAAAGAAAAGTAAATTGCAATTAAATTGAATTCAACTCGTCCTTGGTGGATGGCTTTATTTTTGTACATTATCCAATATATAATATGTATGCACAGGTAGAGGTGAAGTATAAACGAGTACATAGATGTGGGTACGTTTAAATGAATTCACTAATTACTATTATGAGAAGCGTTTTTTAGATGAAACAAATTTCTAATAATTTTATATTTAATTTAGCAAAGACCTTTTAGTGCGGCATGAAAATTTTTCTGTATGATTTGAAATTTTCCTGAGACACTGAAACCAATTCGTTACAAGTCACGTGCCCGCTGAGCACAGTTCAGAAATAAACAAAATTATTGTCATTACTAAGTTTGCTTTCGTCTCATTATGTACTTTTATTAAGCATATAGTTGAGCTCTACTGCATTTTTTAAATTTATTGTTTTAAAGTATGCAATTAGTTTTAGTAAAGAAGTATAACGATAGAACTCTGCAAGAGAAAATCAAAAACTTCTGCACGGATACATTCATGAAAACACAAATACATAGGAAACTACTAATGGGAACTCAGTGAAAATGTGCGAAGAATTACGCTTACCTAACCACTGATGTATGTATAAAAAGCTTGTAATCCCTTAATTATGTATATTTATGCGTGTCGTTTATTTCTAATTGCATTATCGTTTTCTATCTTCCACGTCGTCTAGTGCTGATCGTCGTATTCTTGTCGATGTTGAGCTTGACGCCGTATTTGTGCCTCAGCATCTTCCAGCAATACTTCCTCCAACACATTCTTATCTTCCACAACCGTTGATTCTTCGTGTGACCAAAAGCTAGATGATGTTAGACTAGAGTTTGCACCCGGATAGGAGTCCTCCATGAGTGTACTGGATGCACAACTGGTAACACTCCCTGACATTTGCGAATTTCCAGCACTGGTCTGATAAGTTGCAGTGGTGCCGGCTGAGCTCGTATTAGTTTGTTCAATGCAAAGTGAGTCTGCCGATATGTCTTTGTGAAGTTGGCCCGAGGGGAAATCTAAATTTGCACTGCCGCTTGCGCTTGTGGTTGTAGTGATGGTCTGTGTCACGATGTGTTCATGTCCCTCGGCATCTGTAGTGGTAGTAGTGGTTGTTGTTGTTGTTGTCAGACCTTCGCCAAGTGTGGTTTCGCCTGTTGGAAATCTTGCCAATAGATCGAACTGCTCGTTTTCCATTGAATCGATGCTCTCCTCACGGGTAGGTTGTTTACGGTCAGTTTCCAACGAGTCGATGTCCGAACGTGTAGTAGCATCTTTTGAAATTTCGAAACTGCCAATGCTGCTAGAACGCATATCGAGACTTTTGTTTATTTCCAAACTATCTACACTGCCCTTCTCCGAATCCTGTTTATCCAGCTTCATTTTCCCCTCCAATGGCTCTGTTGACATTTCTGTAATTTTTGTCATTGACTCGCGGCCTTCACATTCTTCCAGTTTCTGTTTGAGCAGCGCTTCAATAGTTTGCTGCTGTACCGGCAGCACCTCGGTTCGAGTTACTGTACGTGTTACTTTGTTTACAACAATATTGCTTGCACCATTTTCCTTATCACTTTCGTTTGACTTGTTAGAGTCGTCCGACCGGGAAAGCATAGCAGCTTCTTCCTTGGCTTTTATCTCAATCAAATGTGCTTCTATACACGCATTCTCCAGACCTTCGAATTCTTTAAGACTTGAAATTGATATATCATCGCCTTGTGCGGCGCCACTACCACTATGACGCACCATGTAGCGGCGGGTGAAACTACCGTTGCTAGAGTCCGTTGAGCCTTGATGCGTTTTATTGCGATTCTCTAAGGAAATTGCCTGTTCTAGCGATTCGAATTCTTGCAAGCTGTTCATAGACAAATCGTCATGTTCACCACGTGCGTAATATCGTCTTGCTGTCATAGCATCATACTCGGGTGTACTGGAGAAGGAGTCTTTAAAACTGCTTATACGACTACTACCCACTTCGAATTCACCATCCTCTTCCTTGATATCTTCTAATACGCCACCGGTAATGTCGTATGGATAACGCAATTGTGAATCTGTAAGCTGCATTTCAACCCATCGTTTGTTCGAAGCAGCCATGTCTCCCGAATCGCTTTCTTCCTGTGGATCGCTGCTGCTTCCCGCAGTTGGCGGACTTTCTTCGAATTCGAAGTTTAGATCATCTCGAAAAATTTGCGATCCTAATTTGGGATCGGCCGGAGCAGATTTTATGATAATTTTTTCAACATCTTCATCATGTTTTGATTCATGTTTCGTTGGCTGGATTTTAATGCTCTTTCCACCCAAATCAGCCTCATCGGCTTCTTTAGCCACCTCTTCGATTATCACAAAATCGTCAGAAATATCTGGTTGCTCAATCATTTCAAAAGAGTCTGGTGAATCTGGTGCCTTATCATAGTCATCGTAGTCTATATCGCCAGCTTGTGGTCGTTGAAGATCAGCAAGCTTTTGCTTGTACTGTTCTTGTACTAGTTTTTGAAATGTATCTTCGCTCTTATCCATATGTTTCTTCTGGTGTAGAGGTTCATCGGCAGCTTTGTGTAATTCCTCTTGTGTTTTCACTTTGTATAATGATTTCTCTTCAAAACCCTCCGCATTTTCTTCTAGACTTGGCGACTTTTGGTAGTCCTCGGTTACCATTATATCTGGTATATTTGAGTAGTCTTGCATGTTTTGCGAAGGTCGACGTTCCTCTTCAATAGCCTCGGCTTCCATTTCCTCAGTAGCGCTATCCTCAACTATAACCTCAGCCACAAGTTGTGAGGGAGTAAATGGACGTTTTTCGAGGTCAAAGCTATGATCCATTTCAGCGGCTGCTTGTTTCTTCTTTTTATTATTCTTTCGTTCGTTGGGTGAGCGAAACTGTCTGGTGTACTCAGATTCATATGGATCTGTATCCGATTCGCTTTCAGATTCCTTATTTTCCCCCACTACCGGTAGATCCTTATCCGTAATGGATTTTAAAACATCACCAGTGATTGAAGTACTTTCACTGCGCTTGTGACCGCGTTTACGAGATTCACCAGGTGGTGTTGTAGCGGCAGAGTCTTGTGGAGAATGTTCCTTGCTGTCGATTTCCATGATAAATGTGTCTTCATGCTCGTGAACTGAAGATACTTGTTCATCGTGTGGAAAACCAAAAGCCTCAATGCCAGTTAACGAAGAAGAACCAGCTGACCCAATCATATCTTCAAAGTTCTCTACAACAGTTTCTATATTTGATGTACTTGACATGCTAACCGAAAGTATGCTACCCTCATCTAAGCTAGAAGCTAGTTTAGAATCGTCAAGGGAACGTCTCATGTCACTGTGATAGAGAAAAGTATCTTCAGGCCGATCTGTATCCATTCCATCGTCTATTTTAGCTTCATCCATAGGATAAGCTAAACCCCAAGTTTTTTCTACTTCCTTAGGTTTAGGAAATTCTTCAACCATAACGCTTTCGAAATGCTTTTCTTCGGGTTTGGCCTCCTCGCTTTTTGGTTTAAATATCATTTCTTGTGAACGTTTCATCAGTGATTTTTGCATTTGTTGTTCGGTTTTACTGTAATCTTGAATATCGAGACTTTCATCACTATCCTCATCATCGTCGCGCAAGTCACGAATACGCGACAATTCCTCAGCTTCCAAAGCATCAGGTTCTGTAGAGGAAGCTACCAATGTTTCCGATAGTTCTGAAACATCGATACTTCCTAAATTACCGGATGTTTCGGATTGCGAATCGAAACTCTTCATGCTTTCGTGCGAGCTTATCGTCTTGCCACTGCTACTCTCAAGTGTACTAACTGCGCTTATGTATTCGGTTGCCTCACGCGTTACCGATGACACATCCAATGCTGTTTGATATTCTGAAGAATTTCCTTGGGTCAGTAAATTTTCGACATCGGATGATAATGGCCGACTGTCGTTTTTATCAAAACTTTTGTAGTAACTCTCGCTGGAGCTCGATTGGTCAATTTCAGGTACCGACCATCTATTCGTGACATCAACAGAGCCAGTTTCAGACTTGATGCGATGCGTAACCTCCTCAAATGGTTTCATTGTTTGTTCCGTACATATCTCCGAAAATACTCCTGTATCACCGAGCTTGGTAACTTCTACTGGTGATTTGCAAGTCAGATCTCCTTCTTCTGTTACAAAACTAGCTTTAGCTATTTTTTCCTGATAATAATCTTCCATTGAGCTAAAATCTTCGACAGTTTCAGTTGAAACAAAACCAAGGGAAGCATGTTCTTCTTTAGCTGCGTATGCTTCCATAGAGCTGTAGTCATCTGCAGTGCCTGTAGATATAAAGCCTAGCGAACCGTGTTCATCTTTTAACTCATCCTTAACATCATCAACGTTACCTTGAGCATAATGTGTAAATACTGCTTTTTTATTCAGTGTTTCTTTTGTTGTTTCTTCATAAGTAACCTCATACAGTTTTGTTGGTTCAAATGTTGATGGAGGCTGAGTTTCCTTAACATTATCTGGTATTCCTATAAATGATGAAATATATTCCTCCTCCATGAATTTAGGCTCCTTAATTTCCTTTTGCATAACGATTTCGTCTGTCACATTTTTTTCTTTTTTCTCTGAGCTAATAAGTGTATTTGAAATCGAACGAAATTCAAATTCGGATGGCGACTCTTTAATTGATTTACCATCCTTCACTATGAACTTCAGCTCGTTGTTTGCCGCATTCAATGATTCCTGCGCTTCCTCCAAGGTTCTGGCAACCATTTGCTCATCAATCAAAGCTCCCGGCAATTCACTCAGTTGCTGTGGAGAATGTACCACTTTAGGTTTAGCTATTGGGATTTCCTTCTCTGTTGTTTCCCATTCACTCTTTTCTAGTTGCAAGTCGAGTTTGTCGGATTTTGCGGAACCTAACTTCAAAGGTTCATAATCGTCCACTGGTTGCCTTAAAATGGTTTCTCTTTTTTCATCGGGTGGTTGGCAAATATCAGCTGTAATTACAAAAGTTGCACAAGAATTGTTCGCATCATCTTGCTTTTCCTTTGTTGGTTCTTGTTCTAGCAAGTCATTTCTTGTTTCCGAACCTTGACGTACTATTTTGCTTTCTCCTTCATCTGTTTCACGCTTCATTGTTACGAATTCCTTAAATACATCATTATTTTCATCTGAATCGACAGAAATCTCCTTCATTAATGCGACATCCTTCGCTTCGATTGTTTCCTCGAAGGCTTGATCTTTTGTAGTTGCTGTTTGTGGGGAAGACGCTATATCAGTGTCTGGTTTTGTTGGCGTTGTCTTAATTATGACATTACGGCTGGATTCTCCAATATAGAAACTCGTTTTTGATCTGCCTTCAGAAAGCTCAGACTTTTCCGTATCGGCTTCGGCGTCATCTACTGAAATCTCACTAGTTGGTTCCAGTGATTCTGTACGATCCTCGGAAGCCGTTGTAATGGTTGTAGTTGTGGGGTAATCCCGTGCATGTGATGATTTAATTGAGACTTCTGTTGACACTTCATCTGTTTTCGAAATATCGTCGGTCAGGTCCAAGCTACGCAGGCTAATACTATCTGACTGTTCGTTTACTAGAGCAGCTAAATTCTTGAAAGAGTCAGTCGGTTTCATTTGTAAACGGGGCCTGGGCACGGGAGCAGATATCGACAGGTCGGGTAAGATTTCAGAGGAGTCGGTAATGCTGTGTGCATCATCGCTTTTTTGATATTGCATAAAGTCGTCGCCAATATCTCTCACGGGTGAGTTTGATTTGGCGGCGCGTGGCTTTGGTGTGGGTGCATCATGTCCAGTTGTTGCAGATGTCGGCGCACTAGTTGGTACTGGAGTGGTTTCGGATGATTTAGCGAATTCAAAGCCTGTCTCTACAAAGGTAATAACAAGTGTGAAAGTAAAGGCATTTCAAAAGTATTAAAGAAGAATAAATAAAGTTTGAAATGAAAGGAAGATATTAAGCTAAACTAAATGGATAGACAGAGACAAAGTGATTATTCAAAGCATATGGGTTTTATTTTGAACAGATAAATTATATATATTTCATATGAATTTAAAACAAAGAACTACTTTATTTTTAGCAAAGTAAATACAAATTTTTTTTCGCCATGCAATTTAATTGCTCACCTTGTAATGGAAGCAAAATGAGTATAGCACTTACCAAAATCATAATATTTGAATATGCAATTAGAGCTCAACTTTAACAAAACCTAGCTTGTACTCTTGTAAAGAAATCGCTTCCAAATTTTATACATACATAGCAAACTTAAATAAACAATTGTATATAAATTTTAACGTATACTTCTAAAGACGGTTTCAATTCACAATTTAGGGATAAATATCGAATTTTTTTTTAACCGTATGCTGGCGGTTAATAAAGGCTAGATCATATTTTAACTGCCTACTGTGGCTTCTTGGCTTTCTCTGTTGGCTGCTCGGATCCCACTCGTCCCACTTTCAATGATTGTTTTTGACCCTATTGATATACATGGAAGGTGGCTCTGGTTCAATTCGTAACAACTGCTATGGGCAAGCGATTGGAGTATTTTTGTTGCATCTTCCTATTTTGGTTATAATATTTTCTAATCTAGGCTAATAAAATATAAAAGAGGTATTTTTCGTAAATGCCTTGTCACTTCGATTCGTGTCTTTTGCAATATATGACAATTTCCTTCGCTGGCATAACATGTCAAGATTGTCACACTTATTTAATCAATATGGCGATATCTGTTTTAAAATATTTTTTATAATTTAGTGGTCGACATCTGCCTTGATAATCGAAAAGGTTTAGATATTTTAAAAACAGTTCGCCTCATACGAATCATTTGAACCGCTGCAAATACTATTTTTGCATAAGTGAACTCAAATAATGTATGGGTTTGGTGAGTATTTATGTATGTATGTATAGTATATGTATACTATGATGGTTTTAATACCTGTTGCAATGTCTTGAATATCGTTATCTGGAGTATTTTGACCGATTTCGCCCAAAGTGTTCGTCGTGGGCGACACACTATCGTCCCAACTCATTTTCGAAAAATCACTTTGCAAATTACTTATCTCATCGTCCTGCACCATCGTATCGAAATTCGCATCGAACGCCGATGCTTGCTCGTCAATATCAGCGAAATGTGATGTGAGCTTTTCGAATTTGTGATCAATGCGCCGAGACTTTGCAACGCCCGAATCTTCTGTAACATGCTTGGGATCGCTAGTACCTATAGGTATGCATATGATTAATTTACACTACAGCCTCTAAACGAAAACAAGTATGTAAGTATGTTATGGATGTAGTATGTATTTGAAAGCAGTTATATGTTTATGAGTAACCTAATATCGCGGGCATTGTGTATACTCACGATACCCCACATGGTACACCGTGTACCCCTCATGGTATGTATGTACCTGATATACTTGTAGTTTGTATGGATATATGTATGTTATCTATTAATTGATCTGTGTGCTTAAACATAATATGCCTATGTGTATACTTGTACGTTCTGTGCCTTGTCAAAAATTACCTTTCGTCTTCCAGTCTGCTTCTTCAACAACAGCATCAGTAGCATCAACATCACTTATGCCACCACTACCACTAAATGTTACAGCTTCATGTAGTGTTGTACCAACTTGCGTAGTATTTGTTTTTGTTAATGTAGTTATAGTTTCTGTTGCTGTTATCGGCTTAAAGCCAACTTTAGAATTAATAAGATCATGTGACCGATTTTGCTGCTGTGATATGTTGGTGGTGGTGATTGTTGTGGTTGCAACGCCGGGCATTGCACTGACTTGAGTTTGGTGCTGCGAGCCAAGCCACTGCTCATCAGTAAAGCTCATATTGTCGTCGAACGATTTGCCAGACATTGATTCAATAGTTGGCGATTTAATGACATCCAAGCCACCAATATCATCACAAGTTATAGCATAATTTTCACTTTCTGAATTATATTCCTGCTTAAGTGAATCATTGCCATTGGCTTCTTGTTGCTGATGCTGCTGCTGCTGTCGAGTGCTAATAATGTTAATGCTCTCTTCAAGCACGTTATCAATCAGCACTGCAGCCTCTTTGCGTATGTTGCCATCAAAATCGATGTGCTTTTCACCTCCAGCCTTTCTACTTCTATCTTCATCATCATCATCATCGTCATCAGAGTATTTTTCATCATTATCTTCCACAGCACTATATTTATAAATATCATTATCTTTGCTTCCATCAGCGTCTGCATTAAAATCTATTAATTTTTCTATATCATTATCTTCGGCTGCTGAGTAAATGATACGTTCTTTAACGGCGTCGCCTGCAAGACAATTGCACATTGCATATACAGTATGTAATTGCAACAATATTCCAATACTTTAAGCACCATTCACATGAATGTAAGTAATTACAGCAACATATTTGGCAACTATTTAATTTTGCATTTCCACATTGTTAGTCAAAGCGTGCAAATCCATTTTTTAATGCAATAATGAGATAATGAGCGTGAAATGTCGTGTTTAACATACATGTAATGATAATGCGATGTGTTGGCATGTGAAGCTTAAGAAGCAGTGACTAAGGAAACCTCAAATTATGTAAAATGAGCCTAACGCTATTTAATTGGCCACTGAATCGAGTTTCGCTAATTTCGATGATAACGGGACAAACTAACTCATTTTGTCTTTCCAGAGCCTGAAATATCTTTCATTCATTCATTCAAGAAATATACTTATCTACTCAAAAATTAAATGAAATGTTTCAATACGAGCATATGAACTCTATACACTCCTTCCGAGGCATTGAGTAATGCGATACAGATGATGAAAGATATGCGTGAGTACATTATTCGTACAAAGATATGTGTCATATCAAAATAACGTATTTATTATATTAAAATAACAAATAAACACAATTTCAATAATTTTCACGGAACTTAAGGAACTGAACTAGTAATATTATGCGAAATATTTCTTAAACAGTTGACTTTTTATTTAAGCGGCGACTTCAGCTTTTCTTCATTTTCCCTCAGTTATACTTCTTTACAAATGTATGTATGTATGCTAGCAAGTGTATGCATTTGGTTATGTATGTAGGTATAAATTGGGTATGAATAATAAATAGTACAGTTAAGTGTATAATTCCGAGTATGTTGTAAGAACAACGTAAGAGCGCCGAGTTCTAGTACGAAATCATATATTAATGCCCCAATCGTACTATATTCGCCTGGTTTTGTTAAATTTTGCTCTAATTGTTTTCATTTTTTGGAACTTAATAGAAATGAAATGTGTATGTGTGGCTTAAAAACTAAAACTAAATAAATGCAATGTAAAAGCGTGCCGTTGTGGTGTGTTTACTACTAGTGTATGGGAAGACTAAGCAAGTGGTTGAAATCGCTTATAGGTATGTTTACACTTATGTAAATAGGTACAAAGAATATATGTATACGTAAAATAACAATTTTAGAAAAGAAAATAATGCGTACATACATATATTCGTGTTGTAGTTGAGCCGTTAACTCTTAACTTACCAATATTTCGGAACGAATCCTCATCTAAAACGAGCTTTTCTTCTATGGTCTCTATAAAAAGCACATACACAAAATAAGTGATGTTAGCATCTCTATGAATTTATTTATTTGGAAGTTCATGAGACAGATATGAAGTGAGAATGATTAATGTTTGCAGCATAAACACAAAATGATGACCACAAATTGCAATGTAAAATGGTTTAAGGCTAAAAACAGATGAACAAGTTTATAACTACGTACTATGTAAATGCATGGAGGGATAACGCAATATCCAGTGCTTATTACACAAGGCTTTTTGTTAGCAACGTGATTTAACGTTTCAAAGTAATAGGGAGTTTGTTAGTAGTAATGACGAAAACTGACATTTATATTTGTTAGTGCATGTTAACATGTATTAATTATTATATTTTATTTATAAAAAAAAAGCAAAAACGTTGACATCGCTAGCAATATTCAAATATCCAGTTGACTTTGTGTTTTTTTATTTTTGTTTTATTATATATGAAACGTTTTTTACTTACAAATAATGTTGTTGTGTTTTTGTTACTATTTTTATATTATATATTATTTTATTTTGTTTTTTAATTTGTGTTTGCTTTCTTTGTGAACTTTATTGTTGTCTGTATTGATTGGGTACTCTTTTTAGTTGCTACCTCTGGCTGCCGATTCATCGGATTCAACATATTCGATGTCTGTAAGCGCATCACGGGTTTCAATATTTCCTTTTATATGAAGTTTCTCCGCCTCGGCGTTAAAGCTATTGGTATTCTTCTCATGTACCACAGTGTAACTTTCGTTTAACATCTCGTTGAAATCAGTGCAATTGCAAGTGCGCATGTCATCTGCAATTTTATAGCTGTCAGCATCGTCGGCATCAGAAGGGCACTGCATATCTTCAATATCAGTATTTGGTGGATTGGTGCCATCACCAGCGTTGGCAGCGCCAAGTGCCAAAGTTTGTAAATGATTTATGCGAGATTTTCTTTGCCCATCTGTCTCTATTGTTAGCACAATATTGCTGTTACTGACTATGTATTCCTTTAAAGTCGAATTGCCAATATCGGCGTCGCACTGAGCTTCATTATCGGATACATCAGACCCCTCATCAGCACTAATATCTTCGATATCGGTGGCTTTATCAATGCTATCGTCTTGGTGCTGCTTTTGTGCTGCATTCAATTCAATATTTGGCGGAAGACCACGTTCACTTAGATCCATGTCTTCAATGTCAGTACCACCGTCCTCTTTAACTCTAACAACGTCTAAAAGTTTTGCTTTTCCTTTGCTCAGGCTTCGTGTCTTCAGTTTTTTACGCCTGTTTGTACCATCAACATAGATTTCCTCAATATCTGTCACCGGTTCTGTGTGGGCGTGCAATTCGAGGCGCTTATTAATTTGTGGTTTTAACGTCTCATTTAGTACGGTGACTTCGTCTTCTATTAGATTTTCTGCATTCAAACACTCTGCTACTGAGACATTTCCTTCCAAATCCTCGGCACACGAGTAATCTTCATCTTCAGTTTGCATATCGTCGGTTAAGCTGTTATAAACACCAAATTGATATTCTCGATCTAATGGCATAACGTTCTCAATAGTGTCGCCAAATTTATCTTCCTTAAGGACCACCATCTCACGATGTACCGGTGGCAGCATAGAGTCTGATATTGCGTTAAGTTCATGTGAGGATTGTGTTCTGACATCATCGCAAAATATATCTTCCACATCGGTAATATCACCGGAATCTTCACCAGTAGCACTCAGTATAACCGCTCTGGGTATGGATTTCTCTTCTTCCTCGCTATCGAAGCTATCCTCCGCGGCAGAGTCATCAAGTTTTTCAACATCTGTTAATACCTCCTCTACACATGTATTTGCCACCGTCAGAAAAGCATTCTTATTAAGAGACATAGTTGTTGACTTTCTACGCTGCTGACTGCCACTGCTGATGAATGCTACATCAATAGGCGGCAAACTTGTATTACTAGCACTATCGCCGTATACCTGGTCATCATCATCGGATCCAGATTCTGAAACGACGATTTGGCACTCCTCTTCATCGCCCGAGATCTCTAGCACTTCATCCTCGGACATGCCACGTGCGCCGCCGGGGCCAGCAACATCCGACAGCGCCGATGCGAGCTCACTAATGTCGCTTAGCACAGATAAATCTTCGTATTCATCAGAGTGTTCAGTCGCGTAGGTAGAACGCGCGCTATCAGCAATAAATACTCTACCCTGTTCACCAACGGCAGCATCTAAGTCAACACACACCGACCGCTCACAACCGTTCTCCAATTCGGAATCCGTATTGTAGTCTTCACAGTCTGTTAGAAAATCGCTCGTTTGGTTCAAATTTTGTGCTTGCAAAAAATCACCCGCTTTGTTCTCCACTTTTTCTTTGGTTTCATTGTCGACCATACTTTGTTCGCGCAATCCGTGCTGCAAAAATTCTTGAAGGGATAACTTTAATTCAGGGTAAACATTGCTCTTTTCTTCTTCGCCATCATCAGAATCAGTGTCATTGTAGTCTTCGATATCAGTGGCATCATTGTCTTTCTCATTTTGTTTAGGTAAATTGAGTGTATGGTTGGAAACTTTCTGAAACTTCATGTCAGTCTGACTGTCGAAATCCTCAACATCTGTTACTTCACCCGTATTAAAATTATAATCCATATCATTGCTGTGAGAATCTTCTGATGATTCCGATTCCGCATGATCGTTGGTGGTAACGGAAATGATGGGAAGCTTTGTGGACATTTTGGTTTGTATGGTTTGGTTTAGATAGAGTAACTTAAATGTTTTATTAACAGTTTGAGTTTTGAGTATTCGCTATTTGTGGAAGAGTCAAATTGATTTTAAATTTTGAGTTATTTCCAATTATATTAAATTAACATAAAATAGTCGAATAAATTAATTACGAAAGCAGTTAAAGCATTAGATGGTATTCATACACCACAAGCATCGCTACTCCAAACTTTGTTGTATGAATACCATAACAGCACATTTAATTAATTGACGCATTTGTTACACTTTTAGAAGTTGTTTACGTTATACGAGTAACAAGTTATGCCAACAAAAATTGTATTCTTATGAAATGTAACATGTCTTTGTACCCATGTTCGAAAATCTGCGAGATGTGTGAACATGTTGAAATTAAGTAAGTATACACGCGAGCGGCACGTTTATCAGCTGTTAATGCATCACAATGGCTACTTTACAAATAAATATATCTCGATCGATTTTTAATGATCTTCAGGGAGTGCTTTCAGGTGCAACTGGTGCATGCTTACTTAAATGGGCCGTTGCAAGTGTTCACAACGAGACTGATAAACTAGAAAGTATTTTTTTAATCATGTAAGCTGCATATTATATGTATGAATACCGATTGGCTTAAGAGGTTTTTTACTTTATTATATTAACGCGTACCCATGGTCCGAGAACAGCCTTTTATGAATTCGATATATGTACGATCGTTTTTTCTTTCATTTTTATTTGATCTACTCTAATAGGCATAGACAACTTTTAGATACCAAAATTCAGTATAATATCTAGGAATATAGAGGGTTGACGATATTTATAAATGTATACAATAGTACTATCGGTCTCTTTGTGAATAGAAATAGGTTTTATTTACATAACCAATATTCAGAAAGAGTTCATTAACTTATATCGTTCCCTACTCTTTTACTGAGGTAGCAAACTATTATATTCTTATATTCAGAATTTCAAGTTACTTATCATTTCCATTAAATTAACGAACTCGATCCAAACAGTAATACTTATGTACCATATGTTTTTAATTAAAATATTGGCCTACTAAAGCTCTAAACTAAGTTGTCTAGTCCTGCAGTACCTCTATTAAAAAGGTATTTTGTAGTATAAATTGAATAACATTCGAATTTCGAAATATTGTTAATTTATTTACAAAGTTGTGTTTTTGTGTTTATGTTTATAAATTCTTTATATATATGCAAATATGTCAATAAAAACAGTGTGTATGGCTTGTACTAGTAATCTATCATAGACAATATGCATATGTATGTTTGACGTTTATACGTGACGTAGCATTTACATATAACTTTAAAATCACTTAACTGTGAACTAAATAAACTTATTCCCAAAACTAACTAAATACGTGACAAACGTTTATTTACCTTTTGGCGTTTCGTTTTGCTCCGATCTAGAATTTCGCGATGATGTCGGGCTTATACTGCCTATACGTATGCCGGAGGCACCAAATTGCATTTGTAGCGCGGGATCCACAGCATAGCCGGCTTGCTGCCTACGCAGTGTTTCTTCGATTAAGGCTAGTGGGCTACGTGTTGGTTTTGGTGAGCCTGGACTTGCAGCTAATAAACGGTCCTGTTCCGTATTAAACATTGGCAAAGCAATTGAATCGGACAAACTGGAATCGGTTGTATCAATGAAACTAACATCAAACTCGTTTGTACAACGTTGGTCTGTTGATGGTGGCCGGGCAATGGATGCTAAATCCATATCATTGTCTGGTTGTCGATAAATAACTTCAAAAGCTTTGTCTGGTCCAAATGTTTTGGTAAAAACTTCACTTGTTAAAACTTTTCTGCTTCCAGAAGATGAGGTAGAACTTTTTGTACTCTCCGTGGATTTAAATGAGCGGGTTATTTCGGCATCGTCATCAATTATAACTGTGCTGACAATAGCAGCTACTGGCTCTTGGTTAACTTTAACTACCGTAGTGCGTGTGGGTACGGCTGGTATCTTAGATATTTTCGATGTGGTAAAAACAGACTTTTCTGCCAATCGCAGGTTAGCCACATCTTTATCAAGTTTTTTAATATTTGTGGTAGTGCGCGTATATTTACGTACACTACTCAATGAACCACTGGCGCTCGTATTGTCGCTGCCCGTCATGCTGGACTCATTTATAGAATCTTTAATTTTCTTTTGTACTTTCACATCACTTTTCCTAGTTTGGTTTCTTTTCTTCGGCTGATCCGTTTTCATTGGGCCACTATCCGTATTTACAACAGCCTTATTTGCATTACGTGGTTTTATCTCGCCCAAATTACTTTCTGTTCTAGTAGTTTTAATTATTCTTCTAGTCGTTATATTGGAAGATACGCTAATGCGAACCTTCGACCGATGCTGGGTTCTTTCTTTTCGTGTTAAGACTTTCGTTTCTTCAGAGCTGTCTCGTGTTACGCTTCTATGCGTTCTTCCGGTAGACACATCTAATTTTGCGTTATCCTTTGGTCTGTTAATTTTGTGCCTTATTTTACTTTGATTTGACTTATTCAATATATTACTCATTTCCTTACTTGTTTTTGGGGACATGGATTTATCAGTTACTTGTTCGCTATGTGCTATCACAGCTTTTGGCTTGTCTACATTGGGTTTTCTATTATATAATTTTTTAGTGCTTTTTATGGATTCCTTGCTATTACTGAGTGAGTCTTTTTTTAAATTCGTCAAACTACTTTTAAAATTGAGTGTTTTCTCCTCTTTGGATAGATTGCGTACATATCGTCTTTGTGCATCAGTATTAGTAGTTGTAGAAGTGATAGGAGTAGTTAGCTGCTTACCTTTTGGCTGTAACACTGCTGGTCCAGGTGATTTTGATCTCAACGCAGTATCCGAAGCTAAGTCTGCTTGCTTAGACGTGGACTGTGTATGTGCGTATCGCAAGCTGTGTGCCAAAGTTGGCTGCATGTATCTGTGCATAACAGTTGAGGTAGGTGTACTTAGGCGCTTTCGTTGAGCATCTTCAACTGATGGTTCGGAAGATTTAGTGATTGTCTTTGTTTTGGTTTTCTTGGTTGTAGTCTTCTTATCATATTTTGGGGTTTGCGCGTAAACGCTAGTTACATGAGAGTAGTCGGCCTTTGGACGGCTAGATATTGGACTGAATGTTCTTAGTGTAGCATTATATGGCATTGTGGTTACGTCAGTTCGTGTTCGCGGTCTTGGCGTAGTTGATCGACTATGTGAATTGTCTTCGCTTAATCCAACATTGACTGTTTGTGCACGAAGACTTGTGGACCGATCGGGATAAACTTCCGACCTTACTGGGCTTGGGGAAGCTTTTATAATAGAAAGTTTAGATACTTCATCTTTATTTTTTAAATTTTTTTTCTGTCTGCTGGATACATTTGCTATTGCTTTATTATTAGTAGTTGTCTTCTGCACATCTCCCCTAGGAGGAGCAGCATAAACTTTTTCAGTTTTGGAATACTCACCATTACTCTGTAACAGTGATTTCCTCACGGTAACCTTTGTTTCAACGTTTATAGACGACGCGTACCTTTTCTTTACTGCCCTATTAAGTTTTTTATTCGCCAAAGCTTTCTTAAATTCTTCACCATTTTTCTTAGCAATTTCCTTGCTTTCATCTAAATTTACAAAATATACAACACCTCTCTCCCTTCCAATGCCCGCACTTTGGGAAGCTGCTCTTTCTAAACTATCTAAACTACTACATGAGTCTAATATATCTCGCCTGTTCGACAAGCTCGTCGAGAATCGACAACATTCATTTTCAAATGGCACTTCTTCGCTAGTAGTCATATCTGCTCCAGGAACTATAGACAGCAAGGGTCGCAGATTTCTACTAACTTCATGGATTTTAGGTTTGTAAATTTTTTCTTCAGATTCATCAGAAGCGTATACATGAGGAACTGTCTTAGCAACGTCAAGAGGAGATTTTGGTTCGTCTTCTGGTTTTGAAATTGGTTGAACGTCTTTAGTATCTTTGTCTTCTGCTTTGCTTATAGACGATACTAATGGTGACATCTGTTTCATATCAGTGAGTTTAGGTTTGTCAAACTCTTCCTCTGATTCATCAGAAGAGTACACATGAGGAACAGGCCTAACAATGTCTACAGGCGATTTTGGTTTATCTTCTGGTTTTGAAATTGGTTGAGCGTCTTTAGTATCTTTGTCTTCTGGTTTGCTTACAGACGATACTAATGGTAACACCTCTTTCATATCAGTGAGTTTAGGTTTGTCAAACTCCTTCTCTGATTCATCAGAAGAGTACACATGAGGAACAGACCTAACAATGTCTAGAGGAGATTTTTGTTTGTCTTCTGGTTTGCTTATAGACGATACTAATGGTAACACCTCTTTCATATCAGTGAGTTTAGGTTTGTCAAACTCTTCCTCTGATGAATCAGAGGATTATAGATCTGTCACCAGTCAAAACCAGAAGACAACAATCTCCTCTAGACATTGTAGGCACTGTTCCTTAATGTGTACTCTCTGAATGACGGAAGACGAGTTTGACAAACCTAAACTCACTGATATAAACAGGTAGTTACCATTAGTAATCGTCTGTACAGCAAACCGAAGACAACGATAATTATAGACGTTCAAACCAAATTTCAACAACAGAAGACAAACAAAATCTCCTCTAAGGACAGTTGTTGGCCTGTTCCTCATGTGTACCTGTGATCGGAGGAAAGTTGGACAAACCGGAAATGCACTGATATAAAACAGGTGTTACCAGGTTAGTAATCTGTCTGAAGCAAGAGCCAGAAGACAAAGATACTAAAGACGTTGCAACCAATTTCAAAACCAAAGACGAACAAAATCTCCTCTAGACATTGTTAGGACCCTTCAATGTGTACTCTTCTGATGAATCGGAGGAAGAGTTGACAAACCTAAACTATGATATAAAAAGGTGTTACCAATTAGTATCGTCCTGTAAGCCACAGAAGACAACGAATATAAAGACTTCAAACCAATTTTCAACCCAAGAAGACAAACAAAAATCTCCTCTAGACATTGTTATGGCCTGTTCTCATGTGTACTCTTTCTGATGAATCAGAGGAAAAGTTTGAAAACCTAAA